CCGCCAGGACCCGGCCCTGCTGCACTGCGGGCCGGCGCGCATCGCGCAGCTGGCCGGCGGCGGCGTCGCGGTCGCCAGGGCGGCCGCCTTCACGACGCTCATCAACGTGCTCCCCGCCGCGGCCGACGGCACCACCACCGCCAAGCCCCACGCCGAAATACGAAACGGACACGGAGACAGCAACGGCAACGGCGCGGGGGGTGGTCCTCACTCTGAACCGGCGGCTGAGGCCGTCGCGCAGGACGAGATCAGGATGGACGCCGTCTGGGTGAACGGCTCGCACCCCCTGCAGCTCATCTTCATCATCCGCGCCGACGGCGTGTCCCTCCGGACCCGCTTCGACGCCGAGGCGCTGGGCCGCCGCGCGCTAGCGCGCATCCTCGCCCAGCTCGACCACTCGCTGCGGCTCCTGACCGAGGCGGCGCCCGACACCCGCCTCGACGCCCTGCCGCTGCTCCACCCGGACGCCGCGGCCGAGATCGCGCGCTGGAACGACGCGGCGCGGACGGCGTCGCCGCGCCCGCCGGCCGCCCTGCTTCACTCCTTGTTCGAGCAGCAGGTCCGGGAGCGCCCGCACGCCGTCGCGGTATCGTCGTCATCGTCGTCGTCGGCGACGGAGCGCGGCGGCGGCGGCGCCGAGAGCCTGACATACTCGGCGCTGGACGGGCGCGCGTCGCGGCTCGCGGGGGAGCTGCGGCGGCGGTTCGGGGTGCGCAGGGGCTCGCGCGTGGGCGTGCTGCTCGGCCCATCCGTCTGGGCCGCCGTGGCCGTGCTGGGGATCCTCAAGGCCGGCGCCGCGTACGTGCCCGTCGTCGATGTGCGCGAGGGCGACGACGAACAGGAACGTGGCCGCAACGTGTCGTCGTATCTGGCCGCCGCGGGCGTCAAGCTCAGTCTGGCTTCCACTTCGGGAGACGCAAAGTCTCTCGGGACGGTGCAGCGCGTGCTGCCGCTCAAGGGCGGGCAGATCCCTGGAGGCGTCGTCCTGTTGGGCGAGCTAGCATCACCCCTAGGCGTTTCCAATGGCGGCGAGGATGACTACGAAGAGACGAGGGTGGAGGAGGGAATCACCCCCGATGACCCCGCCTGCATCATCCCCACCAGTGGCATCACGGGGCCGGCCAAGGCTGTCGAGCTGACCCACGGCAACCTCAGCCGGACGCTCGCAGCGCTGGCACAGCGATTAGACTGGGGACCAGACTGTCGGATGCTACAGTCTGCGCCGCTGGCGACGGGTGCAAGCGTGATCGAGACGCTCGCGGCTCTCTGCTTTGGCGGCTGTCTCTGTGCCGGTCCGACGGTGCGGTCCGAAGACGACGTCTCCCGTCTGTCCGCCTTTATTACCTCATCCGAAGCGAACTGGGCCATCTTGCACCCCCATATCCTCAGTTGCCTCTCTCCAGACATGGTTCCGTGTCTTGGTTCGGTGCTTGCCACCGGCGACGGGGTAACTGATGAGACGCGCCAAAGGTGGAGCGCGCCTGGCCGACGCTTCTTCGTCGGCTGGGGCGCCACCGAAGCCTCTGTCCTCAGCACCGTAGCCGAGGCTCGGAACGAAGCCGACAAGGCCGATGGCGGAAGCACACCTGCCACCCCAGGCAGCAATACAGGTATAGGCCAGCCGATCGGCTGCGCTGTCTGGATAGTCAACCCCTCAAACACAGACGAGCTAGCACCGCTCGGCGGCGTGGGCGAGCTGCTGGTCGAGGGCGCCGGCCTGGCTGCCGCGCACTGCTATGTCAACGACGGAGGCGTCAGGGCGACCAAGCCCAACTTCATCCCGGCGCCGCGCTGGGCAGCAGCAGCAGCAGCGCCGCAGGTCAACGGGGACGCCAAAGCCCTCCCGCGCTTCTTCTTCCGCACCGGGGACCTGGGCCAGTACGACCTGGAAAGCGCGGCGGCGGCGCCCAGCATCCACCTGGTCGGACGCTCGGACAACTGCGTCGCCGTCGTGGGCGCGGCCCAGCGGGGGCGGTCGACGGCGCACCTCGAGCAGATCGAGGCCGCCGCTTCCGAGTCTAGCCTAGTCCGCGAGGTGGCGGTCGTGTCGAGGATCGCGGCGGGCCGGACGGCGCTCGTCGCGGTCGTCGCGCTGGCGGCGGGCGGGCAGCCGCCCTCTCACGGCGGTGACGACGCGGTGGTGCCGCAGAGGACGCTGTTTCCAGTCCCCGGCGACGTTGCAGGTCAGAGGCTCGAGGCGGTGCGCGAATACGCGTCGTCTCGCCTGCCCGCCGAGCAGGTGCCGTCCGCGTGGCTCGCCGTGGAGCGACTCCCGAGGACGGTCTCGCACAAGATAGATCGCGCGGCTCTGAAGAAGTGGTTGAAGACCAATGCCACTTGAAAAATCAGGCGTAGTAGCGTGTTTAGAGTACGTAGGAGAACTTTTTTCCTGGTCTAGTCTAGAAGCCTTGTATTCAATTTGCCCAGCAACAATATGGTCCGCATGTTACATCATCCATGCCCCTTCTCCTACTCTGCAGCAACCGCTTTCTCCTCCTCAAACAGCTCTGGACCAACGCCAAACCTTGGGTAGCTTTGCGAGGTTGTAGCGTATTTCGCCGTCACCATCCTTGCGTTGTGGTTGTAGAGCTCCCTGTCCAGTACATAGGTCTGTGCTATTTCCGGGACCAGCGGGTCGTCCACGCCAGGGTCTGTAAGTAGCGACGTGAGCCCAGTCAAGATGTTCGAGATGTGCATGTGGGGGCCCCATCCGGCATCTCTAGCTTCCAGGCGTTCAAGGGAGTCCATGCAGACTTTTCCATCGACATCGATGTTGGGATGGTAAATCTTTGTTAGAAGCCTGAGCTTTGGTGGCAGAAACGGATAGTGGCTGTCGAAAGTCATGGCGGCGTGGAAGATGCCACCTTGGTAGGCGCTGTGAGGAGGCCCCTCGAAAGTGATGCGGGCGACCGTCTCCGCGGCCGAAGACTCCAAGAATCGCATCGACATCCAAGCAAGGCTGTCGTCCTTGAGGAACGCCCGAATTTCCCCGGCTATACGTTTTGATGAAATGGTGCCAACCCCCGAAAAGGCTTCTAACTCTTCCTTGTCCCTGAGTTTCAGCGTTTTCAAGCGGTCGCCCCATCCTTTGTCGTCGAGATGAGGAGTGGGCTTCTCCTCCTCGCCGTTCTTGAGCAGCTCGCGCATGATACGCACGTTCTGGCCCACATCCGGCTGCGTGATTCCTTCCTGCCCGTCGCGAAGGGGGCCCTCACCGGTGACCGATTCCACCCGTTCGCCGACCCGGCCGTCTTCCTCGATGCGCGATAGTTGCGACGGGGCCGTGACGAAAGTCTGCCGCTCGCCACCCCAGCTCGTGGGTCCAGAGGAAACAGTCATGGCGTCCTCAAGCAGACGGATGCGCTGGCTGGCAGCGTCGGAGATGAGGCTCGCCTGATCCGACCCAGGCCGGGCAACGACCATGCTTTGCAGGGCGTCGACGTCGGTGCTTGTTTCGATCTCGTGTTTTATGATGTCGTTCTCCAGTTGGAACAGGTCCAAGTTCTGCGCCACAAACTCCAGCGCGGTGAGACACTTCTCCAGGTTCTGGACCGTCTCCTCACATCGCTTCTTGTCCCTCAGCCCGAATGTAAAAAAACCGCGAAGTCCGGCTTTCTTCTTTGTCTTGCGGATGCTGCTGAGGGCGTCGTTGAGCCCAGCCTCGAAGAATTGCGAATTTGCGGCAACCACGCTGGATCCGATGGAGGATCGGGACGCCAAGTCATCAACGACGTGATAGCGCCCCGTCAGCTTCTGTGCGTCCAGGAAAAGCAGGGCGATGCAGTTCAGCTGCATCTTCACGTGGCGCTCCCACTCGCCACCAAGACGTGGATCTGGGCCTTGTACGGTCATGTAACCGCATGCTTTGGCCCAGGCGAAGAGGCGGACGGACTGGTGGCTCATGTCGGCCTCGAATTGGGCATAGCTCTGTCCGACTGAACGACCATCCTGCACAAAGTTGTAGCAGTCAAGGCAGACACTGATCAAGCCCGCAACGCCGAGGGCGCCGAGGACAAGGCCGGCAGTCTCGGCCATGGAGCTTCGGGCATATGGGTGTCGAGAGCTTTGCTTTGCGTTTCTTGTCTTTTGTGGATATATGGGTTGTGGTTTCTCTGATATGAAGTGAAAGGAGGGGAACGGCTGGCCATACGCAAACGCTCCCTCGCCCCGCCACGCCAGAATGCCGCCGAAACCGGGCTGTGCAGGACTAACCCGAAGCCCGTCAACCCATTTTATTGGGCAAACACGCGGCAAGCTGCATGTAGATTTACATACTCACCCCAATTCGACTTGGCGCCGAGCCCTGCCACGCTGGCGTAGGTACTCGGTTCAACGCACCGCAAAACACATATATCAATCAGGTAGCATGCCTTGTCAAAGGCCAGCTGTTTCAGCCACAGCGAATGCGATTGGTACCAACTACTACTTGCCCTTGAAATGCTGCGAAAAGTCATAGCGCATGTCCAGACCCCCCAGCAGCACCTCGCGCATCAGCCCCTCGTCCGCCTCTCCCTTGCGCAGCAGGCCCACGAACTCGTCCGAGCCGGCGAGCGAGGCCGGGTCGTCGGTGTAGGCGATGCGCCTAAAGTTGCTTGTCGACAGCTCGTCTATCACGGTCCTGTACTTGTCGATGCGCTTCTCGCTGTACAGATCCAGGATTGCGTCATCGGCGAGCCCGTCCCAGATGCCGCCCAGGCACTGGTCCAGGCCGCCGACGTCGACGAAGCCGCCCGTGATGCCCATGCCGCCCCAGGGGTTGCACAGGTGCGCGGCGTCGGCCACGAGCAGCACTCGACCGACGCGGAAGGACGGGGCGCAGCGTTCTGGTTGGAAGACGATACTTTTAGTTTCGACGGATGAAATGGTGAGCAAACAGCAGAAAGGGAACCCACGATGCATCTTGTACGGGGAAAAGTTGATGACTTTGTACTGGTCCGGCTTGGGGTGCCCCGGGAGGATCTCCTCGAACCTCGCCGCCAGGCGTGCCCGCATCTCCTCGGTCGTCAACCCTACCTTTTCGCCGTACGTGATTCGGTAGAGGCCCTTGTTGTCCAGTTTTGCAGCGAGCTATGGTTCACGCATGTCAGTCACCAGACATCACCCAGAAGTTCCTCGAGGCTCGAGCAAGCATACGTAAAAGTTCTCGGGATGGACGTTGATGGTCACGTCTCCAAAGTCGTGCCTGTCAAAGTCGTAGTACGTGTTGGTCGCCACGATCTGCTTCTCCCACGTGAAGCCCGGGAAGTCGGACCCGAACAGCGACCGCCGCACCTGGCTGCCGGCGCCGTCGCACCCGACCACGTAGTCTCCCCCGATCCGCTTCGGCCCCTCGGGCGTCTCGACGTCCACCCACGCCCCGCCCGCGTCCTGCTCGACCCGCACGACCCGGTGCCGCCAGCCGACCTCGCCGCCGTGCCGCCCCACAAACAGCTCGAGCATGAGCGCGCACAGGTCGTGGAGCGCGAGGCAGTGCGAGCGGTAGTCGAACCCGCCCACGTCCCTGACGGCGTTGCCGTCAATGGTGGCCAGGCGCTCGAACCCGGAGCCGTCGGGGACGGCGTAGCGGTAGTTGATGTCGGTGATGATGATGCCGCGCCGCTTGATCTCGGCCAGCACGCCGGCGCGGTCGAGGTCGGGCAGGGCCGGCGCGCCGTAGTGCGCCGCGCGCGGCTGCCCGTCCAGCTTGTCTTCCGCCTCGAGCACCTGCACGGGGATGCCGCGCTGCGAGAGCATCAGCGCCAGCAGCAGCCCGGCCGGGCCGGCGCCGACGATGATGACCTGCAGTGGGCCGGGGTTGAAGGGTCAGCTTATAAGTGGCCCGTTGGTCGGTTTTGTGGCCTGATCGGCGTAGCATAGGGAGCAGCCGCCTCGGCAGGATTGAGCTCGAGAGCCAAGTCGTTCGACGCGGGGGTTTCTTGGCCATACCTTTTTAAATGGCCGTTCCATCTTGGGAGTGATGCGATGTCTTGGAAACAAACTCCTTGTTTCGCAATGGCAGAATAACCCGACAAAATGTTAGCAATCGCCATCAAGGGAGAAGTGATGGCACTTGGATGATGGCGTCAGCCCCATGGTGTTCAGTAGTTCCCCCACGTCTCTGGGTTTCGGCTTCATTGTCCCTACCTCCAACACGGAATATCCCTCAGTGGCCATCTGCCGGAACATCCGCGCCGACCGGGATTTTCCCCGCATGGATCCCAGACCGACGCTGTGGGACAGGGTGGGATCGGTTGCCTGAAGACCTCGACCAATGGTTGCAGGCGCCGTCTCCTCGGTCGTCGCATGTTGCTGATATTCACTCTTGACGCACTGTACACATGGAACATCCACCAAGCTTCCCCGCTCCAGGAACCGCACTGGACTTCGGCAGGGCACAAAAGGTGGCTGCGTGCATCCACCTTGGCCAAATCATACGTCGAATTGAAGTGTATATTCGAGCTAGAAATCAGGCTCGTCAATATGGAACGCAGCTCATGTCCAAGTGTATCAGTCATATACAACCCCGAAACTGGGGCAGAGGCCATGCTGGAACATGGGGAAGCAAAGCGGCCTGTCAAAATAGCCAAGAACCGGCGACAAAGCTCACCGCTACAACTATGCCAAAAAGCCCAGTCGGCTGAACGCCAAAAGCAGCAGCAGACCTAGGATTTGTCCCATTGTCGCCGCCTCCCTCAGGGGATCTCGTGAAAGCCAGCGTGTCCTTGACCAGCGGCACCAGATCCGCCTCGACGCGCGCGCGTGGCGCCCTCCAGTCGGACCAGTCGTGGTTGAGCAGGCCCCAAGCCTCGTCGTTGTCCTGGCTCCCCTGGCGCGTGTAGTAGCTGCCGGCCAGGACCCAGACCGTCCAGCCGGCGCCCGTGTCGCCGACGAAGCCGCGCAGGCACGTCGCGTACGCCGAGCCCCACTCCTTCTCGTCCTGCTGCGCCCAGCCGAACTCGGTCAGGAGGACGGGGAGGCGGTTCTTGACGACCGCACCGCCCGCACCGCCCTCGGTCGAGTTGGACAGGAGCGCCTCGAAGCCGCCGTCGCGGAGCGCCGCCCGCAGCGCCGTGCAGTTGTTGGCCTGTCCCTGGTTGATGACGTTGGAGTAGCTGTGCAGCTCCAACACGAGCTTGTTCTCGGAGCTGCCGCCGGGGAAGTCGGCCACGGAGAAGCGGGCCGAGCCCGGGGTCAGCACTTCGCCCCGCACGACGGGCTGCAGCGTCGTGTCCGACTCGAGGCCCGAGAGAAAGACCAGGGCGTCCGGGTTCTCTTTGCGGATCGCCGCGACGCCGTCCTTAGTATGCTGGTACCACGTCTCCCAGTTGTAGGAGCTGCGGTAGAGGGTGATGTTTGTGAAGGGCTGGCGCAGCTCGTTGCGCAGCGACATGGCCAGAAGGTTGGGCCAGGATTTGGTCTGGTACGGTTAGACGGAGCCTCTCACCGGCCACGCTGCATCAGTGCAGGAAGCAACCTACATGGTTCGCCATGTAAGACAACCCTCGTGTCCAATTGGCGGCCGAAAACAACGTGTCCCCCCACCACGAGTTGCCATCCAGCGGCGTGCAGCACCACTGCGCCTTGGAGACGTGGTTGTCGAGCACGACGTAGATCCCCTGCTTTGCGCACTCGGCGGCGACGGCATCAAACACCTGCAGTCTCGTCGTGCCCGCCTTGAAACCTGGGTTGTTCTCCATGATGCGCTTCAAAATCGCCGTACCATTCTCGGACCCTAGAGCAGCTCCCAGCGCCTTGTCCAAGGTGACGTCGGCCCCGGCCCCCGACCCGGCCATCTGGTCCACCATCTCGGTGGCGTACGTCAGGCGAACGGCGTTCATGCCCAGGCTCTTGACACGCGACACGATGGACGCAACCGACTGGTACTGGAGGCCCTCAGGGATCATGGCCTCGCCGTGGCCGGGCCAATTGACCCCGGCGAAGTTGAGGTTGGAGCCGCTCTTCCCAACGATCCATCTGCCTGAGGTTGTGAATGGTCCGTCTGGGAACGAGGCCGCCGAGACATCGTCACCGAGGACGCCGAGCGTTACGGCGAGGGCGCGGCCCAGCTTCGAATTGAGCCGCATCGTGTGCGATTCCAGTCGATGGGGAGATGCGGCGCGATGAAAAAACGAAACATAGCCTCCCGGTCATCATCTATTTCTTCCTTGGGCGGGATGGGTGGTATTTGAATAGGCGGTCTACATAGCGTGCGTGATCATGGCCATTCGTCATTTCCCTGATGCCATCAGACCAAACTCAATTTTTGGTTTAGCGCACAGCCACGGTACCTTACCTGCGTTTCAGCTGTAAAACAGGGCTCCAAGCCAGCGGAAGCAGGCCGCTACGGTTTCAGCTGAACTACAGCACGTGCTGGCTACGCCTCGGGAAGTCAGAGCCCGCGCCAGACAACAGTTCAGATAGCAAATGAATCGGATGACATCGCTTTGGCCGCCAGGAACGTCAGGGGACAGAACTGCCTCCAGCACACCGAAATCCGGGCAGATGTGGACAATGAAAGATAAACAATGGAGACAATCATTGTATATGCCATCTCTCATGGACCATCGAGTAGAAGAGCATCAACGTGTATTGCAGGCGAGACTGGTGATATTAGTTGACTCCGAGGTCATCTAGTTTAATGTAAAATTCTCAACGCGATACCTCCTGTGCCCACCATCTAGAACCATAAAAAATCTAGAAAGCATATCGACCGTTGTTGTCGTTACCAAAAATGAGTGCTTCCATTGGGTAAAGAAGTGCCCAGCCCCAAGGAAACCCGCCAGGCGTGACTATGGCATGGGTGGCAATGAGCGGAGTCCAGTCGGTGTTCTTGATGAAGACCTATCATCTGGTCAGCTCTGCGCGAAAGATGCTGGGGGTGAAGGTGGCCAGTGAGGCATGTCCGAGGGGCACGTTCGGCTAGAAGTTGGCGGAATAGATACTCACCACGATGTCCCGAGTCACAGATCAGAGAAAGACCCCGTTGTTGCCTCGAAGACATGCCTCCCAGATCTGAGCGGATGCGCCTAGATCCAGTTCCAGCTGCCCTTGACGCGGCCGGCGTTGGGGTCGGCGATGTCGTTGTAGGCGGCGACGCTGAGGTCGAGGTCGTTCAAAGCGCAGCCGACACAGCGGTCAACGACAGTGACGGTGACCTCCTTGCCGCCGTGGCGGGCAACGATGGAGCGGCCGCACAGTGGGTTCTTGTTCGGATCGCCGCTGATGTTAGCGGCATCAAAGAGGGCCGCCGAGATAGCCACAACCTTGTCACTGTCGCTGTTGACGAAGCCGCAGGCGCCGACGGCCGGGTTGAAGTAGGTAAAGTCACCCTCAAAGGCGCGAGGCAGGACAGCGGCCATGGCGGTGGTAGCCAGGCCGGCGAGGGTGGCGAGAGTGAACCGCATCTTGTCGACGGTGGAGAGAGTGTGGCGGTGGGCTGAGCAGCTGGTTGTGGGAGAGTGTGTAGTTGGTAGGTGGGACAGTTGCTTGCGTGGAAGAGTCTTGAAAGTGAGGTGTCGGAGATCTGGGAGTTCTGGATCCAGGAGGGCTGGGAGGGAGGCCTTTTATACTCCTCCTTATCTGCGTGGTGGGTCTGGCGCCCAATCTGAATTGCTTCCAACGAGCCTTCCCCGTCCATTCTGCCGTCCTGCGGCCTCACTGCTCTCAGCCGAACCGTCTGCACTTCCCTGCTGCCTGGCGAGCCGTGTTCGGGCAGCACCTGCCCTCCTGTTCTGCCTCCTTTCCTGTCCCATTTGCATCCCTCTATCTCCTGTCTCCGAACTAGTACCTCCAGGCGCCTGTTCCAGTTTGCTGGTCTCTAAGTGGCCTCCTTCTCTCTCTTCTTTCCTATCTCCTTTCATGTACAAAAAGGTATATATAGATTCAGCTCCCATCTATCTGCCATCGTCATTTTCCCCATCTCTTTATCTTCCTTCCTTCATCCGATTCCAGGAGGCGTTGGCTGCCTTCTCGGCCGTATCGAGATGCAAGCCACCCAGGCACCCACCAAACCACTTCTACACTCAAGGAAGGAGCCCAGCTCTGTGCCAAGCTCTTGAACACGGGACGTTCTACCGCGTGGAGACCTGCCACTGCCACCGGAGAGTTCCGTCCGTCCTCTTCGCAAGCCATCAAGCCCCCTGCCCCACTCTCCTGGCTCCCCCGCCCTCTCCTTCCCAGGGCTCCACGAGAAGAGAAGTGACCAGAAGCCCATTTCGGCCGTAAAGTGCAGGCAGAAGGACTGCGACCCAGAGCCGGGACTGAACCTACAGGCAGACCCATGCAAGCCCGCTCGTGTCAGGCTTCACCGAGTGAGGCGGGCAGGCGCGGGAAAGAACCGGTCGCTCGCACTCGTTGTGTCGAGCACTCGAGTGGCAAGGAAGTGGCATGGAGACAGAGGGGAGAAAAAGCAATGCGAGGAGGAAGAGCTGAAGATGGCGGGACTGCCGGTGGGCTGGCCCCATCGACACGCCGACCGTTCGGGTTGGCGAGTTTCCGCTTTGGGAAGTCTCGATGCGGATTAGGTAAACTGCACGGCGATCCGCTGCCCGACTGAGATGTTTTTTTTTTCGCCTGCGGGCGCTGCATGGAGCTCTCCCGAGGACCGGACATGGACATCTAAGAACCCGTCGAGTGGTCGAGTGACGTTCTTAGGTCGGCATCCAAAGAAATGAAAACATGTCCATCACATTGCATGATGCCGCGACTGGCGCAGCGCAGCTCGTGTTCATGGAACGGGCCCTGCAGGTGGCTTTCATGCCAGCATGCAGACTTGACAGTCCGCAGGAGATGGGGCCCACAGGAGGCGAGCGGCGGTAGGGGCATGCGGGCGGTGACATGGAGCAGATGCAAGATGCAGGTCGCGACGAGCCATTGGGTCGTTGATCACATGGCTAATGGACTGCCTACAGCTATGGGGTGAATTGTACGCCGAGAAAAGGAAAGAATAGTCGCCGGGACAGACTGAACATGAGCACGACTCGGGCGCTCTCTGCGTCCCCCACGCCTGCGAATGTCTGCGATGCTAGAGGTTCACGTGTCGAAACGAAGAGAGAAAAGAAAACGTGGACCAAAGCAATACGGGCACTCGTCAGGCGGGTGCCAAGCCAAGGCCAAGGCCGAGACGAAGAGGGCAACAGAGAGAAAGAAGGGCATAACCCAGAACGGGAATGAGGGAAAGTCAAGCAGTGAATGCTCGATGTTGGGTATATATACACAAGCACAATAAATACAAATAGCCCTCGCTGGCCAAAAGAAGGGGTACGTGTCCGAGGAGGAGTCACCTGAGTCTGAAAAGAATGGGGCAAAATACCAACAGCGCGAGGAATCAACCGGTCGGCCAACAGAACAAAAGAGTAGAGCAGGGCCGAACAAGGTACCTGGGTAGGTAGGTACCTAGCTATTCCGTAGAATGTACGCTAAATAAGGCAAGTGAAGTGACAGAAGCAACTCCAACGGGCCAAAACCGTCCCTCACCCCGAGTCCTCGGCCGTGCCAGGCAGCCGGGCGGGTATGTCTTCCATGTCCGAGTCCTCATCACTCTCCTGGTCGAGACGGCGGCGCTCCTTCTCGCTGTCGCTCACGTCCTTGGTATTGTGGGCGGTCAGCTTGGGCAAGGTGGCGGGTATGTCTTCCATGTCCGAATCCGAGTCGCTCTCCAGTGCGGCAAGTTTGCGACCCTCGCGTGCCTTTCCCGCAATAAGCGCGGGCTGCGCCGAAGCGCCTTGCTTGTTTCCGACACTCTTTTCGGCAGAGGCAGGTGCTGGCTGTGACGACTCTCCATGGGCCTCCTCAATGTCGTCGTAGACGTCGTCAAAGGTTCTCCTGGCGGAGAAAGGAGTCCTTGGCGTCTTCTTGGAGGAATACGTCTGCATCGATGGCCGCTGCTTCTTGAATCTGCCATGGGCAAAAGCTGGAGAGAATGTTGGCGAGGCTTGACGCTTTCTGGAAACTGCGGCTGGTGTGGATGTCTCCTTTTGATCCTGCGGTTCAGCCTCGGACAGAATATCCTCGGTTATGCTAACCGCCTTGTGAGTTCCATTGGGCTTCTCACTGGATCCTGGCTGCGCGCCTAGATCGACACTTTCTGTCTCGGCCCTAGCGTCATCGCCATCTTCATCGTCACTACCCCCCGCGCCGTCGTCCATTGGTGAGTGGCTGCTGGCTGCGTTGTTATTGCCAAGCTGCGAAGTCTCGACCGTTGCCTCCTCCCCGGTTGTCGATCGCTCCGGTGGCTCCGGAGAGGCTGGGACCTCGGGTGAACGGGGACGTCCATCTTCGCCGTCCGAGCCGTCGCTGTTCTCCACGAACTCCTTGCTCAGTTGCGCGCCGGCCGACCTTGGTCTCTTCAACTGGCTGGCACGAGCGCTCGATAACTGGGCCGACAGTCTCTGTGCAACTCCAAAGCTTTCCCCAGCTCGACGGCGCTTGGGAGTCTGTATGCCTTTCGCCGAAATCCCCGATGCGCCTTCGCCACCAGAACCCTGCTTCTCCTGGGTGCCTTCCTTCGTGTGTTGCCTCTTCCTCTTTCTCAACGCGCTAGGTGCCGCGTCGCTCGCGCTCGATTTTCGAGAGTCACGAGGCCGTTTCTCCACCGAGGTTGCGTCTAAGATGGAAACTTCCACATCGTCGTCGACATCGTCATCTTCAAGCTGCGTCAAGACTTGATCCCTGTCGTAGCTGTCCAGAAGCGCCTGTGCCACACTCCTGGTGCTCAGGTGCTCGTGGCCAGAGACCGTTGGACGCAGGCGAGACCACATGATGCGGAGCGTATCGAGGTTCCATCGTTTCCGGAATGCGGCGTCCCCAAGCTTCGGCCATGGAATCTTTTCGTCCGTGGAAACATTGGTTTTGTGGATCGCCCTAATCAATGCGTGCTTGTCTGCTGGTGTCATCTTGCGGAGACCTGCTCGCATCTTCTCCAGGGCTTGGGCGACAACATCGTCTTCGCTGCCGGATCCGTCCTCATTCTGAGCCAGCCGTGCTTGGAGCCAAGACCACTTCTCGCGACATTGCTTGGCGGAACGTGTTCGGTCCATGTGCATGCTGATGAGGTCCCAGGGCACGTCTTTCTCTGCCTGCTCCCTGGACTCCACGTCGGAGAACTCCTGACCACGCGACCTCAGGGTGGTCTTCATAGAATCCACCACCAAGTCAACCAGCCTAGAGGCTTCATCCTCGTTCCAGGCGGTCGTCTTCCTCTTATCGCCGCACACGGCATAGTTCCGCCATCGGTCGCGTAGGTCGAGTGGGTTGCGGTCAACAATCTTGCCGATTTCCGCCCACTTTTGTCCCATCCTCTCAACGAGCTCGCGCAACTGTTCGTCTTCTTCTGCCGTGAAGACTCCACGCGCAGCGAAGTTGTGGAACATGGCACGGGCACGGAGAATGATCTTCTGTCGCTTGCGGTCGGGGCATACGGGCAAGACGTCATCCCACAGTTTCCTGTGCAGGTCTGTGCTCTCGGCGGAGGCCGGGTTCTCGTGGATCATGGTGTTTATCGCCACTTGCGACATGTCATTATCGACTCGGAACTCTTCGACAGCCCGCTTAATCGCTGCATTCTCTTGGGCCGTGAAAGGCCCTGATGCGTAGTCATTCTTGTTCCTTTTCTCCTTGGTCTTGCGCTTTGTAGCCGACGCAGCTGTTCTCTGGGGTTTCTTGAGTGGTGTGGCAGCCTCGGGCGCGGGTAGTTCTTTGAGTACTTGCTTGTTTGACTGCACTTCTCTCTCGAAATACGAGGGCCTGCTTACTCTCTTCCTCGTAGATCTTCGCCCAGACTGAGAACTCTCGGCCTCGTCCTCATGGCGAGGGGTGGATGCCAGCTCCTGTCTAGAGCTAGCCAGATTTGTTGCGTCATCCCCGCTGAGACCGTCCGGGGCTGGTGCTTCGTGGTTTGGCGAACTTCCATCAGAAGCAGGCGCATTAGCCGCTGCTTCCTCAACTTGCGGCTGCAGGTCCACAGTCTTGCGCAATCGCTTGCGTGAAGACTGCGTTTTGGGCGTCGCCACGATAGCGTCTCCGTTTGAATGGGCAGCCTCATTGGTCGTCTTGGCCACTGTGCTGTGCCGCTTGCGGGCTGTTGTGCTTCGATTTATAGACCGGAGCGGCCCCAGGCTGCTGGTGACGCTGTCAGGAATTTCTTCACTGGCCTCTGGGTCCGAGATGGGTGCATCCGGCATCGGCTGCCGGGTCGGTCGTGGGGGGTCCTGGCCCGGACTGCTGGGCGCAGCAGGTGATACGGAGGCGGCAGGCGATATCGGGTGCGAGTTTGCTCTCGCGTCCCCAGGAGCTGGCGAACCTGGCCTAGCCTCGGCAATTCCTTCTTCTGCCAGTTGTTCGGAGAGCGCGAGCTTAGGAGTGGAAACCCCATTGGCCTCGGCGTACTGCAGTTTTGCATGGCGCAAGTCACCCTTCCGTTTCCGGGGCTTTACAGTCGACGGCGGCTCTTGGGGTGTGACGACATCCGGAGCATGGCTATCAGGGCTTGTCATCTCGGGGCGACCATTGACAGCACCAAGGTCGGCGGCAGATAGTCGCGGAGATCCTGTCTCTGGCGTCATAGGCCGGTTTGCATCCGGCATCTCCTCATCACCAACTTGGGCATGCGCAGCCTCACCGTTGAGAGAGCCCCCACTGACGCCGCGCTCGTGCGCCTTCCTAACCTTCTTGGCCTGTTTCTGCTCCGCGGCTAGGGTAGCCTGAGACGACTGCTTCCGCTTGCGCAAAGCAACGCTTTCGCCGCCACTGTCGATTTGCATATCCCGGGCTCCATCAATGTGAGACGCTTCTACAACCCCCTCCTCCTCTGTCCTGTGATGAGAGAGATCGATGCCGTTGGCAGGCTCCTCAGGCTGGTCGATGGGCTCAGAAGCCTGGTTTTCAGATCGTGGCAATAGGCCGTTTATGGTACGTTTGCTGTGGCTCTTCTTTTTCTTGGAAGATGGAGCCGCATCCTGCATCGCATCGAAGTGTCCATCTTCAGGTTCCTCCACCAGAGCCGGCAGGCTCTCCGCGGGAAGGGTATCACCAGCGCCAGCGCCGTTCAGCGATGGTGAAAAGTCCGATGAAGTTGCGCCAGACCTTTTGGCTATCTTGCGTTGCCTCCTGAGTTCCTTGCGCTGCGCCTTGGTCAAGCCTTGGGGTGTAACGGCTTCGGCGGAAACTGCTGATGAAGCCGGAAGTGGACTCGCCGGCTCCCGTTCCTGGTTCTGAGCGAGTGCAGCGGGCGCGCGTTGCCTTTTTCGAGAGAGGGCGGGCTTCGTCTCATTCGGGGACGAAGGAGGCAGCTGAGGCAACCCATCGATGATATCGGGCATGACAAAGGGCGTGGGCTCCGTCGCAGGTGGCGGGGATGGTGGGCGGACCCTGTTCGGACTGCTCAGGTAGGGAAGTTCGTGATGAAACTCGGGGTTCGAAGCAGAAATGACATGTTTGCGCTGACTCTGCAAGTCCGGAAAGCCATGGTGAAACTGTGTTGCGCCGCGTTTGTCTGGAGTTCCGATATTGAGGCTAGATCTTGGGGGACTGCTGGTGCCGGGTTCGGCCTTCACAGTGTCGTCGCCTGCGTATCGACCGGTGCCGGGAGGCGGGGTCAGTTCGCGCTCTGGGCTATTGAGGACCGTAGCGCCCTCCTCGGCGACAGGTTTGCTGCCTTCGTTGCCCATCTTGACGCCCACGGAGGGCCGTCGCCCGAGAGAGGCACGGCTGGTGTTGGCGAGAAGAAATAGATCGGGGCGATTTTCGAGATCGGAGAGATGGCATAAAGAATGGGTTGGGGCATGTATTTGGCAATTGTGGAAGATTGATAATGGGCTGCGCGGGCGTTGGCGAAGTTTATCGAGCCCGCAGCCCTGTGCTGCCTCGTGCTTGCTAACTCAGTGCGACCAGGCCAACCTTGGAGTTGAGGTTTGCGCAGCTTGTAGAATTCTGGGCAAAATCCGGCAGTATAAGGCGGTGAGTCGATTTTTTTGAGTTTAACGCGTCGCGCTGCGTCGAGATACGCCTACCCCGCACGCGTCTCGGACAAGTCTCCACATTGTCAAATCCCTGCTTGTGGATTTTCAGCAAGCCCGAGCACGGGTCTCCAGCCAAGAACAATGACGAACACCAGCACGGGATTGGTGGCTGATGAATGGAAAGCTAGGTTCAAAAAATGACACCAAATAACATCTTTATTATTGTTTTCCGTCAGTGGATAGCTTGAGAAAACATATCGCATCCATTACGCTATCTACACAATCATGACACGACATTACATCAAACAGCGCCCTTCCTGGCACGCGTAGAGTCACGCCGGCGGCGACGCTCCTCGCTCGGTGACTCCGGCCCCTTGGCTTCGTCATCAAACGTCTCCATGTCCCCCACGCTCGGAATCATGGCCAGCGGCGGTCTCTGGCCGCGCGGCTGGCGCTGCTGGTGGGCCTGGTCCCGGATGTTGGGGAGCGACCGCATGGGCCGCGACGCCTCCAGTTGCTCGGCCCCAAGCCTCGGGAGCGTCGGTGGCTGGTTGATGTGAGTGACGAAGCGGAAGCCCATCGGCAGTGCTGGGCGCGGGAGCGGCGGCGGCGACTGCCCCTGCGTCATCGGACATATGTTCTCCTTTGTTGTGTCATCCCTCCACTGCAGCTCGGGCGTGGGCGTCTCGCGCCCTGTTCTCAGCTTGGTAAACGCGGTGACCGCTCGCTTGCCACGAAGGCTGTTCTTGAGCTTCGACAAAAGCCTCCTCGCTCTGCTTTTGTCGGCGGCCCCGCCGTTGTCTTCTTTTCCCTCCGCCCTTTCCTTCTTTCCCTCGCTCACTTTCGCGTCAGACGAGAGGCTCGTGTCTCCAAGATTCTCGTAGGGTCGCGAAGCCAACAGGTTAGAATGGTCTTTGCTCCTCTGGCCCCGCTGAACGTCGATGCTTCGCTTCACTCTAGCCAGGCTGTCTTGCCACAGGCGCTGCTCATCCCGGATCCGTAGTCTCTCCTTCTCCTGCTCCGCCCTCTTCGCAGCCGCTTTGGCAGTGCTGTCTGTAAGTTGCCGCTGGCGTGCGACGGCGTCCAGCTGCAGCTCCGATGCCTCCAGTCTTGCCATGGGGTCGGGGGTCGTGGAACGGAGGCGCCTCCATTCCGAATGCTCGACAAGGGCGGGGCGCCCCGAGTCCTCCCGCCGACCTCCGAGCCTACTTGGCGCACGATCATCCGACACTGTCCGAGAATGGGTACCAAGCGCACTAGGTTCTTTTATTTTCGGGCAAGGAGAAGGCTCCCGTGGACTGTGTGGTGACGCTGAGAGGTCGGACAGCTTCCCAGGTGACGATGCTGAACTCGTGATGACGATTGGCAGGCCTGCTTGGCCACCGCTGGGGCGCTTCGTGTCTGCGATTCGTTGATTTGTGGACTGGTACAAAAGGCGCCTGGCGTTTACAGCCTGGGCTTGAAGCCTAGAGTTCTTGAGACTGTCGTAAGTCTCACCGCTGCTCGCCGTTCCACCACTCTTCTCGTCGATCGCAATGGCTGCTTGTCTCGCTCTATTACTCGGGGTCTCTGGAGGTGTTCTACCAAATGAAACGGTGACAGGCTCTTCTAGAAACGGGATGGACGGCTGTGGTGCAGGAAGAACTGCGGTTGGGGCCGTGCCCGAAGTCATATCGTCGTTCTCGGACAATGCGCGACGGTGGCTGTTCGAGAGTGGGTGTTGGTCAAGCTGAAAGTTTAACCTGTACGGGTCGTCTGTGACAATGACAGTTGCTGCGTCGCTGCTTCGATCTCCCGAGTAGACGGAAGATGTAGGGCGTGCCAGCTGCATTCCAAGCTCGTGGACGCCATGCACAGCGTTTGGTCCCAGCCTGCTAGCACTCTTTTGGTGCGGGTCGAAAGGGCGCGGGATTCTCGAGGGCTTCTGCGACCGGCGGTCTTCGTCCTCGCTCACGTCGCCTCTGACGGATCCGGGGATAGGACTCAGGCTGAGCTCGTATGACGGTCGCCGGATGTCCCTAGGCGCCAGTCGCTGGCGGGGCGGCGGGCCCATCGATCCAGGCGTCCAAGTCCCTACAGGCGCCTCGTCGGGGCCACGGCCGTAGTTGATCGAGGGAGCAGCAGCCCGCAGGCCTGAGTGGTCGCGTGATGATGAACGTTGTGGAGGGGCCGGCGGCGGTCGTGGCGGCGCAATGCTCGCAGGAGCCCTCTAGGCAGCCTGCGAGATCGTTGCGCGCCGAACAAGTGCCGTCGACTCCAGGTAGGTGCCGGCCTCACAGAAGTCAGGCTCTAGGGGCGTTGCCGGTCTAGACCAAGGAATGTTGTTCTCTTTCCGCTTGTCCTGCTGTTGTCGGCTTGCCGCCTTGGCCAGTTGTTCCCGCCGCACCCTCTCGGCCTCCAGCGATGCGCGGGGTGTCTTGGGGTTGTTAAATAGATCTTGGACTGATGTGATGTCGTGCATCACTCCTTGGACGAGGGAGGCCGGCTGTGCGCTATTGGGCAGTTCGTTACTGGGCAGTGTGGGCTCCGAGGTCATCTTGCGTACCGTTCGGAGCGGACGCGGCCAGAGCTTGCTTGCTGTTCTCCTTAGGGTCACTGTGGGCAGCGACGCCTGCCTGTCCTTGATTGGGACATGGCGCCCAGTATCTTGGGACTTGCGGAGGGCGGGGTGAATATCCAGGGCTGAGGCGCCCCTCGAGAAACTTGCTGACTTTTTCCGCGAGGTTGACATCAATGTGAAATTGTCGCAACCAGACGGCGTGGTCACGTTGGGGCTCTCGGCGGGGCATATCAAGGCGGGAGATATCAGGGCACTGTGGTGTATTGATGGTTCTGGCGAAAGAATGCGCCGCAAGCTCCCAGTGGGTGTTGTGATGGGGAAGTTCAGATCGAGAGAGTGGATCCGAGCCATCATCCGTTCGTAGTGGCCCAGATAGCCCGTCGATTGGTCGCCAGGAAACCCGAATAGAGAAACGCACACGTCGTGCCATTCGCCCACCCCAGTCGCGTCTCGCATGCTTCTGAGTAGCGCGTCTCGATCGTGGCGCGTGAATGCTTGCCCTCCCATTAGGCGCACGTAGATGAGAACCCTCAAGCGGCGCACGCTATTCTTGGATACCCCATGCGGATATTGGGCATATGGAGGGAAAACAGCGTTCAGAAGCGCCAGGACAGTGGTGATGCCGGCACCTCTCCGTCGGCCACGGAGCATCTGGAAGCTTATGGCCTAGTGAGGTCGGTCAGAAATGAACAGAGACCACGGTAGCGCCACAGTAGGCAGAATCTGTTTTCTGGATGGGTTGGAGTAGGAACAGGAATATGAAAATCTCCCTGCACAGACTCACATAGATCCTCAGGCCGAGGAACAAGGAACGATACATTGCCCGTACCATATCGTCGTCGTCGAATATCTCTTGCAGAGCACTAACCTCTGGTGCCCTCATTTCTCCCCCATATTCGCCTGTCTTCCACCTCAAGCCCAGACGAGAGTCGGTCACCTCTCTTATCAAGGTATCCCGCTGGCTTTCCATCTCGCTGAGGATGTCCAGCCCCTTTAGAACCTCCGCCATATTCTCGAAGTCCTCTTCTGTCTCCGGTACCGCGCCTACGAGCGCTCCGCGCAAGTCAGCCGGAAGACCCAACGCAGAAGCCTGCCCAAACTGCGCAAAGTGAGCTGCTACCACCCTCGCCGGGACCTCCGGCGAGGCATCGAATGTCTGTATCCGTGCGAGGGCATCACCGGGATCTAGTTCTACGGTGTTTTCGGGTATCAACTGGGAAACTAGGGCTGCAAGTGCTGGCATCCTCCAGAGAACCCACAGCTCCTGGACTGACGGTTCGCGTTCTTTCGCAAGGATCAGCTCTTTGTGCCTAGGGCACAGAATGGGAAAGTCCATGCGATCACTTACCTGCCTCTGCCAGTGAATCTTCCATTGTTCAAATGGAGACGGGGCTCATTGACACAAAGCTTTGTCGTGGCAGTCTTTTGGGAGTTTGGATACAAGACTGCAGTGTGGTGGGTGAGTCGAATCCGAGGTGCGCACAGAAACGAATTTTTTGAAGAAAAAAAAACACCCGCCAAACGTCATGTAGTGTCGCGTGCTTTACTCACTTTATAATCGTCTCGTCCTTTCTTGACAAGGTCCGTTTTCCCTACTCCAATGTCGTCAACTGACATACATCTCAGGAGTGACCAAGCCACAGTAACGCTTTGCGCCACGACACGTGACGCACACAGCCAGCATGACAGTCAGGCGCCACATGTGCTAAGCCATCCAATTGAGCTCTATCCCATCCGTTGTTGACAGCAAACAGGAAACCTGTCGCAGCCTGACCAAAGCAACGGGCATCCCTGGTCTGAGAATTGTGCGGTCGTGATGCTGCAGCACCGTGCTTGGCAGCGCAATGCGCACTTGGTTCGCCGGGCAAAGCTTAGGCATGAAGGTTCCCGCCCAAGTCGGGGCATCCAAATACGCCAGCTGTTGACGCGGTCACGATGTCAACACGGAAATGCGCCTGGCGCGCCATTTCCGCAGCAGCCCCAACCACACACCTCACCAGCCACACCACGCGGTCCCACGGCCACGCTTTTCGGCCGCGACGACGTCTTTCATCCACATCAAGGCCCGCTGGTGGTTCCTCAGCGCCGGTACGCGCATGCGTCGTCGCCTCGCCTAGGCACTCGAGGTGACGAGCAGCGCAGAGTGGTAGGCTGTGGGGCGCCCACGGCTTCTGATAGGCCCTCCTTGTGGGGAAGCGTGCCGAATCCCGAGAGCCAAGGGCTGTCTGCCTCTGCCGATCAAGAGCCCCTGAACGCCGGCTTTGGTGGCCAGCATTCAGGCCGGGTCCGTCTTGGCCCGGTGGTCGGAAGCCCATCCTGCGTGACCTCCCTGTCGCCGCCCTCCCGCCCACACTCTAGGAGATACTTCTCTTTCAGCCAAACGAAGCGAGACAGCGACTCAAAAAAGCACGGCCGCGGAGATGACGAACCATCCCTTGGTTGCCGCATGCTCGAGTCGGCGGCCACCTCGTTTGCTTCTATCTTCGTGCTAGCTCTCGGATTCGGCGCTGCCGGCTATGGATACCACAAATTCTACAAGCATCTGGTGCTCCAGAAAATGCAAGGCGCCTTTGAACCCGGAGATCCTGTCCTAGACCTCGCGGCGATGAGCAAGGGCATGACGGCATCGCCACCGACGACGCATATCAAGGGCGATCATAATGTCGAGGAAACTCCGCACTGGGTGCAGCGTTTCGAGCAGCAAAAGGTCAACGACATTGTAGCCGGACAAGAGGCTGGGCACTACTACCTGTTTCTGGGCGAAAAGGGCACAGGCAAGAGCAGCATGCTGCTCGACGCAATGCGCAAGATCGACGGCGACGGTGTCGCCATGTTCGAGGCCCACGCCGACCTCGAGATCTTCCGCATCCGCCTCGGCAGGGCGCTCGACTACGAGTTCCATGAGGACTACATCGGCAGCTACTTTAGCGAGCGCGGGCCTCGCGACACCACGGCCCTGCTCGACATAGAGCGCGCCCTGAATAAGCTCGAGAAGGTGGCCATGCTCCACCGCAAGAAGCGGCCCGGCCGACCGCTCGTCGTCATCATCAACCAGATGCACCTGGTGCGCGACGACGACGACGGCAAGGACCTCCTGGAGCTGCTCCAGCAGCGCGCCGAGCAGTGGGCCGCCGCGAAGCTCGTCACCATTGTCTTCAACAGCGACGACTACTGGGTGTACGAGCGCTTCAAGCAGCTCGCCACGCGCATGGAGGTGATGAGCATCCATGACCTGCCCAAGACCGAGGCCACGGCTGCGCTCAAAAAGTACCGCCTCCGCCACTTCCAACAGCACCTCTCTGACGACCTAGCCGAGAAAATATATGACAAGGTCGGCGGCCGCCTGTCCTTCCTGAACCGTGTCGCCAAGGTCAAGGACAGTGACAGGATGCTCAAGAAATGCGACGACATTATCGAGATGGAGAAGACCTGGTTTCTCAACCAGTGTTGGGTCCTCGGCATGGAGATGGACGACGACGTGATGGATCAACAGAAGTGGGCGGTCAGTGTCCAGCACCATGTCTTGTCCCTCACCAATGTTTGAGAAGTGTTTATACTGACAAGATGGCTCGATGTCAACCGCCACACCATTCTATTTAGGCTGCGGCAATGGTCCTCGTACTAGCTGTAAGCTCCCAAGCCCTTCTCTACCGAAGCTTCATCCACTGTAGAGCCTCCCACGCTAACACCACTTCCACAACTCCAGCTCGTTGACAAGGAGTCCGAAATGGACAAGACGTATGACCCGGTTAAAGGCCACGTCCTACCGTCGTTTGCCCTCCACCAGGCACAGCAGATCATGACGCGCGCTGACTTCGTGCGCGCCCTGGACCGCCTCAACCTCTTCACCATTACCAGCAAGGCCCAGGTGCGAGCCTCGTCGGTGCCCATGCAGATGGCCTTCCGCGAGATCTGCTCCGAGCCGGGCTTCCGCAAGCACCTGGACGATAGCATACTGCGCATCGCCGACATTGAGAGCCTCGGCCGCACGCGCGAGCTCGTCGCCAAGGATCTGGTCATTGGCGGCCACTACGAGATCGAGATGCAGCCGCCCTCGGGTGCCGCGGGCGGTGGGGGCGGTCGTCCTTCCAAGGCAGTGGTCAGGCTGAGGGAACTGCCTGGCACTCGCCCGGCCGCATCGACCAGGCCTGTCGACGAAGAGGATGAATCTACGTAGCACCTAACCCCTCTTTGCTACCACCCTCCCTCGTATCGAATGTTTCCCCCCTACGTCGGATGTTTTTTCTTCTTTCTTTTTCTTTGTTCTTCTTTGTTTTTTTTGTTCTTGCTCTGCGCCTCACACTTGCTTCTTTTGCTTTTTCTTTTTGTTTCCATGGAATCTTCTCTGATACTTTAGGCATGTCGTCGCTGATCATCCGGGGGTGGCGGCTGTCATTGTGTGACAGGCCCCTTTCTTATTTCCTTTTGTACAATCCTGTAACAATAGATCCAGGGAGCACGAAAATAGCCACTGTACTTGCTACTAACGTGCGTAGCGGCAAGCCTCACCTCCCCTTGCCAGCCTCTCACGCCTGATCAAAAAAAAACGGAACACTTTTCAATTTTTGCCCCAGTGCATACCACCACCAATTGAAAAGTGTTCCGGTTTTTTTTTATCCGGGCGTGCCTCTGTTCCCCTTGTCGACGCCCGGATCTTGTGTTTCTCGGAATTCTTCTCGGATCGCCCGTCGGCTACTCATGCTGGCACCAACCCTCTCCTCCGAAGCACCCTTTGGTCTCGGCCGGCACCCCCTTGCCGATCCTTACTAGCGCTCCAGGGATCGTCCTGGTTCTTTCCGAGGTGGCGTCGCCGCTATTCATCTCTTCCCTGGGCGAAGTGGCCCCCCAGGCCTTGCAGGCTTTCTTGTCACCCTATTCCCTTCTCCCCCCCACGTAATCTCCCGGTCAATTTCCTATCGTCTGTATGGCGACTGCCTCCAGCCTACCTGCCCTTTCGCCCCCGCCCGTCCTCGCGCTTGGCCACCTCAGGCCTAGCCTAGCCCGGAGGCTTCGTACGAAAGGTCCAGCCGGAAGTTCCATCCGGCGCCACCCTAGATGCGTTCCTCCTCTCCCCTAGCCCAGAAGTAGCCCGCATGCGGTCGGCTAGGCCAGGAGGAGCTTCCTTTAGCCCATCGGGTTCTTTGGAATTCTTCCCGCGCCAGCGCTGGGCACACACATGAGCTATGCTCCCCGGCCCGCCAAGATCACGCCCAAAGAAAGCCCCGAGGCGGGCGGCCTTTGGAGCCCAGGAGATCCGCCTCACATCACACACATTTCCCTTCTGCCTAATTCAACATGACGGGAGATCAGCGGCAGGGGCCGCCTGCCCCTTTGTGTGATTCCGCGGGATCTTTGCTTCTTGTGGACAAGAGGACAACAAAATAAAATATAAAATAAACCGCCAAGCGGGTTTGGAAACCTTGGGTGACATCCATTGTTGTCGGGATATGCTTTCTATCCTGTTCCTTGTGCTGATCATTCGTTTATCACCGGACCCAGCGGGCCCTATTTATACGGTTAGTTCAACTCTCTCACAATCCCAGGACCCCAGGTGCCCAGGCTTCCAGGACCCGCCCAAGGAAGATATGCCATATGGAGACCCATCCGGTGCCTTGGCCCCCACCGCGTCTTCTGTTACGTTACGTTAGCACCCCCGTGATGCAGCGAAGAATCTGCAGCATCATCACCAACGGACCCGGCCTTCTGGGCGCAGCAGGATATCGTCAATGATTTGCCACACCATCATACGGGCTGACACAGGCGTCTCTGTAGCTTGCGTCGCGGAGGATGATGGGCCTCCCCTCTGCACCAACACGCCCACACACACCACCCGGGAGGATGGACAATCCGGAGCAGAACCAACGAGGAGGCTGAATGCAAGGTCCTGGGTATGGAGCCAGCAGTCATATGAGGCCAGCAAGCGCGAACCTTAATGACCAAGCTAGCATCCGTTGGTACTAGTAGGCGCCGGGCGCAACCGACCACGCCCCCCTTTCCTCATTGTTTTCCCACCCGGCCTTTGGTTGCCCTGCGGGTGAGGGAAAGACGGAAGGAAGAACCTTGGTTATGGTACCGGTGACTTTGTAGAGACCGAGGTAGCGACGAGGCCGCTGTCCATAATCACCAGCACCAAGGCCCGCATTAGGGTGCCCTCGCCCGTCCCAGGTGCCGTTTGGGCCATTCTTGTCATCAGGGAGACGAGGCGGGCGGGACGACCGGAGCCTGTGCGTCTGCATCCGGATGGGTTGGATGGGATGTCTTGACGCTCTCCCAAATGTCAGTCAAGACTCAACAAAACGTAAAACAGTGAGCAGGGCGTTTTCCGTGAGTAATGATATGCAGGCCTGCCGCACGATTGCATATGGGCGATTCTGGTCATTCACCCCGTCGGACCTTCTTCCCCGGTTCCTCTACTTCGTTGAGAGAAGGGTGACAAGGCTACGTCTCGCCGCCGACGGGCCAAGCTTGGCGCACTTCTCCTAGATGGGCCATGGCTGAACGTCAACACAAGAAATATGAGGTAAAAAAATAAAATAAAATAAAAAGGTCCACGCCGGGCTAGAATAGCAAACGATCACCCACCCTCGCCCCCTTTTTCCACCATCCCGAACCGGCCCGAGATCTGCCATGTCCGACCAAGATCTTCCTCCATTTAGCGGCGCTGGCCAAAGTTGGCATGTTGGGGCCATGACGACGGGGCAGGCCATTCCGTTCCGAGCCTTGTGTGAGGTTGTTTTCGTCCTCTCTGGCAAAGCTCGGAAAATTAGCAAACATGCGTGATGCGAGATCGAGGTAGTCCACGTGCAGCCAGCCTACGGCGCGTCTCAGGTCCCAATGAAATCGGTAGTGTGCAGTAGTCGAGTGGGCCACCTCCTAGTCGAGCTCCAAGTTGCCCTTGGCTCGGTGCTCGAAGTGGCAAGGGCACGCGATGTGTCCTTCCCGCTCCGACCTTCTCGCCGCCCCTCGCGCTCTTCGGAGAATTCTTCGCCCGGTGTAGGGCGGGCGGGCTGGAAAGGTGGAAAGGTCATCGGCGGCTGAGGGAGGGTAGGAGGGCAAAAGGTGAATGCCAAATCGACATCTCGAAAGATCAACAACCCATTCACCTGGACCGACCAGTCCCCCCATCTGCAGGGACGCCAGCACTCGTCATCTGCAACGTGAACGGACAATCACAGGCGGTGTGTGCAAGCAAGGCAAGCAAGGCAAGCAGTAGAGCGCTAGCATGCTGGATGCATAAAAAATAAATAGGGGGCGGATCGGACGACGCACAGCAAACAGAACCCAGGCTAGGGATTGCGACATCTGGTCAAGATGGGGAAATACGCAACCCAGCTTTGGGTTCTCCGGAAAGAAGCAAAGAGCAGCAAAGATTGGCAGCGGGGGACCCGGCGGAGAAGTCTACACCGTGGCTGTGTGGGAAAGCACTGATGATACACTACTTCACCCAGAGCCACCACAAACACAACGGTGTGTGCAGCAGTCAAAAGCCACCAAAGGTCGGGAGCCGATCCGAGCGTCTGCTTCATTGCCTCTCTTGTAAATGAGACAAGAATCAAGCCCTCTTTTGACTGGGCAAGGTTCATGGGTGCTGCAGAAGCAGACTAGCTGGCAGCCGGGGAGAGAGTGAGCAAAATGGCTAATAAGACTCGGTGTGCATGGACAAGTGCCGCTCGTCGTATTCCGCGCTGCGGGCTGCCAATGGAGACGACCCAGTCCAGTGGGGTATCTACTTCTACCAAGATGCAAGGTGCCCCCCAGTCATGGCATCAGACCTTTGCGTTGGCTTGGACAAAATAGGAAAGGCGTGGGCAAGGTGTGTATGAACGCGAAAACGCGACGAGGCTTCTTGGCGTCACAATCGCTGCCCCAGACGACCCGTGAGAGATAGGGAGTCGTGGTGTTGCTTCTTCCGGCTGGTAATCCACCGAGGACGAAAAGATGTGGAAGCACCGGCACGATGCTGCGCCCCTTTGCCAGGGGTTCCCTCGTCCACTCAGAGATGGCTTACCAGTTTAGGCAAGCCGCAATGGATCAAGGCAGCCTGCCCGAAGTGGCGTTTACTTTGGTAATTCCAGGTATCGATATATGCTCGGTACATTCGTCCTTGCCAAACACCAGATTGGACAAAGCACAACCCAACCATGCCCTTCTCTCCACCTAGGTACCCTTCTGTATAAGGCTAGGAGGCGCTTTGAAAAATACGTCTGTGTCCCGCTAGTCGAGCCGTCATGACAATGCTCGGGTTCCCAGTATCGGACGCCATCCGATAGTATAAAAAAAAACGCGCATCGCCATCCGCCGTGCAGCGACGACTCTGTGGCCTGTGCTGGACGCAAAACCCCCCACGTCTCCGATGCGCTTGCAGACCGGCTACGGAGGCAAGATCGAGGAAAAGGGGGGGAGGATAAGAGCCTGACAGGTCGACGCAGGGGACGGTGGATTTTTCCTCGACCCTGAAATACGGCCATGCACTCGTCTGAGTCAGTCGGGCAGACAGTCAGTCCCCTTGCGCTGCTTCGGGATCGTTGATGGCGCAAAGAATGGGAGGGGGTCGGAGGAGGGGATTATGCGTGCCATCCTGCCGAACGCCTAATGGTTCCCGCCAAGTTAAGGGTACATGGGCCAGGAACCAGCAGAGCTGGCGCCTGCAGACTGGAGGCGGGGCTGCCCCGCCTCCGGGTTAGCCATTAGCGAGCGGCGGGGTGGGTGGTGGGTGGTCCGGGCGTGCTCCCGTCCTTTCCAAACCACCAGCAGAGTACGCACCAGACCCCATCAGGTTATTCTTGGGGGCGGGAAGGGAGAGCAGAGCAGCATGGTCAGGACGCTCCTGCGCACTACCTATCGCTAGGACCTCCAGCGACTTGTTTCCAGCCTCAGGGCCGTCAATAACTCATAGCCTAAGGTAGGGCCACCGGCACGGGCCTTACAAACTGAGTGGGGACGAAACCAGGTAGGGGCAATGGCTAGACTAGGGTGAACGAGCTTTTTTCAACCAAGCGAGGAAGGATCACATTAACCTAACCAGTCGAGCATCTTCTTCTGGGCAAAAGTGACCATCCCAGGAGCAATGCTACCCAGTCAGATGCGTCGTGTTCGCTTCTTTGCTTTTTCGTTCTTCCTTGCTTTTTTTTTTCTTTTTTTCTCGCTGTCATTCTTGCGGTCTGCAACCGACAGGACAATTTAGCGGTGTGTCAAGCAGGCTCCCGTCAGGTGGTGTAAGGCCTCTCGCCCGCATTGGCCCTCTTGTAAAAGTGCAGACCCCGAGCACTTGCCGGGCTATGACAAAGAAGAGCAGATGTGAGCACTTTACTCCGTTGGTTCCGGGGAAAGCGACGTTGCCTCCGGAGGGGTGGTGCGTATTACGGTCCAAGTCAGCCTCACTCTTTGCCCGCCATCCCACCGGCTTCCTCGGTGAAACAAACAAAAGGAAACCCCCCCTTCTTGGAGGCAAATCCCAGTGAGGGGTTTGGGGTGTTTTGATTCGCGCAGGCCCTCACCACACGCGGCTGGTTTCGGGGATTTCTTTGAGATGGTGGGATCTTGGACGTCAGAGACCGACTCGACCGTTTGTTCTACAGCATCGCTCCCCGGCTCCAGCGAGGCCCGGAGGGTGCCCACTACCACCCACCCACAGGGGGGCCGTGACTGTGATGTGCAGCAAGCAGAGGGCCAGGCGAGGCGAGGCCCGTCTGGCGCTAGCGTTGGGCTGGACTCGAAAGAGCTTGTGCATGTCACTTCATGTTCGTTGATATGTCGAACCTATCAGACACCCCTGTGCCAAATACATGCGGTTTCGACCAAGGCATGCAACCGCATGGTGATCTTGGCCTGGGCCTGGCCACTCGCGTTTAAGCTGGAGACGTCTTTTTGACCTGCCGCAAATATCGCCCATCGAGCATGAGGATCGGTGGTCTGGAGGGAAGGCCCCTCACATCGTGGCATCTGGCACACTCACTCCCTCAGTTAGTGGCACAGGTACAAAAGTAACATGCGCGAGCAAGGCCTGGGCTAGAAACGCACGTGCTAGAAAGGTTCACAGGTACCGTGGAGAGATCTAGAAAAATGGGTGCGTATCTGCAAGTTCTGGTCCAGAAGCTCCCGAGGCAATGGAACCCTACTAGGTGGAGTAGATTTAAGGGTGGTGGGAGCAGACGATGGAACTTCACGTAGCAGCTTGTTAGCGTTGATAGTAGCGTCCTCTTGGACTTGCAGAGGACGATCGGCAAGTCGCAAAAGGATCGACGACGGTCCTGGTCTCAGGCCCTCGGCGATTCGACTCCTGAAGATCCACACCGGTGGAACACCTCGCTGGATATTACGGCCACGACGAGAAGAAACCATAACGACCAGAGTGGAGAGAAAAATCAAAGGTGAAATTATTGGTAACAAAAAGGAAATGGAAGTAGCCGAAGGCAATGGGGAAGAAGTCGGAGGATCACGGCAGGATTTAACGAGGGCGGGACAGAGGATCGCTTCTCATCCCGCTTGGAGGAGGAAAAGTAACCACTGATACAATAAACTACCACTTACGGACACACCCGAGCGCGTCACTGCGAGTCTTCTCAACCACCAGCAGGCCGCCATGTGACAGCTTGTTCCACCACAGGGACCAGCACTTTGTCATCGCCGAGCCGAGTTAGACAGCGAGTTCGGCCGGGCTGCTGACGGGAAGAAGTGCACAATGGGCTGGCAGATGGCTGGCACCGTTGGACCCGAGTCGAGAGCGCAGGCGCGTTGCGTCTGTGCTTGCACTAGTAACGCCAACGGGCGGTTGAACGGAGAGAACACAGCTGCGAGAGAATCAAGGAGGGCGACGGATGGGGTATTGATTGCGCAAACATCTGGGCGTGCCCTGCGGCAAGTTCCTAGCCCTGGCCCAGAGGAGTCGGCTCGATGGTAGCGACCGTATGTGCCATTTTAACCTCTTTGATCGCCGGGCGAGAAAGGATTCTGCACAGCGGTAGACTTTGCGCAGGTCAACATGCCACATCAGGCAAATGGCAGAAGAAACATCAGAAGAAGGTCGTCAGAAAAAACCTTATTCTCAGCTGCCCGCCCCTGTCGCAGTCTTTTTTTGTCTGCCTCCACTGCCAACAGGGCGCGCTCAGGTTCGGCTCCGACTAACAGGGGTACCTGGTCATCCGTGCACCCATCACAGCCCCAGCTGTCGCCCCACCTAGACCAATGGGATTGGCGACGGGCGGGTGCGAATGTCTAGGGTGCGATCAGCTAGGGCGGGGACTGAGGGATTGCTCGACGGCACTTCGAAATGGGAAGGAGGGGCCCAGGGGACGGACTGCAGTGAACCCGCAACAACAGGCGCCAGCTCGCTGATCAAGGATCTTTGGTAGGCCTCTCAAGTTCTTCGTTCTTTTCCCTCGTCGCTGTCGCTCAATCAACATTAGCGCCCGCCTTCGATTGGAAGCCTTCACGCCCCTCCCTCGAGCTGCCAGCAACTCGGGAGCTAGTACTGAAGACCCAAGGAAACGACTGAGCCTGTTTTCTCCCTCCATGCATGTCTCGCACGACGACGCCACCTTGCAGGCACTGGGCTCGATGACGAGACGAGAGCCCTTTGCGCCGGGCATGCTGCAGCTACCTTGGCTACCTGGGCATCGACTGGGTAGTAGGTAGGTACCAAGATAGCGGTACCTCCTCCCATCATCTCGCACTGATGCACATACGGGGCCCTAGAAGCTGCTAGGGAAATGAGGCCATAGTGGAGTGTCACCAGCCGGGCAAAGACGCGTCGCCGTTCGCTGCCCGTGTCTGCCCGTGTCTGCCCGTCGGCCCTCTTCCAACCCGTCCCCTTGGGTGCCCAGTGGGCTGCTCTGTTTGACATTGGGCTTCTGCTGGTGCACAAAATATGCGTGCCGGCATTGACTTCTCGTGTCTGTCCCCTGTGCCAGCTCGGCACAAGGGACACCCAACCGAATCCGCGCCAGGTTCGACCGAAGCACGACAGCTGCCTCCCGCGAAACCCGGCCCTCTTGACTCCCCGGCTCGCGCTCTCGCCATGTCCCCCTTGCCGGGCCAGGAGGCCAGGAGGCCATCAGATCGACGTGGTGCTCCGGCCGGGGTCGCACCGTAGCCATCATGTACCTCCCAACCAGGGCCACCAGGCCTGTCCGCCATCGGCACCTTGCTTTCTCCATGTCTCGTGCGGTCCGCCTGCGCGCCCATGTTTCCACATGCAGTGACACCCACGCTGCCCTTTGGTGGTGGAGGTGATGCCGGCTTCCCTCCACCCACGGCCGAGGTCAGCCTCTGCCCATGTATGTACATGCACTCATACCCAAGTACATATCACTGCCGTCGCTGCCCCTTGTCGACGGCTTGCGTATAACCCCTCCCCATCACTCTCGATCCCTCCTTCCTGCCCCGGCCCCCCTACTTGCTCCCAAGCTCTTTGGCCCGAAAATCCTCAAGGCGGCCTATGTGCCCTGCCCATCCAACATCCACCCATAGAACCTCTACGTTTCGACTCTCATCCTGCCGTCCCAGTGGCCTCTTGGCCAGCCCTCCAGCAGCCCCCTAGCGCCCCCGTCATCCCCTGCCCACCGGCCGTCACTCTCCGTGGCTGCCACCACCAACCACCACCACTACCGCCCGCTGCTATTCATCTGTTGCTTCTTCTTCGTTCACCCCTCCTCAACAAGTCTTCTGACCCTTGCCCTTGTCCCTGTTTCTTCTTCGGCGCCGCGCTGTCGCTTGTCTCCTTTTCCCCCCACCTCCCCCCCATCCCACCCCTGCCCTCCTAGCAAGTGCATGGGGTAGGCCTCGGGACCGTGGCGCACATCGACTGAACCGAACTAGCCAACCAAACCAGGTCTCCCCCTCCATCTTTGCGCGTTAGCTTGCGCCTCTCCTTGCTTTCTAAAAGTGATACTTCTACCTGGCACCGCCGCCTAGAAGACCCTCTGCCCGTCCCCTTGGTTATGGTCTCGCTATTGACGAGCTATGGATTGCTCGCTTCCCGTCGAGGCAAGCGATGGGAGCTTCTTCCACTGGTCCGACCGTCGCAGCATGGATTCAGATGACGACCCGACCATGATGCTTGATCAAGCGCCAAGGTGGATGGACTCGGCGTTTTCCATGTGTCCCTCCCTGCACCCTTCAGCCCGGCCATCCCACCTGGACCGCGCCGGCCACCTCTCCCCCATCAGCACCAGCATGGACATGATCATGACCGCCGATGGTGCCTGTGACACCAGCTGCCCTCCATCGGCAACCGCCCCCGCCATGATCCACTCAGCATCCTCCTCCTCCTCCTGCGACGGCGACGCTTGGAGCAACAGGTTCGGGGACTCGGACGACCACAGCGCCGGCGAGAGTGCCCACGATGGCGATGCCAACTGGGAGCAGGGCTCTGACGATGTCCTCACCCTCCCCAAGACGGAACCGATGGACGACGATGACTACGTCTGCATGGATGACCTCAAGGAGGCGCCGCTGCCTCCTATCCCCAGCAGCGAACTCGTGACGGCGGGCATTCCCAAGGTCAAGAGGCCAAGGGGCCGCCCACGGAAGCACCCCCTGCCAGCCAACTGCGCAGCAAACAAGGTCACCAAGGGGCGTTCCAAGACGGGCTGCATCACCTGCCGAAAGCGTAAGAAGAAGTGCGACGAGGCCAAACCGCGATGTAAGAAATATCCTCTTTTTCACAACGCGGCATCGCCGTCCACTAAAAGGGCCCCCAATGTTATTCGTGAAGCGGAATCTGACATTGGAGCTCTTGATTGCGCAGGCATGAATTGTGAAAAGAATGCTGTCGTTTGCGAGGGCTATCCAGAGAAACAGATCTGGAAGAGCGGCAAGGAGAGGGCCGAAGAAGGTAAGTCGCGGCCCGCCAAATCCCAGACCATGCTTCTTTGCGTCTATGGCTGCTTACAACCCATCGTTCCTCAGCACGCCTCCAAACGTCCATCCCAACCGTCACCATGCAGCCCATCTTTGAAGGACTCGAGACGCTTGAAGATCGAATTTTCTGGAAGCATTACAATGATCACCTCAGCACAGTCCTAACCGTCGAGGGCGAGCATAGGAATGCATTCAAGGAGATGCTCATTCCCATCGCCACCAGAGACAAGGGCCTGATGCACTCGATCCTTTCGGTTTCCAGCACCCACCTGGACCTCGACACTCCATATGGTTCCAGCCTCCTCAAGAAACATCCCAAGACGACGGCTGCGGCCTTGGCTGAGCGCTCAAGCCACCACCGCGCTCAGGCCATAAATGCGCTGCAGAACCGTGATCCCAGGAGTTCTGATCTCTCCCTGTCGGCGACGTACGGCCAGATGCTGTGCCTCATCCTCGAGAGCGTCGCCGAGGGCCGGTCCGACGGGCTGCATCAGCTGCACCTAAAAGGGTATCAAAGGCTCGTCCGTGAGTCTCCACCGCAGGACCCCGCGCTCCGCGCCTTCATCACCGAGTTTTTCCAATACCACATCTTTGCCGACGAGCTCCTCAGTCAACAGGAAGATGCTGTGGCCTACGAGCTCTACGAGGAGCTTGTACTCTCGCCACCTGCCGAGTGCCAGGAGGCTCCGCGATTGCTGGGCGTCGTTGACGGGCTCTTTGGTCACCTTGGTGAGATCACGTCGATCCGCAACCGCATCAGGGGGCACTTGGAGGCGCACATCGACCCTCTGGTTGACTACCCCAGCCTTTTCAAGGCCGAGGCCATCAATCATGCCATATCGGATTGGGAGCCGAGCTGGCCTAGAGGCGACAGCAGGGAGCGTGTGGCTCCGCTGTATAAACAGATGATGTGGGTATACCTGTACCGCACCGTGTATCCGCCCTCGACATCACCGGCCTCGCCAGCCCCTTCGGCGAGCAGTGTGGCCACAGCATCCACGGTTTCCGAGGTATCTCTCCCTCCGCGCAGCATGCACTATCGCGTCTCGAACGCCGCCCCTGTTGGAGGGTCGACATCTCTGGTCAACACGCCACCGAGGTCGCCTGACGGCTCCTGTTCGCCATCTCCTGAACTGCTTTCGAACAATCCTGCTTCCATGCGGACTCAAGGCCAGGACGTCCCGACCCCTCACAGCCCACGGCATAACTCCATCACACACCAGAATGTCTCGGCCCATTGCCCCCTTTCCTCGGCTGCCTCATCCTTGTCATATTCTAGCTGCGACAGCTCCTCTCCGCATACCAAGAGGTCAGGCTCAACCTCGTCGTCGAGCGACGTGGTTCATCAGCAAGGCCAGCACCCGTACCAACAACAGGCGGTGTTGGACCAACACCACTGTAAGGCCAGCTCGCCGCCGCCGGTCCGGGTCCCCTGCCAGGAGGACCGGAGGGTGACGCTGGCGGTTGAGCAGTCGCTTGACATCATCGACTCTATCACGCCGACGGACCCGGCGCAGACGCTCCTCCTGATCCCGTGTCTCGTGGTGGGGACAGCGTGCTTCGCGCCGCAGCAGCAAGACCGCATTCGCGCTGCCGTACACACCGTCAGGGGCTACACTGGCCTGCGCAACGCGGACCGAGTCCTGGAGCTGCTCGAGGAGGTCTGGCGGCTCATGGCCGAGGGGGACTGGCTCGCTGTTTGGGACTGGCAGGGCGTTGCCTCTCGCAAGGGGCTCAATTTCCTGTGCGCTTGACCCTTCGGTCACTCTGCTCACCAAAAGAAGTTTTCTTCTCTGCATCTTTTCCATTGGATTTCCTATGGGATGGGCTTTTCATCATTGTCATTCCTATCTCTGTGTTTTTCACAAATACCTGTACTCGTGTGTTTACTCACACAGCTGGCGCCGCGGGCTCGACTCACTTGTTTCCCTCCCGGCCTAGCTAGCGTTCGCTTCTGCCTTTCTATCTTCTTGTTTCACACTATACCCGCTCGCTATTTCCGCCGGCTTGTTTCCGGGCTGTTTGCTAGATAGTGCGCGACTTCCTTTCGTTTTATTGTCGTTTCGGGACCGGTTATTGCATGTGGCGGGCAGTTGGTGGTGTTGACAGGATTCTGGGTTATGGCTTAGGGGTCTTTTTCCAAAGCGATGGTAGGATATCACCGGCTGGGCACAGGGGTAACACGGCACGGCTCATATACATGGTCAAGAGAAAAGGACATAAATGGTATTGGTAGTTTTTGATGGACAGAGGCTTCACAATCACAACCACTCTGGACACTGAGCGCTTGGTATAGAGTGACAACGGCGGCTGGACTGTGCCGGATTTTGGCCGTTTCAATTCTAGTGCCTACATGCTATGTACCTATGTGGGCATCTCTCTTCCTTGGTTTCCTCTCGGGCATACCAGTCACGTGAAGATGGGACTGTCTCTCTCCCCAAACGACACCCCAAAGAAAGAAAAAGGCGCTCAGCAGTTGTCGCCGTGGACGATGGTGCGCCAGTTCCAGTCGTCGGTGACGCTCCCCTGCATAAAGTGGACGTTGTTGGTGCAGCGCTCCTCGAGGTAGATGGCGCGCTCGCCGATGGTGGCGCACGGGACGGCCAGGGTGCCGACGTTGTCGTTGCACCAGAAGATGCCCGAGCCCCACTGGCACGCGGCGCGGGTGCAGAGCTTGCCCGTGAGGGTGCACGTGCCCCCGGCCCTGCGCAGCGTCTCGGCGCTGTCGAGGATCCACGGGATCCGCGCGATCGGGAGCTTGTAGCGCATGCAGTCGTGCGAGCGCTGGTGGTGGTTTGGTCAGTGTGTGAAAGTAGTAGTAGTAGTAGTAGAGAGTGAGAGAGAGAGAGAGAGAGAGGTGTCCGTATCTGACTTACAACGCCAGCAGGAGCGGCCTCGGCCTCGGCAAACTTGGCCATTTCGGCATGGGGACGGTTGAAGTTGAAGATGGAGTAGGTCTCGTTGAGCTGCCTGGCCTGCTGCTCGATGTTCTGAAGCAGGTTGTGAAGAAGGGAGAAATCCCCGGGTCAGCATCATCTCACTCGACTCGCAGCTGCAATCTTCTCTCCCTTCTCACGCACCTCAAACGTCGGGCCGGTCAGTGTGACCTTGCCCTTGCCCGGCTCCAGCTCGCCCTCCCACGTCATGTTTCCCATGGCGCCGGTGGAGACCGCATCGTCGCGGGGAACGATCGGCGACGGCTGTTTGTTAGGTGGGGGCCGAGGTTTCTAGGTCAGTGGCTGACTTGAGAGCAGACAAGGGTCGAGGTCTGCTCTGCGCAAAGATGCGCCGCTGGGAGGAGGTTCACCTTGGCGACAACGAGGACGGCCTGCGGGCCGGCGGCGAGCAGCAGCAGCGCGGCCGGCGAAGCAAGGTGAGTTAAACGCATGGTTGTTCTTTTTTTGGGGGTTTGCGGTGTGATTTTTGGTGACAATTCTGCGTCGTATGGGCGTTGTTGGCTTTTTTCTTGGTCGGTGGAGGGAGGGTTGTGTTGGTGAGCAAGGACGAGGAAGACCCATGCGAACTTTTTTGGAGTAATTTATACGTGAGCATGCATGTCCTTTCTGCTTCCACGCCCATCTGAGAACGTAGTGAGGATGGGATGGCGGGACGGTCAGTCCGCCGGGCTTGTTCAGCAAGTTTGGACCATGGCGGGTCGGCTTCGATGATGTGGTTTGCACCGGAGTTTGACTGTGCGTTTGTGGTGATTACAAGCCTTGCCGACTCCGTCACGGAGCGGTATATATATATATGCTGGCTTCCGCCACAAGATACAGACGACCTCTGTCTTCCTCCTAACGCAACAAGTTCTTCATGCGGGGGCTAGTTGTTACCATGTGACAGACTCACCTGTACGTGGTACTTGTACTCAAGTTGCAGAGCTGGGGAGATGAGGAGGCGACGTCGAGGAACCCGAGATACTTGTCAGTTGTGGAAATTCGGTGCTGTACAGGCCAAGGCCGGGTTGGCGGACTCCCATAGGTGTGTGTTCGCAGCACTAGACGGAGCAGTAACATGTACTCCAGGCGTTTGTAAGGCTACATATTGGTCGAGATTAGCCCCGAATATGACCATGAATACAAAAGATCACAAGCTACAAAGGATTAGGGCTCTCGGGTCTGTGGGACAGGCACAGACAGCACAAGTCATAATTACAATCCCGCGTGGGTTGAGATCACGAGTGTTTCCACACTTCTCGAGTGCTCTGGTACGCTTTCTGCAGCTAATATTTTAAGCGAGGTGAGATTCGCAACCGCACTTCTTGGTATCCCCCGCTTCGATGTAAGTCGCAAGCGCCATTTTTGGTATCATTGACGAAACATATCTCCCAATCTCCAAGTCCAAGAGGTGCGCAACCTCGGTGCCCCCTAAAATCCAACTCAAAACTCCATCCCAAATCCAGGGTTCAGATCCTGCCAAGCATGTTAGCGACACCAATGTCCCGATGCCTCTTGAAAAAGCGAGGAAGAGAACGGACAGAAGGTAGGGACCAGATATCTTACCATGCTGTCGTCCCAGCTGAAATTCCAGGTGCCAAACTGGACATTGTCCTCGAACCCCTGCAACATGTCTAGGTCCGAGAAACCGGGTGTCACCATGGGCGGCATCAGAAAGCTGCTCGTGGCGTCCAGGCCCAGCCCAAGACCGCCGCCCATGTCAAAGGGCTCCGCGCCGAGCCCCGCCGGCGCTGTCTCGGCAGCCTGCTGCTGATGGTGGTCCTGCATTTCCGCCGCGTTGGCCGTGGCCTCCTCCGCCGACGACTCGTGTCCGCCGCCGCCGCCGCCACTACCACCACCACCACCACCGCCGTGCTCACGGATGGCCCTCTCCTCAAATTCGGCCAGGTCGAGCAGCAGGTTGTGCGCGGCCGTGACCGACGCCGTCATGGCGGCGGACAGGGCGGCCGAGATGGCGTCCTCGCCGAGGCCCGACGCGATGGCGCGGTTGTAGGCCATCAGGCAGTCGCCGAACGCGACGCCCTGCGCGTTGGTCTCGCCCGACAACATGCGGCGCGCCGTCCAGGCCCGCGACGCCGCAGTGATGCTGATGATCTGCGCCGTGTCGTTGTCGTCGTCGCCATTGCCGTCGCCGTAGAGGTCCGCGGGGTTGGCGATGTGGGATGGGAGGTCCCCGTCGCCGCCGCTGCCGTGGGACTCGACCTGCTCGCGCGCCCGCTGCTCCAGTTCCACGACGGCGATGAAGAAGGACTGCATGGGGGCGCTGCGGAAGTGGCCCGTGCCGTTGAGGCAGAGGCGGTAGAAGTCGGCGTTGCCGTCGTGCGGGGAGGGCGCGCCGGGCGTCGCGGGGCTGCTGCTGGCGCACATGCTGCGGCCGATGGGGTCCCGGGCGGCCATGGTGTCCTGCATGAGCTGCTGGAGCTGGGGGGACGCGGCCGCATAGTCGGGAGGGGACGGCGCGGGGGCCCTGGCGGCGGCGGCGGCGGCGGCGACCTTGGCGGCAACGGAGCCGTGCATGACCCCGGTCGGTATGCAGATGGCCACGATCTTGAGGGCCGTGTCGAGCAACACCTTGCGCGAGTAGTAGAAGACGGGTGACCGCAGCGCCGAGCGCAGGACGGGGACGTGCAACGTAAAGTATGTGCGCGTTAGCATCAGGCGCGCGAACCGGACCCGGAAGCCCGCGGCGGAGGAGGGGTTCGCGGCCGAGGACATGCTGCCCGCGCCGGTCCCGACGCTCGACGAAGACGGGCCGCTGCCCCTGTCGCCGCCGCCCCCGGTGCTTTCGAGGACGCGTCGCATGGCGCCCTTGACGGCCCTCCCCAACGCCGCGTCAAGCCTCAGGGTCTCGTCGTACGGGACGGCGCCGACGCCGACGCAGTTGACGTGGCGCGTGACGGCCAGGCGGGTGGCAAAGGACTCGGCCAGAGCTAGCGGGACGGCCATCTCTGCGCCGGCGCCGCCCGCAAAGCTGGCGTCGGCCTCCTCCTGAGTGGCCAGCTCGGTTAGCTGGGCGTCGCTCAGGTCCGCGGGCGGGCGCGTGTTGTAGTCGTCCGGGTGCACGAGCGGGGCGCCGCCGGCGTCGACGGCCGACTGCAGGGCGATCTCGAGGATGGTGGCCCACAGGCGGCGACGCAGCTCGGCCTTGAGCAGCGGCATGCGGCGCACCAGCGTCGACGGGTCACGGTGCAGGCCCATGTACATGGCCGTGCGCAGCAGGCTGCCGGCCCCGACCCAGCTGGTGTCGGCGCCGGGCCCGCACGTCTGCCGGCACAGGTGGATCAGGCACTGGATCTGCAGGCCCGTCAGCGTCATCTTTTTCTTGTCGCGCATCAGCGGGTTGACGAGCCAGAAGAGCGCTTCGTACAGCCACCGCATGGCAAGCGACCTCAGCGAGAAGCGCTCGTCGTGGAAGACGGCGCCGAGGGCCATGCAGAGCTGGATGAGCACCACCGTCGCCTCATCCGTCTCGGCGGGCGCCCGCCAGTAGCGTTCGTAGTCGGCCCGGAAGGTCGGCACGTGCACCACGCGGTAGACCGTCTCGAAGGTGCGCAGATACGCCTCGACCAGCGAGTCGGCTAGCTCCCGCGACGGCATGTGCTTGCCGGGCGACGTTATGCTGGCAGGGTCTGGCGCGCGGCGGGCCTTGATCCTGCGGCCTATAGCCTTGCAGTCCATCAGCTTACGGTGCAGGCCCAGCAGCTCTGGGTCCCCATTATCTATCCTATCCTTGAACGCGAGCAAGCGATGTATCTTTGGCGTGTCAGCTGAGAGCACCAAGGCCCGGCATCGAACTACCAGGTAGAACGGGACATGCTCACCATGCTCCTATTGCCAATAATGGAGCCATTAAGCCAATGACTCTGCCCAAAATAACGGGTCTTCTGGATGCTACCCTCACGAATTTCCATCCAGGGCCCTTTACGTCTCGCCTCCTGGCGGGCATCGGCCTGGCCGTGCAACCTCACCGATGCCAGTTGCTCTTCCAGCTGACGCACCCTTCCCTCGAGGTAGTGGGAGTGGCCCGACGAGGTGACGGAGCTTGGGGCGCTGCTGCGGTGACTATCCGGGGCTCGGGAGCTGGCGTCAGTGTTGCAGCTGCTCCCGAGTGGCTCGCTGAGGGACTCGGGGGCGATAGGATGCCAGAAGCCGAACTCGTCCTTCTCGCCAGGGTAGCCAACTTGGGCGCGCGAGGCATTCTCGTCAAGGACTGACAAGCTGCCTGCCGTTGGCTGCTTGGCCGGCAGCAGCGCCGGCCGGTCCCTGGACGGCCCGGAGTCCGGAGGCGGAGGCGGAGGCTGGCTGGGGGTGTAGGTGCAGTGCGGGTGCTTCGTCTTGATGCACGTGTCGCACGGCGCGCCCCTGTCGCACTTGACCTTTCTGCGGCGGCACTCCTCTGGGTGGGCGCGTGTTAGCGGCCGCGACAGGAGGAGGAGCTTGATGCGGACTTGCCACATGCTAGCGCTGGTCTTCTGCGCTTTTTTATCGTTGCGCGGGCCATGTTGCGGTCGTCCATGTTGCCTTGTTGCTTGGAGGCGGTTGAGGTTTTGTAAGGAAGCACGGATGTCCTCATGGAAAAGTGATAGCTGGGGTTGTGGGATGGATGTCGATAGTCCAAGCTATCCGACTTGCACATTCCCGATCCAGGCTGCTTGGCAGGGGCAGCGACATCGCAAGTCGTCGCATTATCTCGGACTCTCGGGGTTAAGGAGTCGCCTCGGTGTTTTCTGATTGGTCGAATTTGCCGAGCCGGTGGTGAAATTGCCCATGCTGACAGGAGGATCCTTGTGACGATGAGAGCTGCAAGCTGCCATGTGAGTCGGTTCTGACTGTTAGTATCTGCAACGGAAAGGTATGGTCGACTTGCCTGCTGAACAAAGAAAACAGTAGAAGCAGTATATAAAAAGAGAATATGCAAAATCCAAACAAACTCCGGTCGTCCCATAGCCAAAAAGAAAACCAAAACACCCAAGAAGGGGAATAACACGGGAATCGTCATCATAACTCCATGCTCATGTTCATGCCCTGGCCAACAGGGTCCGCCGCCGCATCTCCACTACGGCCAGCACCCGCAGCCCCCGCCTCCGCTCCATCGCCACCGACAGCTGCTTCTCCGCCGCCAATGCCGCCGCCGCACTCGACAGCCATCTCGGCCGCGTGCGTCAGCTGCGAGATGTCGTACGCCGACGGGTCCACAAAGCTAGCCTCCCACAGCCTGTAGTCGTCGCCCGTCATGTTGCCCATGTTGACGTCGAAGAACATGGCCTCGACCGCGTCCGCGTCTGGCAGACGCAGCCCGGGCTCGAACAGCATGGTGCTGCTGCCGCTTGCGCCGCCGACGCCAAAGCTGGTCCCAAAGTCTCCCGGCTCGCCGGAGAAGACACTGCCGCCGCTGCTGTTACTCACACCAAATACGGGAACGCCCGTGTACGGATCGCTGCCGACGCTGCCCGGACTGAATCCGGCGCTGCCAAACATGTGGGAAATGTCCACGCCGCCGCCGTTCGCAGGAGCCGAAGACTGGCTACAGTACGCGGTAGACCCGCTTGCAACGGGAATGGGGCCAAAGACAAGGGTTCGTTGATCTAGGCCTGTGTTAGGTATTGTCACGGCTGGGCTGGCGGGTAGGACTTGTCCTAGAGGGTCCAGATGCTGGTACGCTGCGCTGCCGAAGCTACTGCTCCTCCTGGAAATATCAGCAGCAGCGGTTGCGTAGGGAGACTGGGCTGCCGCTGTTTGGATGGGAGGCGACGCTGCCAGCGGCGGCGAGGCTGGCGGCGCAAATGACGCGGCCATGGATTCTTGGTTCGGAACTGCTGGCGTCTTTGAAGCACCCGAGGCCGTGTTCGGGGCCTGGTTTTGGTGGTGAGCCATGGACCGGAGATGATCAAGCAGCTTGTACCGAGCGCTGACGTAGCTGTTGCCACGCTCGCCCATGCCGCGGAGCAGGTTCAGTCCCATGTTCATAGCATGGGTATTTTGCGCATCTGCAGGGAAGGCGATGCAGACCATGAGGAGGACGATGGAGGCAGAAAAGATGTGTTCGCTGTCCATGTATCCATATGTGGCTACAGCGGGCATGGTGTTAGTGGCTGGCAACTTCGTCTCACGCCTTTGCCTGCCTCCCTCGTGGTTACTTACCAACAAGATCTCTCTGCGCGGCGATGCTCATGAGATTGATAGAGTCACGGGCGGCGTCGACGCACATCTCAATGACGTTGACGGTAGTGCGAGACAGCCCCTCCTTCCAGTCGCCCCAGCTGTCTCTGTTGGTGGCCGTACTTTTACCCTTTTCGCTGCCGCTGCTATTGCCGCTACATGAAGCCGCAGCACTGAGGAGGCGTTTTTTGACAACGTGGAACAGCAACGGGCGGGCCGTCATGTTGATGCACTGATAGTAGTGTACCAGAGTTGAGACAGACTCGCGCGACATGGCCAGGCGGGCCGGGTGGAAGCAGAGCTGTCTTGGCAGCTCACAGCGCCAGCGGGTCAGGGCGAGCATGATGTCCTTGACAGAGGCCATCAGCTGGGCGATGGACGACTTGCCGGCGCCGCGGCGGAAGATGTGTTTGTTGACATCGCCCAAGATGCGTGACAGCTCCGTGTAGTGGCGTAGCACCAAGGCCGGGCAGTACTCGGGCTCTGAAGGCAGGGGCGAGGGAGGGTGGACGCCGACGTCTTCGTCCTGGATGGTGATGGGATTCCCGGACTTGGCGCAGAGGATGCGATCGAGGCTGTAGATACTCCACCAGACACGGCGACGGTGCTCACGCCCCGCATCGCTGATAGCGGTCTGGTGATTGCTGTCGGGCAATGGCGGGATTTCCTGGTGCAACCCCAGAGAGATGGCCATGCGTAGGGCCATGCCGATATATAGGAAGGCAGCGTCGCGGCGGTTCATGTTCTGCATAAAGTAGCCGATAAGGGACAGCGTCTCGACACACAGGACGGAGCCGTCCTCGTGCACATCGGGCAGAAGCTGCAGGGCATGGGAGAAGTATTCGAACCCTGGAGGGCCTTTGAAATCCACCCATTGGTTGATGGAGTAAAGCTGACCAAAAGCCAAAATGACGAGGATTTTGGCGAAGCGCAAACATGCTTCGGAATCGGCCAGATCCGGGGGCGGACTGTGGTAGGCCTCGAGGAAGTCGCGCTCGAAGGTTTGCGGGTCTGAGAAGGAGAGGATGGTGCCGATGTAGGTGTACTGGGCGGCGTAGTACCAGCGGGCCGTGTCGATGGGAGGTAACCGCAGGTGAGTCCTGACGGAGAGCCGCCGAGGCGCCAACAAGCCAGGTTCGTAGAAGCTGGTGTCGAGATCGAGGCTGACATCGTCAGGGTACTTCACGCCAGGCAGTCTACGGATACTACGCAGAAACGGGTCAGAGTGACCAGGGCCCTTGAAGCTCCCCCGAGGGTCTGCGAGCGAGAATATCTTGGTAAGCCACTGTGGTAGCTGCGATGTAATCACCGAAATGCATAACAACTCACTCGTCGACGGCCGGGACTCGGCATCGTGGAAATCCATGCGACGAAAGACCTCGAGGAGCGCGTTCCCGTCGACAGTTTCCTCATCGTCCTCGTCCACGGCGGACGGAGCGGGTGGTCGCGATCTTGCCGGGATGGGGACTGAAGCGGGCCCCTGAGAGCTCGCGGCGGCAAGGGCGTCATCATAAGCCTTTGCCTTGAACTCCAGATCTCGGAGGTACCTATGGCAGTGTCAGACATTGTGCCAAGAACGAATGTCGAATAACACAGTGCTCACTGTTCCTTGACTGTAATGTTGCGACCCCCCTCCTCGTAGATACAGTCGAGAGAGACCTCACGACATCTCTGACACCTCGGCCGGTCTCTGGTGCATGACGTGTGCCGACGTCGGCACTCGTTGCAACTATGAGTTCTTGGCGTTAGTGTGCGCCCCCTATCCGCCGTCTTTCTTGTCGCAACCCGCCTAAAAAATAGCCTAGACAAACATACGCGATGGGCCGGACAGCGGCAGATTCGGGAAGGGAAGGCGACGCGGTGTCTGGCGACGATGAGGGCATTTTTACGTGACGTAAACTCCAAGGCCGCCTTTTGTCTGGTTGTTGTCAATCTCTAGAGGCCAGAGCCCCCAGGCCGAAGACGGCGCCGAAATAGTGGATAGGGCGCTGGAGCTAAGGTGCTAGCCTCTATTTTGTCGGAGAAGAGTCACATCTGGGAGACAGGGTCCAGTTACTGATGCAGTTGCGGGGTCGCCAGCAGCTATTAAGTTCAAGTGACTTGACTTCTGGAGGCACGATCCTTGGGCAGGTCGTTTGCCTGCTTTTCTCGATAACGCTCGCCAGTTCGAGGTCAGTCTCACCATCATCAGTTTGAGATGCAGTGGGCGGCCTCCACAGCCTCGGTGTGTGCACAAACCTGACACGGGCTGAGATACATGACGCCCAATCGTGGCCAGCTTCCTCTGCAGGGCCATGCAGAAATCGAGCGACGGGTTGGATGCCCGCCTCATTTCGTAGTGGCTTTCCGGGCTGTGGTGGAGGAACAGTCAATTGATCGAGTGACGACAGACAGCCAGTCCCCCGCATTGATTACTGGTCAGTGGGGGTCAGTGGGGCGCGGTGGACCAGGGACCCCTCGGGCTGCTTTTCCGGCGGCATTCAGCCACAGGCGCTTCTGTCAGCCTACAGTAGCGCAGCTTGTATATCTCATTGCCTGGATGATGTGCATTAATCTTGACATAATCGCCCAATGAAGCAAACTCTGCGAACTCATGATACCAACATTCAAGCCAGGCCAGGAAACACCTCCCGATCCGTCAAATCAAGCACCACCATGTGCCCCGGCGCGTGCGCCATGACGGTCCCCTGCAGCCCAGCCTGCCGCACCGCCTCCTGAGGCGTGACGCCGCAGCCCCAGAACACGGGCACAAACTCACCCCCACCACCACCCCCCTCGTCCCCAAGCCCCTCCCCCGGCCCAAACGCGCGCCCGCTGCCGTCCCCGCTCAGCGGCGCGTCCCCAAACTCGGGCCTGGCCACGTCGGCGACCCCCAGCGCCGCCGCCCCGTCCCACCCCCACGCCACGGGCTCGCCGTGCGAGGACGCAAAGGCGCGCGTCACGTCGCGCACCCGCTCCACCTCGGCCCCGGCGCGGTACGGCCGCATCGACACCACCATGGTGGCGCCCGAGAAGACACCCGCCGCCATGAGAGGCACCGTCGTGCGGTACATGGGCACGTTGCGGCCCTGCGCCACGTGCCGCGGTGTGAGCCCCGCCGCCGCCAGCGCCGCCTCGAACGAGTACGAGCACCCGACCAGGAACCCGACGTGGTCCGCCGTCCACTCGGCCGCGATGTCGGTCTGCCGCTGCGCCGTCAGCACCCCGTCCCTGTAGACCGTGTAGGCCGGGAAGTCGTGCCGCAGGTCGATGTCGGCCGCCACGGGGAGAGTTGTTGTTGCTGCTGCTGCTGCTGCTGCCTTGACGCCGCTGTTGCGGGGCGCGGCCACGTGCGACACCAGGGCCGTCGCGTCGCCCGGCGTCGCGGATTCAGCCAGCAGCGGGCACGGGACCGGGTTGCGCGCGCAGAGCAGCCGGAAGTCGGCCGCGTACCGCTTGGGCAGCACGAGCAGGTTTGCTTGCAGGTAGGACGGCGCGAGCCCCGATGTCTGCCCCGTGAACGTCTTGTTGCGCGCCGCTAGGCGTACCGCCTTGCCCGTCTGGTAGGCGTCGACGGGGGTCGATGTGGTTTGTTCTGCCATGTCTTGGTTTGTGCAGCTGAATGCCTATCCAGTGTGATGATTGGCCAGTTTGTTAAAAGCACCATCCCCCTGATGTGAACTTCTTGTTACGGCGGCCTTTATACCTTGGATCCCAATACCCATGACCGTTCCTGAGAAGCAAGGTGCGGATTTCTACTCCTAGCCTCAGGTGGTGTTCTTCTGTATAATCATCAAGCACTCCAAGATCTGAAATCCCCAATCACCTCCACGTTCGCAACGACACCACCATCGGGCAGTCAGGGGTGCCCAGCTGACATGGGAGCTGTGTTCGGGGACCCACTCCGACGCATGCAGGCTGCAAGCCACTCGCTCAGCCCAGTGGAAGGGTTGCAGCCGCAAGTCACATGGCGTCACAGGAGACAAGAAGGTATCCGATCAAAAGACTTGTTTTATTATCGACAGACCCAGCCCAACCATTTTTAAACGCCCGGCAAATACAGAGCCCCGAATACGCCTGGTTAATGTGCCGGTAAACGCCCAGTCCCTAAACTCCGTTGATGTAAGCCAAAGAGACCTCTGCAAAAACGTACCCAAGATAACGGCAAGAAGAAAATGTGCAGGTAGAAGAAGAAAAGAGAACAAACAATAGGGGATATCAAGAAACAAAAAGCAAAAAAATGTGAAGAAAAAGCGGCCAAACAGTCGCGCAATCACAACCATCGGCTAAGCAGCCCCAGCGAGGGCCGCCTAGTTGGCAGCCCTGCCGGCCCAAGCCCTGGGGTGGCTACGCCCGCTGGAACGCACGGCGAGCGGCTCCCCGACCTGCTCCTCCGCGACGTCCTTCTCGGCCTCGCTCCTCCTGTTCGGGAACGCGCGGGCGTGGCGACGCGGGATGGCGACGGGGACATCATGATCAGCAGCGGCAGCAGTAGCAGTGGACGCCATGGCGGGGATCTCGACAGAGCGGCGGGCGCGGCGGGCGGCAAAGGAGCGCGGGTGCGAGCGGGGGACGACCGAGGCGGCGGCGGCGATGTGGTGACGGCGGCGCATGGGCTCCTCGTCGTCGTCCTCGCCCTCGACCACGACGTCGTGCACCGTCTCGGCGCGGCGCTGGCGCGCAAAGGCGCGCGGGTGGGCGCGGCGCTCGAGGGTCACGGTCGGCTGCTCGGCTGTGATGCTGCTGGGCGCGCGGGCGGCGAGGCCGGCGGTGGCGGCGGCCGGGCGCGGGGCGGCCAGGGCCAGGACGGGGAGGGCGAGGAGGATAGCGGTGGGGAAGTGCATCTTGGCTGTATCTGGAGTTTGGGGTGTAAGTCGGTTGTTAGTTGTGGTAAAGTTGCAAGTGTAGATGAAAACCTGGGTGGATCGGGAAGTGGTTCTGGTCCGATTCTGGGTGGTTTTAACAGCTTGTGTTGGCGGTGGTTGTGTTGGAGTGGGTGATGGTGGTGATGATGTTTCTCAGAGGTGTCGCTTGTCACTGATCATTTGTATCCGCCACGAGACTAACTCCAACGCATTCAGGTCACAACCCATCGCATCCTGCATGGAAACAGCCCTGCTTCATCCCCGCCGCCCACAGTAACCACCTTACTCCAGACAATGGCACCCGATGGCAGTGAGGCAGCAAGTCGTCCGCCAAGAAGCAAGTCTGGGGTAATGCGAGGTTTGGCAGCCGTCTGTCTCATCTTACTGTGGCAGCCTGCTGCGCCATGCAGGACAGTAACGTAACGGGGCGTGGTGGGTCGCCAAGAAAGGTGGGCTGTCCAATCAGAATGCTGGACAAAAATATTTCCTTCCAAAAGCGGGCAGCAAGTCCAGCCATTGACCTTTGTATAGGCCATCAAGGTAGATTGTGTGTCCAAATAAGACTGACCCAGCCTTACTGTTGACTGGCCTCATCATCACTCAACGCGACTTACCAAACACGAAGCATTTGCAATCTCTCATCTTTCTTTGCATACAAGCTAATACAAACCGAAACAGGCCAAGAATCGCAAATTTTACTCCTTGCCTGTTTTTACTCTTACCTGTGCCAGGGACCGCTACCGCTCACCAACGCTCCCCCTCGGTCCCCTCAAACTCCGAGTACAGCACCGCCTCGAACACGATGCCTCGGTCCGCAAACCGCGCCCGCAGGTCCTCCAGCGTCGCCTGGACGTCCGACCGCAGCACTATGGCGTCGCTTTCCGCGGGGTCGGCTTCCAGGTCCCTGTGCTGCTCCTGCGCCAGCACCAGCACGACCCTGCGCAGCCTCGGCGTCGTCGCCGCCGCCGCCGCAGCCCCGTCGCCCGCCAGCCCAGCCAGGCAGCCGTGCAGGTCCGCCAGGTAGCCCTCGAGGGCCGGGCGCGCCCCCTCCCTGCGGGGCTCCCAGCAGCGGCGGCCTAGCATGGGGTCGCGGGCGAGCATCCAGTCGTCGAGGAAGCAGGGGCCGTTGTGCGAGAACACGTCGCCCCTGTTGTACTCGTCCTCGCGCCTCCTATACTTTTCGTCAATCCTGCTGTGCGTGTCTTCGTCGCTGTTGTCCGTGTCGTCGTCGCTGTTGTCCGTGTCCTTCCTGTACCAGCGCTCGTGGCGCTCGAGCGCCTCGGCCAGGGCCACCTCGGCGGGGCCCAGGTCGCGCGCGTGGCGGACCGACGGGAGCGCGAGCAGGCACGAGTGCGTCGCCGTCTCTGACTCCAGGGGCGGCGGCGGCGGCGGCGGCGGCGACGACGCCGGGTCGAGGCGCCAGAGCGGGCCGCGGCGCCAGGACGACATGGAACCGTTCTGGAAGCTGATGGACGAGTCGAGGCTTAGCAGCTTGAGATAGACGGCCGCGATGGGCTCGACCAGGCGCAGCTCCTCGACCGTGGGCGGCAGCAGCTCCGCCAGCGGCGTGTCCTTGAGCTTGGTGCCGGCCTCGTGCAGCAGCTCGAGCCGCACCGTCAGCCGCTTGACGCCGTCCAGCGTCGCGAGCCCGTTGAGGGCGCGCCGGCGGCTGGCGAGCGGGCCGCGCGACGGCCATGCCTCGCTCGGCTCGGCGGGTTCGGGCTCGCCGTTGATCGAAGGGCCAAAGATGGCCGGCTTTTCAATGTCAGGATCCTGGAACCATACGACGTCGTTGTTCATGGGCTCCCCGTCGCTGTTTATGGGCTGCCACATGATCTCCTCCATCTCGTCGGGATCTATGTGATCGAAGATCGGAGGCTTCAGGGTGCCCCTGAGCTGCGTGAGCTCCAGGCTACTCAGGCGCATGTTGATGTGTAGATCCTCCACGGAGCAAGGCAGGCCGCCCGGAATGTGCGGGTAGCGCGCGAACGCCGAATCCATGTCGTCGGCGCTCCAAGTGGGGTTTCCAGACTCCAGCCTTCCGTAGTCACACTCACGCGGCCTGAGGAAGGTGAAGGCCCGCAGCGCCGGGAGCAGCCGCCACATGGTCCGCAAGTCGAAGCTGCTCATCCCGCTCTCGACCAGCCGCAGCTCCTGAACCGCGCTGTTAACCTTGGCCGCGGTTAACTTATGCTTGGCCAGATACATCCATTTTCCCATTATTTTGTGTTCGACGTGATTCCAGTCCAGCCTCGAAACTCCCCTATCCCACGAGAAGTGCGGTACGTGGAAGGGGCCATTATCTCTGTGAATCTCCAGGATGCTGACCCCATGCATCGTTGCCGCATCCAGGATTAGAGGCAGCGAGATCCGATCCTGGTATAGGTCAAATCCGCCCCAGCGGCGGCCCCAAGCTGCTGGCCGAAGTCGTAGCGTCCGTACCCCCGTGACGGATTTGTTTCTCTTGATGCCCTTGTTCACTTTCCTTAGGAACGAGCTGCAATTGTGCTTTTCCTTGTGGTTGCCGAAGCTGATATCCAGGGGGAGGATTGACAGCGTCTTCAGGCGGGGCAAGCGGCGATAGATCATATTCGCTATGCGGTAGCCGCTGCTGCTTTTGGGCATCAATGAAAATGCGAGGGTGATGGACTGCACCTGTCTCGTGAGATGCGGGTGCTTTTTTATCAGGGTGTTGCACAGCCTCATGGCGGTGGCGTCAGAGGTCAGTGTGATGTCCCGGTAGAGGGGACCAAGCGCGATGATGTACATGCGGCGTGAGGTCAGACAGAGGTTGTAAAGGTCGCGCCTGCCCTCGGGGGAGTACTTGATATGCCTGCTCGCGTCCGCGGCGCTGTCGAAATCACCCGTCTGGAGATGGCACGTCAGCTGTTCCGCGATCACCATCCAGATCTCGTCGGGCAGGTGCGGGAGACTACGCCTACCCCCTGTTGTCGTTCCAGACCTCGAAACGGCTGCCAAAGCACCCAGGGGGCCTGGGAGGCCCGGGGGCGCGATCGAAGCCATCTTCCACGGGAGGAGAACGCTTGGACAGGCAGGGATCTATGAGGAGGAATGGTGAAAGAGGGCAGGGAAAGCTTTGCTACTAAAAAGACTCGAGCTAGTAGAAGAAGCTGTGCAAGCTGTTGATCTGGCCGAGTTCCGAGCCCTGCCGACATGTAGAAGCTGTAAGGATTGCCAGCGAACCTTCACACCAGAATATGGGATATTCAGAGGATACCGTTATATACGTAGGTAGTCTAACAAATCGCGGCCCTCGATATCTTTGTGGACGGCCACAAAGGCAAACAGACAATGCCATCGTTGCGGAAGGAAATGTTTGAGGTCGTGAACAATAACTTGGAGGCACGCAGGACAAAGAACACGAGAAAAGCAAGCAGCAAGAGATGTGCAGCGGTGCCCATTGGACGTTGGCCAAAGATTCATGTTTGGGAGGAGGATATCAAAACAGACAAGAATGTTCCCTCTAAAGGGTACCGGTGGAGTTTTTCACGAACCAAGCATCGAGTTCTGGGCCAGTCAAGGAGCTTTTCTCCAGTGCCGTCAACAAAAGGCCATTCCGGTGGTGGAGGATGAAGTCGTCGTTCAGAGGATTGAGGGCGACGGCCTGGGTGGGGTTTAGTGGTTAGCATGTAGGTTAGCAACTGCTGATACCCCATGTGGCATGCGCGCGCATCACGGCTCCCGACACTCACCTCAATGTCTGTCGGGTACTTTTCAATGTGCTTCTTCAGCACCGGGTACCTTCCCATGAGATCCCACACTGCTGGGCCGTTCTCGGGAACAAAGATGTACGAACCCTTGACCCCCAACGCCGCGGCGCGCAGCCGACCGCCCTTCTGCGTCTTCTGCAGCGCCTCCACGGCCGCGTCGGGGAGGTTCCAGTCCATGCGGTGGCGGCTGAGGACGGCGCACTCGGCCGCGTCGCTGGAGCCCGTAGCCACCTTCATGTCCCACTGCAGGACATAGCGCTGGTTTGGCCCCATGCAGATCCAGTCGGGCCATTCCACGTCCCACGCGCCGCCTGGCCGCCGGAGCTTCTCGCGCAGATCGGGATAGTTTGTTGCCAGGCTCTGGTTGAAGCCTGTCTTCCAGCTACCCTCGGCAGCTTGGTACTTTTGGACCCAAGCACCGCTGGGAGAAATCCAACTGTCAGCGCAACGGCAAAACAGGCGACAACCGATGAGGGTGTCTTTGTGTCTTGGTGTCTTGTACTCACCCAACACCACACCAAGTCAGCACACAGCGCCCTCCGTGTCTGACCTTCATTTTATGGTATGAACTTTCCGTCATGCAGTTTCTGTTCATCAACGTTAGCATCGAGTATGAAAACGCTCGCTCGCTGGACAAACAGGCCAAAAAAACTCGGCTCCACGTACCCCCACTGCGACCATGACCCAGACAGGGAGTACCGCTTCCCGACAATGCTGTAGGCAAAGTATGGCGGCCCCGTCCACGCCGCCTGGTGCTCCTCGTGTCCTTCGCTCCGCCTGGCCGTGCTCTGCGACCTGTCCTGCGCCCTAATGACATTCACGACCCGGAGGAACCGTTCCTTGTGTAGCTTCTCCGTGTCGGTCCTAAGCTTCTTGTGTTCCGACTTCATCCACTCGATCTTGTTGGTGTAGTCGGCCTTGAGCTCGCTAAGCGCCTTGGCGGACTCGCTGTCGCGCAGCCGGATCGCCTCGTTCATCATCTCCCTCGCCTCCCTGAGCTCCTTCTCCCACCGCTTGCGCTCCCTCGCAATCTCGGCCTCGAGCTCGATGCCTGCCGCCGTCTCCTGCAGCGGCCGCTCCTGCGTCACCATCTGGTCCTGTAGGTCTAGCACAATGGTTGGCCTGGTGAGGTCGCCACCGGTGATGAGCGACTCCACGATTTCCCGGGCGCGGGCCAATGTGTTGTCGTGCTGGTACAGCCTGCTTCCTTTCGAGACCATGTAGCCCCAGAACTCGGGCGTTTCGACGAGCTCCTTCTCCCGCGCCTCGGCCGCCGGGCGTGGCACGATATCCCACATGGTAGTGGCGAGAATCACCTTGCGGAGCGCGTCGTCGCCGCAGAGCTTCTTGAACATGAGGAGGTTTTTCTTGGCGGACCCCTGCATACGCACGTCGCTGATGCGATGGAGATAGATGATGCCATGCAGGAGGATCTTTGACCGAAAAGACTCGGCCAGCCACGACGCGATCTCGCGCAGAACGTCGGTGTCGCTCTTGGCTGTATCGTCGAACCCGGGCGTGTCGATGAGGTAAACGGTTTGGTTTGGCGATAGCTCAAAGGGGTACACATCGACAACCGCGGTGCCTTTTGGTTGATCCCATGCATGTTTAGCCATCGTGGATCGGATCCCAGCTGCTCCAGCGCGGCAGAAAGCTCACATGATTTTAGCTCGTGCCCGATCTGTACTGGCTTGTCACAGCACATGGAAATGAAGGAGCTCTTGCCGCAGCCCGTCACTCCCATGACTGCGATGAAGACATCTGTCGGGCTTTTTCACCGTCAATACACCTTGCTTCGAAAGCTGATGGCGGGATCCATACCGTGGCGCCCTGCCGTCGCGGAATATCTTTGGGTCATTCAAGCCAGGAGCCGCCTCGACATGCTCGTCATCGTCATTCTCAAGCTGGCCGTCGTCGTTGTCCACGAACGATACCGACTTGGCGGGACCCACCACCTGGGGAGGAGGGGGTAGCGCGGAGCTAGGAACGGCGGCGTCGCTCGACGCCATCTGCGTGTCCATCCCAGCATGCCAGGTCTGCGACCTGCTGGCAATCGAGAAAACGCTTTTGGGCATGTGTATCAATAAGCTCGGATCTCGTGGATTTTGTTCTTGGGAGCCTGTCGTTGAGGCCGGTCGTTGAGTGGTTGCAGCTTTTCTCAAACCAGAAGATAAGCGTGGAGGAGTTGCTTGAGGAAGGGAGGCATCGGGCATATTTCAACCTCCCTCTCTCTGTACAGCCTGGGGGACAGGCCTCCTGCTGCAGCCAAGAGGAGGCTTTCGGCGGAGCCGCCACCGAGGCACAGCATCAACACCCTCTCCATTTGATGCTCAACCAGTGATGCGTGCTGTTTGGCTGATCAAGGCGCCAGAAGCACGGTATGCTGCTGCGCCTCCTCGATATTCGGAACCTGCTTGGCGCATTCAAACAAGCTTGTCCTCTTTCGCAAAGTCGCTGACTGAGTGACGAACAATCGCCAAATGGCTTGTCCGGCCTGACCTCGAACTGCAGATCTGCAGAGCCTGACCTCAAACTTCCAGTCGGTTAGGTAGGCTGTGTCAGGCGATGCAGCATGCAGGTCTGCCTTCCCCATTGGTGGCCTGGGTGGGCAGCTGCAGAGGGTCGCATCGAGCCCACGAACACCCACCCAGGCCCCCACCCCTTTGCAGAATTGCATTCCTTTCACTCGATCCATCCGCAAGGGAGACTAGCTTAGCGCGAGGCAGTGACCTGACCCTGCCATCCAAAGCAATGGAATGCGTTGCAACAAGCATAAATCTTGCTGAGCTAGCAGGCAGACAGATTGAGCATCGACTACCGACGGACTCTACCACTTTTACCCCAAAATGGAGGAAAGCAGTGGATTGAAGGAGGAGGCCGAAATTGCGAGAGAGCATATCGAGGAGCAGGCCAAGGGCTTCCTGGCCTTCACAGGGGTACAGAAACCACCCCCAAACGCCGTGTTCCTGCTCGTCATGGGCATGACAGGCTCGGGCAAGAGTTCATTTGTGGCATCCTGCACTGGCAGGAACGTGGTCGTGGGGCATGGCCTCCAATCGTGTGAGTGAGTGTTGGAGCGGGCCTTGGAGGCTTAGCCCGTGGATTTGGAAAAGGTTCAACCCTCACTGACGGATGGTGAAAAAAAATGATAGGTACCTCTGACATCACAATATTTGACTTTGCCCTGGACGGTCACAAAGTCTACCTTATCGACACACCGGGCTTCAACGATACTCACAAATCCGACGCTGAGACACTTGCCACGGTTGCTACGTACCTGGGGACCTCGTTCGCGCAGAACGTCTTCATCCATGGCATTCTGTATCTCCACAGAATCTCGGACAACAGGGTCGGCGGAAGCGGCCGTCGCAACATCGACATGCTCAAGGCTATGATCGGCGAGGCGGCCTACGCAAACGTGGCGCTTGTCACCACCATGTGGGGAGGAGGAGGCAGCGCGGCCATGCCGGCGACAACGACTGAAACAAGGGATACTCTGCTGCGACGCGAGGAAGAGCTCAGAACTGACCCTTCGTTCTTTGCCGAGCTCATTGGGGGCGGTGCCCAGCTGGTACGCCATGGCGATTTTGGCGATACGCGCGCGACCGAGTCTAGCCGAGATGCAGACGCCGGGCTTCTCCGTGCCTCGGCGCTGGCCATCGTCAGGCAGATCGTCTCCCAGGTGCGAGCGACTGGCGGTCCCGCGGTCCTCCTGATCCAGCACGAGCTTGTGGAAGACAGGCGACGCTTGGAGCAGACGTCAGCCGGCGCCATGGTGCTGCGCGACCTGGATAAGATGGCGGCAGACTATATGGGCCAGCTGGCTGCACTGAAGGACATGATCCGGAGCAAGACCAAGCGGGCGGCGACTTCGGCCGCTGTTCGTAGTGAAGAGAATCGAGAAGAAGCGGAGCTCAAGACAGAGTTCAAGGACAAGCTGGCGACGGTGAATGAGGCGCGACGGGTTTTGGGCTCCGGACTCCAGACCCTACAGAGCAGGGAGCAGGAGGCCTTGACGCAGAAGCTTGAGGTGGCAGAACAAGGATTCCGAGAGGAATTGGAACGGAAGGAAAGGCGGCTCCAGCAGTTAGAAAGATTGATGGAGGCAAAACGGAGCGAGACAAACAACCCTGCCGCAACCTCGACGGCGTCAAAGACATGGCTCGCACCACATGTGTCGAAGGCGAGAGAGGAGGTTCGGAAAGGGAGGAGGGCTCTGGCCAGGCTCTCGCAGACGACGGACGGTGTCAAGGAGGGACTGGCGACCGGGCTTGCAACCAGTGTGTCGTCAGCCCTCGTCACCGGTGTCGTTGGGGCAATAGCGACCTCATTGGTATGCGTGCTCATGTAGGCAGGTGCTATAGAGCTTGGTAGTAGCGCAAGCTTCTTGATAGAAGCTAGCCTGGGATCGCCTGTTGGTTAGCCCCCAAAGATGGACAATCCAAGCGAATGCGAAGCTCCCACCTAGAGGCGGGATGGCTCCTTTTCTAATCAAGCCCTGGACCAGAGCACCATGGCGGCAGCGCCAGCACATTATTCCCTATTTCAGACGACCGCAACTTGTACTAGATCTGGGCCATCGGACTCAACTCGCTTTTATCAACCACAGCCCCAAAAACTCCTCCACAGAAGATGCGGGGATCGTCAGGCATCGCCACCCGCCTTCGCTGCGAAGTATATAAGTAGAAGTAGACTGCGGCCAAGCCCTGTAAGCATGGATCGTGGTTCAAAGCTTCGAGTGTTCACTCTCTATCGGGCATTGGCCTCTGCCATCTACCGCCATGGCCGAAGACGCCCTCAAACTTGCCAACCTCGCCCAGCGCCTCCAGGTTCCAGCCGCGGGGCACATTCTGCATGGTCATCACCTGGCAGCCCGACACCCCAGAGGTGCATCCCACCGTGGATCTCAACACGGCGACCACGGTCAGCAAGCCGCCCAAAGACACCTCCAACAGCTTCGCCTCCCGATTCAAGGCGTGCAGCGGCACGACCGTAGGCGACTTCAAGCTCCCGAAAGTCGCGCCCCTCGTATTCCCGCCAGAGGCCGAGCCGGATCTCGACTTTGCTGGCGATGGCAGCGGAGGAGACGCGGACGGCGGCGGCGTCAAGGGCAAGTTCAAAAAGGCCAAGGCCTCTTACGACGACTACGTCGACCGCCGCGAGCAGGCGACCTGGGCCGCCGAGAACCCAGACAATCTCCTCGCGACGCAAACCCAGGCGACGTTCAGGAGCAAGTACTCGGACCCGAACCACCCGGCCAGCATCGACCCCCTCGGCTCGTACCTGACGAACGGGCTCACGGACCGGGTGCACCTCCACTCCAGGGCCCGGACCGAGGCCGCCCAGCTGCAGGCCCGGAACGCGGCCGCCGACGCGCAGGAGCGCTCGAAAGCTGCGCAGGCGCAAGCGCAAAAGGCCGTGGCCGAGGCCAAGGCGAGGGATGACGCGGCGCTGGTGCAGGCCATGCAGGCCCGGGCGCGGGCCGGGTACACGTCGCCTCCTCTTCCTCGGGCGGCGGCGGCCGCGACGCCCCAGTACGGCGGTGCTGTCGTTCCCGGAGCCGGCCGTGGTGTGGCAGCGCCTGTTATACCTCCGGTGCAGCTTAACGCGCTGTCTCAGGCCCTTGTGGACGGCTCGCAGAAGCTGGTCGAGACCCAGAACAGGTACATCGCCGCGGGCACCAAGGCCCTGCAGGATGTGATGAGAAGGGTAAGTCCACAACCAAGTAGTCTTGCTACTAGGCTAGAACTGATTAACCACTACGGACATAGGATATGACTTATCTGATGGTGGTTAACTTGTCGGACGGGGAGCAGCAGTAGTCGGAGGGTAGATAAACGAATCAAGTGCAGCCACAATATTCAGAACGCGAGCGTTCCGGAGAAATGCTTACTTGACTGCTACAGATCTCTATATACTGCCCAAAAGCCCAAAAACAAGCCCCTGCAGGCGGAGAACCCAGTAGAGAATCCAGAAAAAAACAGCACGCCCGCGTATATGTTCGAAAACACACACCCCTCCACACGTCCTTGGGTCTGACGTCACCGACGGGAGTCTTGCTAAAACACCGCCAGCGCAGCCCCATGGCAAGAATGGTTTCTAAGACAGTAGTGGGCGTATCCAGTCCCGGTCCAATAAGCAAATGCCGGTCTTCTCTTCCAGCTTCCCCCAAACATCTGGGTCAATGGGTTCCGGAGAGGAATTGTAGGATTCGAAGAGCATGGCTACACCAACGCGCGACCAGTGTGTCCCGTCGTCATAGCTTTCTAGAATCAACCCGGAAGGACGCCGGTCGCCGGCAACATGCACGTACATCAGAGGATTATTCCGTGTGAGCAAGCCGTCGCGGCCACTTAAATCGAGATTCCCATGGGCAAACTGGCGGCCCTCGTTGTCGAAGACGTCGTAATGGAAACGGGTTCTTTCACGGCGGTCTTCATCCTTGGTCTGCTGCAAACCTCGGGCTCCGATCAGACGGGTGAACCCACCCAGTGTTATCGATGGTACAGATGTCCAGGCAGACGGATTCGGCGGCGGCAGTCGGCAGGCGGTCCAGCTAAAGCGATTCACGATCCCCGGGTATATATTTGCGCTCGCAAAGGTGATTATCACGTCCAGGGACGCCCACGACCAGCTGGGTGCCCGCCATTGTCGGGGTTTTGTCGCGATATCGCGGCCGTACCAGAGCAGTTCGTTGGTGAAGTTTCCCGTCCACATGGCCATGTCTGGCATGTACTCGGAGGCCTCCATGTGAGGACTCATTTCGTTGGCCAGACTCCGGATTGCCGTGAGCTTGTCGCTAGGCACCGTCAACCTCCTCCCGCTGTAGTCCTGGACGGCTTGCATCCAGTACTTGTACCATGTCGGCTGCTCGACCGGGTGGCCGTCAGGAGGTCGCGGCCATATGTATCTGGATCTACCAGACTCGCGCGTGTCCTCCCCCTCTGATAGGCCGTGCTCTCGACACTCGAAGTAGATCTTGTTTTTGCAAAAATGCAGTGTTCTCGTCGAGAGAGCTCGCTCTTGCATGGTCCACCCACGCGTGTTCCACCTGGAGCCCTCCACATCTCCCATGCGGGATCTGGCCCCCGAATCGTCGAGTGGTGACAAGACGAGGAAACGGGGCTGGTTATCGCCAGCAATCGAGTACTGGGTCTTGATAGCTGGCACTAGGGATAGATTTCTGGCAAGGAATCCGTCGTGAGACGAAGTCGCCGACGTCCTGGTCGAGTAGTTAGGGTCAAGCCAGAACACCCGGCGAGTGCTACAAGATGAGGACTCACGCAGCTATAGTGAAATAGGCGTGCTTATAAACATTATGCATTTCCTTTGCTTCTCGTTGCCAGTCGTCGATGCTGTCCTGGATGATGCAGAGCGAGTCTATCCAGATGAAGGGCACATCGAGATGGCGGCAGGTCTCGATGGCGTCTCTGAAATTCTGGGGCAAAACCGACATGGGGATGCCCATCTTCGCTTCCTCGTAGTTGTACTGGGAGGTTTGAAAAGGTGGCGCCGCTTCCGCATCCCCCCACATGTGGCTTAACGCCGCGTAGATAGCGCCTTCTACCTGGCTGGTGCTTGTCAATACGAGCCTCGGAGCCCTGTCGTCTTCGGCAGAGCCGACATCGAGAAGGCGAGTCGGCAGCCACGGCTTCGAGGATTCCGGAAGGCGACATGGGGCATGTGACTGACAGTCACGGATCCATTGTCGCATCATCTCGACGTTTTCGGCCGAGAGCGATTCCGGGCTCGGCAATCTTCTTATCGGCCGCTGGTTGCGTCCAACGGCTTCAAGGTCTTGGCTAACGGTTCAGCTGACGCCTAAGCGGAAGGAAGGCTGATATTATCGAGAAAAAAACAACAAAAGAACAATAGAACAAAAAAAACCTTTACTCACCGACGGAATCATACACCTCGAAGCCGAATGCTTGACTTATATCCTCATGCAACGCGCTCCCGTCTTCCGACCGGGCTATGGTGGCAAGCCCATATCTAAGATGCATACGCGCAAGGACGCCGCCCATTTGCTTCGGGTGGGATAAACCTGCGTCCTCGAGACGATCAAGGCTGAAGTTTAAATTTGATATCCTGACCTTGCCGTCCCACGGCTCGTCCAGAAGGCTGTCGTCGTCCGACAATGGACCGATGCCCTGCTCATCCATGGGGCGGACCGCCCAGTTTTGGCGCAAGGCCTTCCTGATTATTCGACAGAGCCCACATCCTAACTGGGCGGAAGTGGCGAGTGCCGGAAAGTCGGGATATTCGTCGACAAGCTCGTACGTGGTTTGGATGGACCAGTTCTCCATCTTTGCTCGGTCGGGGAGGGCGGCTTTGCAGCGTTCACATGGCTCTTTTGAAAGAGCCTTTGCAATGTTCGCAAAGCTGTTTTTAAGCGGAATGGGTGTTATTAGATTCCGATATGTCGACATTTTCACCGTAGGGCCCGGCTCTCGAGTGCTAGTTATGGGCTGGGCTGGCTGGTCGAAGGGACCCGTCATTAACTCGAACTCCTCCAGAGATGTTGGCCGGGGCTATGCTTCGAGCTGGCGAGCTGCTGACTGAGGTAAGTGTGAGATGCAATATGGGCGTTGTGGAAAACCCCGCGCCACGGGGTGTGCCCGACCGAGGGGCGTCGCGCCTCGCGTGAAATAGAAATCACGTGTCGGAACGCCTTCAACCTGAAGCTCAAAGCGAGTATTCGTTCAAGGGGAAATACATAAAGCAACAACATTCTGAATATTCAGAACGCGAGTGTTCCGGGCAAATACTTGACTGCCTACACATCTCTATATACTGCCCAAGAGCCCAAGCACAAAACCCCACATGTATAGAATCCAGAAAAGACAACACACCCGCCTATATGTTCGCAAACACCCCCTCCACCACGTCCCCCAGCATCTTCAGCCCGTAGAACTTCGCCACGTTCCGGTGCACCTTTAGCCGGCGCACCAGGTCCTCCCGCTTGGTCGACGGGCCCCAGTCGCCGCTGCAGGTGCAGTGCTCCATGAACTCGTTGACCCTGGACGCGCCGCACTTGACGCACCGCAGGTCCTGCGTCGCCCACTCGGTCACGGCCCCCTCCACCTGCGCCACCAGCACCTCCTCGAGCGCGTTGCGGTCGTACTCGGCCTGGCAAAAGGTGCACCGCCACGGCCTGTTGTCGCCGCCGGTGCTGCTCTCGCCGGGGACGGGCAGCAGGTCCTCGTCGCGGCAGAGGTCCAGGTCGCGCGCCACGGTGCAGCTGTCGCAGCTGACCTGCGCCAGCCGCAGGGACTCGGACGGGTTCTGGAACGCGGCCTCGCGGCTGAACTCGCGCACGTCGAGCATGGCGAGCAGCTCCTTGCGCAGGAGGCGCGCCTCGAGCGAGATGTTCTTGTCGAGCGAGAGGACCTGCATCAAGCACTTGACCAGTTCCAACACCGCCGAGGTCGGCTGCAGGTTGGTCAGGTGGGACCCGGGGAGCTGCGGGAAGTCGTAGTCGGACGCCAGCTCCGGGTGCAGCAGCTCGCGCTTCTGCGCCGCCAGCAGGCCCGCGATCTCCTTCTTCAACGGCCGCTCAAACGTCTTGCCCAGCAGCATCTGGCCCTCGCCGTCCTCGCCTAGACCGTCGTTGTTGCGAATCGGCAGCTGCGTCAGGCGCGGCGTGGAGCCGTCCAGCGCCGGCCGCTTGTGCGAGTGCATCAGCTGGATGAACTCGATGACCCACTCCTGGAATACGGGCTGCAGTCGCAGCGGCAGGAACGTCGCCATCTGCCAGTGCATGATGGTGTCGAGGTCCTGGGTCTCGGCCTCGACTACCTCCTGGCACGCCTTGCCGCCGTAGTTGAACTGATCGTACCATACCAGGTAGTCCCAGTACTCGCGGATCTCCAGGTCGATGAAGTGGAAGAGCGGCTTGGACTTGATGGACTTGAGGATGTACTGGCTGTATGCGTACGCGTTGCCCACCTCGCCCTTTGTCGTCTGCAGCAGCAGCCGGTTCGAGCTCGCAAACACCACCTGTGACCCGACGCGCCGAAAGTCTGACATGAGCTGCTGCAGCGCCTTGCGCGACATCATCTGGACATAGTAGTGGAGAGCCCGGTCGTATAGGAACGAGTCCGGGCTCTCGACCCAGCGCACCAGGTGCTGTACCATGACATCCGCCATGGTGCTGCCACGGCACGCCTCGGCCCACCAGCTCTTGACCATCTCACGGAGCACCTGCACGCCCGCGTTGGCGAACGCGTTCTCCGAATGCAACATCTCCGACCCGTCAACGCCCGCCGTGTCCGACGCGGGGTTGAATGAGACCGAGTCGGCGCCCTCGAGCTCGTTGATGAGGGACGAGGTCAGGATCGTGTTGATGGCCAGGTTGCGCACCTCTATGTCGACGCACACCGATGCAAACGTGCCCGGGTTGTTGACTGACGGCATCTGCACCACATCAAGGGGCCCCGCGATGTCGTCCTTCTCGTAGCCTGCGTGGTCGGGCCGTGGTCCCGGCGACCACCAGAGGACAACGTCATTTGCCTGGAGCCGCCGCGCGTACGCGACGTCGATCAGGAACCTGGGGTCGTCGCGCTCGAGATTGCATAGTGGCACGTCGCCATACCTCGCCAGCGCCGTCAGATGCAGCACCCACGCGCCCAAGCTGAGGTAGTGATTGATGAGCCGTCTGGCCACCACGCCCTGCCAACCAAGAGGCGGGAGCGCGCTGTCGGCCGGGTCAGACTTGAGTGGCAGGACCGGAAACTCGGCTAGGATGGGCACCTCGTGGATCAACATGTTGCGCTGAGACGACTGCATCACCAACATGACTGGGCTGGTCGTCTCGTCCTTGCGCATCTTTCTGACAACGTCGCTGATCTCCAAGAAGGCCTTCCTCCGTGTCGTGACCTGTGTAGTTTTGAACGTGATGCGTTCCTGGTATTCGAAGCAGTCCTGCCATGTCGACTCCCCGGTGGCCTCCTCCTCTTGCTTGCGCTTGCCAAGCAGGTCCCCGTATAGTTTAGTGATGTTGGGCATCTCCTGGGCGCTGTCCCTGTTCTTGTTGAGAATGATTATATGGGCATAGTCCCTTGTAGAGGAGAAGATGCCAAAGATTTGGCGCTCGCCCGAGCTGACGTGGGACATGTAGATGTATGACATCTTGGCCGACTCCAAGTATGGTTGCGGCTTGACAGGCCGCTTGAGGCTGGGCAGGTCAAATCCTTGATCCAGTCCTTTGCCCAGCACACCCGACTGGCTCTCGTCGATAGTGCACAGGTTGCCGAGCTGCAGCACCGCGCGCATGTTGAGCGGAACCTGTGACTCGTACACGCCTTCGACACTGGGGTGGTTGAAAAGCAGCGAGAATTTCTGTGCCTCGGCAACGTAGACGTCCTCGGGCACCACCAGCTTGAACAGATGGACTGACGAATGGCCGTTGGGAAGGGTATGGTTGACCTGCTCCACGTGGCACCCTGGGACATCGACGTCGGGCAGATCTCGGCTCTTGAGATTCAGGAACACCTGCCGGGGCACCTTCATCTTCACCGAGTGGACCCTGTTGTCGATCAGCACGTACGCCGCCACGATGCCGGGGTTGTCCGTCATCTTGAGCTGGAGCAGCTGCCACGTGTTTTGGAATGTGACTTCGGCCTGCGCCCTAAACGTCTGCTGGATGCTGGTGTTCTGCGCGTTGCCGCGGCGATCACCAAACAAGTGCCGACGACGGATCCGCGCTTGCTTCTGGATCTTCCACTTGATCTTCTGGTACGCCAGAAAGCCCTTATAATCCACCGACGGATTCGGCATCACCTTGGGCAGGGCTGCCCAGGGGTCTATGGGTACCGCCGGCTCGGGCTCTTTCCGCTTCTGTGTCGTTCTCTGACTGGCTGCAATGACGGAGTTGACTGTCTTGGGCTGCAGCAGCTTGCTGCCCATATCCTCCATGTCGTTCAACCGCTGGCTCCCAGTGTTGGTGATGTCCTCAAGGGGGCCCTTGCTGAAAAAGAGGTCGGTGAGCTTCTTCTGCTTCATCTTGTCGTCCTTGGTGTTGATCCTGCGCTGCAGCCAGTCGGGGTAAGGCACGCGAGGAACCGGGTTGCGAACTTTCTGGAGCGCAGCGGGGATGGTAATCAGCTTCTGGATGACGGAGCCCAGACGCTCCGCATAGTAGGCCCAGTCGAGCAGCGCCCTAGGATCGGTGTTCTGAGGTTCCTCTTTCAGCCATTTCTTCAGGTAAGCCCGCTTGGTCTCCTCGTCTGCTGAGAAGATGGCTACTGGCACGGCCCTCTCGGTCACTGGCGCGCCCTTGGGCCGGGCGCAGATGATGAATTTGCAGTTCAGCCCCTTATCTTTGACCATTTGTGCTCCTAAAAAGTCGGCCAGTCGCTTGGCAGTGGTGATGGATGTCGACTTCTGGCTGCCGTACTCTTCGAGGGTCTTGCTCATGCTTCGGTTCTCCGAAATGAGGTCCATAAGCTCCTCGTCCGCCAGCGTCGTGCCCTTGTTGTCCAGAACATCCAGCCACCGGTTGGCAACTGTGGCCACAGCCTCATAACATTCGGCTAGTGTTGTGCCCTCGAGGAAGAACTTGAATATTTGCTGCTGGAAGATCTTGATGAGCTTCAGCTCACCTCTGCGCTTGACCTCAAAGCCCTTCAGCTCAGCGAGACTGCCGTCGTCGTTGAAGACAGCATACCGCTTCTTCAAATTCTTGTCCTCTTCCTTGGACGTCGGCAGAACCATGGCCTTGTACGGGCCGTCGACTTCGAAGAAGATGGAATTGTCGCTGTGAGTCTCATACTTGAACGTCTTGGGATCTACCAATGTCTGGTACTGGTGGTTGGTGAACTTGGCGTGAACCAGGTGGTTCAACATGACACAGGGGTATGAAATTGCAAGCTTTTTGCCGTTCTTGAGCTTAAAGGCGAAGTTCTCGGGGAAGGTTGCGGGAAGCATGCACCAAATACCGTCCGTGTCAAGCTCGAGGGGGCGCCCCAACCTTTCGACCAGCACTTTTGCCAGCTGGATGATGGTGGCTCCCGTTAAGCAGGTGACGCCGGCCATCTCCATAGAGTACCACCTGGATCCCTTTCTCATGACGTAGCCATAGAAGGAGTTCAAGATGACCTTGTGAGCCAGCTGGAGCGAGTCAAAGAGAATAATCATCTTCCTGGCAGCGTCGACCTCACTTGCCGATGCACCCGACGACTTGAGCGCATCCGTCTTGCCTTTCCAGACCTTTGCCTTGCCCTTGTAGTCGTACCGACGGTCTCGGAAGTCGCGCACCGTGTCGATGTAGAAGGGGTTCTCTCTCTGGCAGATGATGGCCTCTCGCTCGATGATTGTGGAGTCGTGGATCTTGTGGTAAACCTTTTGAGAATATATCTGCAGGCGTTTCCGAGTGAGGGTGGCCTGCTCGTCGGCTGGAAGTTCTTGGAACGTCCGCATCGGAGAGTTTGGGTACTTTCCAGGAAACTTCTCATTCTCGAGGGCATGCCGGATCATGTTGTACTCGTCTCGTTTTGCAGGCAGATATTCTCCTCTCCAGGACCAAGGCAGTCTCCGGTCGCACGTCTTGCCAGGCCGGTTGAAATCGCAGGCAGCGCAGTCTGACTCTGAGACCATCGAGTCTGGCTGCAGCCGGTTGGTCGTCATAATGTTGGGGTACATGGACGCGACATCCAAGTGGTAGATCAGCGGCCTCTCAAGACGGTTGGGCGTCTCTCTCAAGGCCTCGAGCTTCGCCTTGATCTGCTCCTTGACCTCTTCGTAGTTTGTCACATCGTCCATCGGCTTCTTCTCTTCCACCGTGATACTGAACTTCAGGGCGGCGTCCAGATCCCGAATAAGCTCCTCGCAGGCGCTCGCGTCGACGGCGAAGTTCACCGGGATGTCAGCTCGGAAGACACCGGCCTCGATACTTTCGACGTGACCACCGACGTAGGTCTCGGAGTCAAGCAAATGACCATCCCAGAAAGACTCCTTCGCCGACACGTGCTTATTCGGCAGCACGATTCCCTTCTGGTACGCCTGCACCATGAGAAGCATCTCGCAAAGCGTTCCCGTACCTTTCCTCTCCGTGTCGTCAGGGCCGAGCGGCAAGATGGTGCAGAGGGAGAAGACGAAGGGGTGGACATATTTCATGTACAGGTAGTACGTCGCAACGGCATCGGAGACTGAGTACTCGGCCAGGGTCTGCGGCCGTTCGCTAGCATACGGCGTCATCAGTTCTGGGTCCAGCTCGTCGGGGTCATAGCCGAGCTTGGCGACGGTGACGGCCTTGAGACCTCTGCTGCCCTGGGGCAAATAACTGTCTCGGTTGACCCAGTGGAAGCAGTCCATGTGGACCGAGTAGTTGCACTTGTACTGGTCCTCCGTATCCTTCCTCCAGCCGATCTCGCGGTACATGTCAATGCCGTTGAAACTGGCGCGTGCATCGACGTATGGCCAATCGAAGAAGTCGCCGTTGTAGGTGGCGATGACCGTGGGGCGAGCCTCCTTGATGTGCAGGAAGAAACGCTCGATCAGGCCCTTTTCGTCGGGCTCGTTGAAGATCATGAAGGGACCGGGGTATTCAGGTTTGGGCGTGTACTCGAAGTCGGCAATGTCTTCGGAGATGATCTCCCTGTTGGTGATCAGGAACCCCTGGCCGTCGATCATGTACGATATCATCATGATCTGGTCGACGGTCGGATCGGGGAATTTCAAGGGCGCTTTTGCCGTCTCGATATCGTAGGCCATGACAACTGGATCTGCCATGGGCAGGTGCTCTTCATTGCAGACCACCGTCGTGACCCCGTGTTTTGCCTCCACCCAGTACCATTTGGCCACTCTTATATCTGTGCGCTTGTAAGTCGGGGCGTCTGGGAGGGGGAGCATCCAGGGGCTTGCGTACCCATATCTATCATTACTCGGACGTGGTAGGGAACGTCGTACTCTCTAATATCGACAATGAAATCGCTGGAATCGGCAAAGGAAACATTAAGTCGTTTATCGTGTTCTCGTGAGTCGTCGAAGAGGTCAAAATCGCCATTGGTGCTGTGTTGTAGGATGGCCTATTAGCAGACGTCAGGGGCGTGGTGGGCCAAGACGCAACCTACGCGGCAACCTCGGCGTATGTATCCATCGCATCCATGTTCTTCTTGTTCTTCTCCGCGATGGGGAAGATGTCCTTCCTCGCGGCCAGCAGGTCCTGCACGTTGTGGAACCTCAACTCGAGGAAGGTCCGCCTGTAGCCGAGCAAGTGGTTGGGCATCTTAAGGTCCTCCTTCTCGACCCGGCGGACCGACTTGACGACGCCGCCGCCGGGCACGCGCTTGCACCACTCCTCGACGTCGCTCTCGCGTCCCTTGCGGGCGGCGATGAGGAAGTAGGGGTCGTAGGCGACGGTGGCCTTGAAGGTGCCGCCGTCCTCCTCGATGAAGTAGCAGTCGATGGCGGCGCGGCCGCCGCCGCCAGGCACGCGGTCGTCCTCGATGCTGGTCGGCTGCACGTTGACGAGCCAGCCCTCGCGCCGGCGGCCGGCGTCGTAGCGCGCGAAGCCCATGCTCTCGTCGATGTCGTGGGCCAGCCGCACGCGCTCCCACTTCTCGTCCGACGACGTCGCCTCGGCGCGGCCGCCCGTCGTCGCCGCGAATGTACGCGCGCCGCCCCGCCCGCCATGGTAGGCCTTCTTGCCGCCGCGGCCGCGGTAGCCCTTTTGCGGTTGGCGGAGGGATGTATTGGCCATGGCCGGCTCTGTGGCGGCGAGTTGCCGCTCGGTTGCTAGGGAAAGGGCGCCCTTCTAGGGCCGTTCTCGGAGGGGGCCCGGCAGGCGGCAGATGCTCCGGATCAGAATCGGAATAACCGCGGCTCGAGGGGGTCGTGGGTCAGAAAGGGCGCAGCTCATATGGTACTGAAGTCGAACGTAGGAAATTGCTAAGCGGTCGGCAGCCGTCAGGATTGAAGTGGAAATCCTGTCGCACAGGGCTCTCTGGATGGAGCTTGTTGGTGGGTTGGCAGCCAGGGGCAGACGATGGAACAGTTAGACTAGATTGGTTTTCAAGTGAGTGGGCTTGCACTTTGAAAATCCCAACGCGTCCCTGCAAGGCAACGCGACGAGGACCCCTGCAGCCATTAAACATCGCGGGCCATGTGGGGCTAACACCGCCAAACACTCGGCCAATTCGAGCCTATCAGACCCGCATTTGTCCGAGTCCAGCCATTGGACTCCAAGCAGCTGCCACTAAGGCGGCCCGGAACATTGAGTCTGGAGAGTTCCATTTACTGTTGCCTGTCGTCCGTGTGCGGAGCCCTTGTACAGCGTTGGCGATCCATCTTCCCCGCAGCAATTGGCAGACCCCTGCAGAGCCCCTCAACAACCCCAACCCTGCCGCCAAATCCGGATAGCTTCCAGCCTTTTTCCAATTGAGCGTAACCACGCGAAAGCAGCCAACCAAGCCCGGTGACGTGACCCGTCTGCACGTCACCCAATCCGAACCGACCGACGACGAGGCCCAGAGCTACCTATCCCGCCCTGCGACGACAAAAAAACACGCAGTCGCCCGGCCCCTCACACGGACATGTCCAGCCCCGACGACGAAAAGCCGCCGGCCTGGCGGGCGCAGGAGTTCGCGGCCGCGCCGACGGAGGACCAGCTGCGGGCGCTGCGGGTTGTCGAGCAGCAGCAGCAGGACCTCAAGGCCAAGCTGAGCGGGCAGCAGCGCGCGACCATCGGGGAGGCCGTGGGCACCATCAAGCCCGAAGACTTTCTAGCCGTGCACAACGCGCCCTGCTCCAGGCAGGGCCTGCTCACAGGCATCGGGGGCGGCGCCGGCGTCGGGGCGCTGCGGTTCGTGCTGGGAGGTACGTTATAAGGGAGAGAGGGGAGGGATTGTGGCCAAGACAGGGGCAGGCCGGCCGGACTTGACTGACTCCTGCCACCCATTCCCAGCACCAATACCAAAGGCGGCAAATTGGGCCGCGGGCGCCTTCGTCGCATTCGCCGTCGGGTCTTACGAGTACTGTCAGTATAGCCGCCGGGTGGAGCGCGAGAAGCTGAAGAGGGCGGTGGAGGTGTTTGACCGGAAAGCGGCAGAGCTGAGAAAGAAGGCCGAGGACAAGAAGCGGCAGGACGCGGAGGCGGCCGCCGCAGAAGAGGCGTCGAGGTTAGCCTCCCAGAAGAGGTGGTATAAGTTGTGGTGAACAAGCTCGGGCTGGGTCACGATAAAAGGGATTAAAAGGCCGCATTACGGTCCCCAAAGGAGACGGAAAAGGCTAGCATTAACATTGGCGCATGATCTTTTACATGTATATTGAGAGGGTTATTTGGGTATTGATTGCCATCATCAGTATATAATTTGCAACCGCACGTCTCGATCGTCAGCCCGAGCACCCCGACGTGCCGCAAAGAAACTCGAGTCTCAACCCACTTATAATGAAAGCGGCCAACTGCGTGGGGAACGGGCAATTTGGGTTCAGAAAAATATCAAATCATACTCGGGAGTGACAGTCCTGGTACCAACTCCCCTGGATATCCCGCAAATGCGCCTCCCAGTCATAAACAAGCCAGTGTCAACTAAGACTTGGGGGAGTGCTGTTGCCCAAACGCTTCCGGTGCCCTCCTAAACCCAAACGGAAAGAAAAAAAAGAAAGGCAGGAGTATGATCCCACAAAGAAAACAGCCGTTCTGTATCTGTGTCATGACGTCGTAATCACGGCGGCCGGCTCAACATCCAGGAAGCGCACCCTCCTGGCCGCCAGCTGCTGCCTTCTGGCGGCTTGGCGCTGCTGCTCTGCAGATTTGACAACGCCACTGCCGCCGCCACTGCCACCAGCTCCGGCTACCCCTGCACCTCCCGTCCCTTCCGTCGGGCCTGCGCCGCTGCCAGAAACTGCAGGACTGGCCCTCCGACGCAGGCTCCGTCTGGCGCGGGCCTCGCGCTCCTCGCGCTTCCTGTACTCGGCCAGCTGCTGGCGGCGCCTAAGGGTGCGCGCGTACGCAATGGCGGGGGTGGGCTTGAAGCCGATACCGTTGATGCCTGTGCCGTCATCGTCCTCGTCGTCCGGGTCGTACACCGTGATCTCGTCCTCGTGCCATGTCAGTGCGGCACGGACCGGATCCACAATCTCCTTGTGCGACGGCGACGGTGACAGCGAGGACGAGGACGGCGAGCCGTCGTCCTCGCCGGCCGCCTCGTGCGCCTCGCCCGTCGCCATAGTCTTGGCGCCGACCAGCGGCGGTGTCGCGGCCCGAGGTGACAACCCGACCGTCTTGTAGTTGCGGTGGTGCGTCTTGTTATAAGTCCCACCGCTGCTCCCCACCGCAGTCGTCGCCGCGGCGCTGCCGCTGTGGCTCTTGGCGGGGTCACCTAGTGCCCCAGCAGCCTGGAGCCTGGCGGCCCACTCGCCCATTGAAGTGTTGCTGACAGGCGCAAACACGCTCGTGCTATGCAAGGGAGGAGAGTCGCTCTCGGCTTGCTGCGGAGCCTTGAACCGTTTGCGCGCCGAGAAATAGCCGTCACCATTGTCGTCATCGTCGCCATCATCCTCGTCGTCGCCGTGCGTCCCGCTGTCATGCATCATGGCCACCGTAGCGACCCGACGCGGGGTCGGCGACCCGGCGTAGTGTGTCCTAGGTACTGTTGCCGGCTGCGTTTCTGCTGCTGTTGGCGTCCCGGCTGTGGCTGCCAACAAAGGGGCCTTTGCGCCCGGTGCGCCACCCCCGCTGTCGAGGGCCAATCCCTGGAACTTGCGCGCCACCCTCGTTCGAGGGCTGCTGCTGCCATCGTCGCCCTCGTACGCGGGGACCTCGAAGGAGAAGCTTGTATGTGAATTGGCTATAGTAGCGGGAGGAAGGATCGGATGGGCGGACGGGGCGGCGGTGGGAGTCCCCCTGCACGAGATTAGGCGCGGGCTCCCGTCGAGGGAAGGATAATCTCGCTTGCGCTTCGGCGTCGCCGCGCGGAGAGGCGGCTCGACTTCGCCCATTGCTTGGGCTGGATTGCGACGGTTGGTGTCTTTGTGCTGCCTGCGATTCGCAGTGGTCGACGGCGTGTGGTGAGTGAGGAGGCGGTGGCCAGGAAACGAGACTTGACTCGGATGTGAGAGGAAAGCGAATTGCCTCTGGGTTTCTGCTTCTGTCAGGGCTGTCGTCTTTGTCCGGGCAAAAAAGGTCGAGGCCGGAATGAGAGCGGGGATTCTAGTCAAATGCGTGCCAAAAAGGGCGCAACGGCGCTATGCCATAGTGAATCAAGCGGGAGGGATGCGTTTGGAAACGTCAATGAATGGAGGTGCCAGTCAGCTAGGTGGAAATGGAGGTGATTCAGCCCCCAGCAGCTTTGTTGGCCATTGAGATCATGTGGATTCAGACAGTCCAGGCGCCCGTCAGCTTAAATCTGGGCAGGCCGGAGAGGAGGCCACGTAACTCCCGGTCTGCGCAATTGATCGAATCTCAAACTCCCACAGCCGGGCAGGTCCAACTCGGGCGCGACTTCCTTCCAGGCAATAAGACAGCCCAGCGGCCCGATGGTGGCGACAAATAGCACAGTTGAGCATTGGGGGTGGGCGGGGGCGTGCAGAGACCAAAAAAAAAAAAAGCCCGACGGAACCATCCAATCTGATCTTGGAACAATAGAACACGCTGCTGCAGGCACTAGGTAGGCGAGGCTGTTCTCCGGTTCCCAGCGCTGCATGCAGTCTGCCCGGCTCTGCATTGGAATGCAGACTTGCCGACGCTTCTGTTTCGTTGCCGCAGTCAAAGTGCATTAGCCTGGAAACAGGTGCTGACCTAAAACCCGAGTTTTCTAGCCAAATTATATGGACCTGAAAGTCATCAATGATTGTTGCTGTGTAATATTTCCGTCTTCGGGTCCGCTCGTCACATCTAACAAGGCGGATCCTGCTGAGGCTTCGTCTCATATTTGGCTGAGCTCGTCTCCAAGGGAGCAAGAAATGCCAACCCCACCTGTTCTCACAGTCGAAAGCGAGCACGAAGCCACGCCATTCAGATCATTCGAGGCCGCCTGTGTTCCCTAACCACAATGCCCGCTACAGTACCAACACATGGCTAACCCGAATCCAAGCCGGCGTCGATCCATTGGGGCGCGTGTCGCATATGACCTCTGCGGGTGCTACCCCGCGCAACGCAGGCTGTGTGGGGAAGTTCAAGACTTGGAAATAAGTGTCACCCCACCCTCGTTGGGGGTCGGCAAAGAGCCATACCGCAATCCTTTTTGCGACCCGTCGAAATAGCCTGAATTGCGCCCTAGCTCCCGGGAGTGCGAGCGGGTCACCGTCGTGCAAATTACCTCAGCCGATCCATCATGTAGACTATAATAAGGGAGCCCTCCACGTGGGGTGCGAGGGGAAGAGACCCATATCAAATAAGTCTCCCGGTCGAGACACTGGACGAATTATTACTCCATCTACGTCATCCAGATCACCACATGCGTCTATAGCTCGGACCGCAGACAGAATAATCCCTCTAGATCAGGAGACGCAACTACCACTAATAACAAGAAAAAAAGCCCGTAAAAATGGCCGACTCAGCAGTCGAGCTCCTGCCCCTCGGGGCCATCATCCAGTCCCTCAAGGTCGGCGGCATCAACATCGTCCAGGGCTTCCCGACCGAGGACCTGTACCGCGAGCACAACGCCCCCTACTTCGGCGAGACCATTGGGCGCGTGGCGAACCGCATCAAGGACGCCAAGCTCGACTCGCTCAACGGGGGCAAGTCGTACACTCTGACCGCCAATAACGGGCCCAACAACCTGCACGGCGGCGTCGTCGGCTGGGGTAAGCGCGTCTGGGACGGCCCCAAGCCCATCGGAGTGCGCTCCATCCCCGGGGTGGACGGGCTCGAGGGCGGCGAGGCCGTCGAATTCACCCTGCTTAGCGAGGATGGCGACGAGGGCTTCCCCGGCACCGTCAAGGCCACGACCGTCTACACGGCCGGAAAGCAAGTCGTCGATGGCAAGGACGTCACTGTTCTCGGCATCGAGTACGAGGCTGAGCTGATCAGTGGTGCGGACGAGACCCCGATTAACATGACCAACCACTCGTAAGTTCTTTGCCATCTCGACCCAGTGAAACAGCGAACAGTCATAACTGACGCCATCACCGCAGCTACTTCAACCTGACCGGAGGCGAGTCCATCGCCGGCACTGTCGTGGAGATTGCCACAAACTCGTACCTTCCCGTCGACGACGGCGGCATCCCCACGGGCGGCATCAAGCCCTTCTCCAAGTTCGAGGGCAAGAAACCCTTTACCCTTGGCCCTGAAGAGCCCGACATCGACGACTGCTTCATCGCCAACGAGAAGCCCTCGTCAGTGCCTGTCGACACCCGGTCCCAGCCCCTGGTCCGCCACGTGCACACCAGCCACCCGGACTCGGGCATCCACCTCGAGGTCCTCAGCACCGAGCCCGCCTTCCAGTTCTACACGGGCAAGTACATCGATGTGCCTCAGGTCGCCAGCCTGCCCGCCCGCAAGGCCCGCAGCGCCTTCTGCGTCGAACCCAGCCGCTACGTCAACGCCGTCAACGTCGACGAGTGGAAGTCCATGATGGTCCTGAAGAAGGGCGAGAAGTACGGGGCGAGGATCGTGTACCGCGCATGGAAGGAGTAGGAATCTGAGATGTGCGCAGGTGTGAACGAAATTTGCCATGAATGCCATGCATTCGTCGCGTGGTTGGGTGGAGAGTCGAGGGCTGTGACAGTGGTTCGGGCTGAGCCCAGCCACCTTCCAACCGTGTGCTTTAATCATCAATGGCTTCATCCATCTCGTCATCTCCCGCTTCGTGAACAGGTTTGGCAGGGGCTTTGGCTTCTTGTTTCCTGAACAGACCTGCCAGAAATTCGCCAGTGCTTGCCTCATCCACGCCCTTGTCCTCCCGCTTCTTGAGGAAGCGAGGGAACCGTAAGCTGAGACCACGCTCGTCACTCACAAGCCCAATAGCCGCAGTGTAGGTCGGGCTGAGGGTGATGTCCGCAAACGCCATTTCCCAGACCTCCTGGGGCTCGAACCACACATCCGGCTCCGGGCCCGAGTATTCGATGAATGCTGGCTTTTGGGCGCGCGTGTTCTGCCTCTCCGACCCGTCTGCCCCGTCGTTGTAAAAGAGCTTGTTGGCCTTGTAGAAGGCATCGGTGAAGCCTGACATGCACTTCGTCACGGCCTCTAGCGACCCCGTGTCGTCGTTGCGTACGGCCATGAGGATCGGTGACCACCATTTCGCCTTCCTCCCCTGCCCGTGCCAGGCGGCGACGGGTATGAGGTCGAGCGTGTCGAAGTTGATATTGTAGTCCTTTTTGACCTTGAGCCATGAATCGAGTCGCTTGTCGGGCTCATAGGTTGCAAGAAGGGGCTTCCTTCGCGACTTTTTCTTTTCGGGTTCGCCACTCTTTGCCTTTTCTTTGCCTTTCCCCTTGCCTTTGGACGAAGGCTTCACTGTCGCCTTATCTGGCTCTGGTACTCCCTCGGTGGCCATGTCCCCTTGGTACGCCAGATCTGGAAGGTTGTCCAGGATCTTGACCATCAGACCCTCGCATTTCGCATCCGTCGCCGCCTTGAAGAACTCGAGGACGGTTTCCGAGTCTTGGGACGTGGCATCCAGACTCTTCACCCATGTGAAATGATGGGGTACATGAACAAAAAGAGATTTGAGGAGCTCGCGTCGTTGGCGGAACGGCTTATCGAGTAGTGGTTGGCCATTGAGGAACATTAGGTCAAAAGCAAAGAGACAGACGTCTACCGTGATGCTGCCAATTTCCACGTCCTTCCTTGCACGGTTGGTCAAGGTCTGGAAGTTCTTGAGCTCCCCTGTCTGGCGGTCAACAGCAACGACCTCGCCTTCCAGAACGAAGCTTTCGACTCCTTGACCCCGAATCTTGGGAATCAGAGCGACAAGATCGGGGTATTTGTCAGTCATCAGCTCCAGGTGTCTCGAGAAGATAGATACCGTTCCTTTCTCATCGCAGTGGACTTGGGCTCTCTGGCCATCATACTTGAACTCGCAAGCAAAGTCCCTCCCCTGGAGCTTGGTAAGCATCTCGGCCAGATCTCTTGTGATGCTACCAAGCATTGGGCGAAGAGGAATGTGCAGCGTCAGCCCACATCGAAGCAGGAGCTCTTCGGTAATACCGAGCTCGAGAAGCGTGGGAACAAGGTCGTCATAATTGGGACGTCTGGCAAAGCAGGCCTTGACTATTTCCTCGCCCCTTGCCCAGATCTCGGCAAGCTCATCCTTCTTGAGCTGATTTAACTGTGCCGGGTGTCTGGTAGCAAAGTCTGCTCCATCTGGCTTCGATAGGACGAATGCGCGAGACAACGCAATAAGCATCGTGGTTTTCACCGCCCCAATTCGAAGCTACAGAGATCGTTAGCCTCGCGCTGTGGGTGATATAAGAAAGAAATGGCCACGTTTTTCGATGGAAGTCTATAGTCCCAAGCATATCCCGAAGTAAAGTGCACGGCTGAGACATGGGGGATATCACATCTTGACAGGACGAAGGAGAAAAAAGTAGATTGTGGAAAGTGAGGTCTTACATGCTGACATAGGGTGCGGACAATGAACCTGCTCTCCTCCCCGCCCCTAGCATCCTGGAGTAGTCTGTCAACGATCTGCTGCTTCGCCTGCACGCTGCCTTGACCTTGGCTCTTGGCAATTTTAACCAACGACTGGAAGACGCCCTTGATGGTGAGCGGTTTTGGCCTCCTCAACATAAAGCTCTGCTTCTTCTTGGCTTCGAATGCAACATCGCCCGGGTCGCCGTGCTTGTCGTAAATGGCCTTGAGGCTGCGATTATCTAGGCCGCAGACCTGCTTCAGGGCCTTGGAGATGGCAGAGCCGCCCAAGCCTAGCTCCAAGGAGATGTACGGTGGCGAGATGGCGTTGGTGGCGAGCCAGACCGCTGGGAGGAGGCTAGTAGGGTCTGTCTCTATAAGAATCCGGATGCAGTTGACCAGCGTGTCAACAATCTTGATACGGCTGTTGGTCCCGCTGACGAGAACGAAGCAGCGCGTCAATAGGGCATATGACGCGTTGCCTCCGTCAGTCGACCACTGGGCCTTCAGTTGATCGGTATACTGGGAAGGCTGGAATGTCAAGGGGCTCTCATCCAGCGGAAGCGACGATGCGACCGAGTCTTCAACTGTCGCGACAGACTGCAATGACAGTATATTGCGCGTAGGGACAGGGGCGGCGGCGGCAGCGGCTGGCGCAGACCGAGGACCTGAAGTGCCGCCGTCGTCTTTCGTCGACACGATACCCGGGTTTACATTTGCTTCGCCGCCGTTAATATATGGTCCATTCTCTGCCAGGGCCAGCTGAGGCGTCACTGATGTAGTGACCTTGTTTGTGGACCCAGTTGCATCCTTACGGCTCCATTCCGCTTGTAGTTTTCGCGCAAGCTCTTCATCGCTTAGAACCTGTTCGTTCTTTGTAGCTGCGGGAGCAGGCTGCGTTTGTTTCGCAAAGAAGTAATCCAATTTTCGCGTCGGCGGCTTGGAATCGACGCTGTTGAGCTTGCGCTTTTTGGCCGGGCTGCGCATTGGAAAAGGTCACGGTGGAGGAACGAAAGCGCGTGAAATGACCAAAACGCTCCTATCCATTCGGGATAAAAGTATAAGCAAGGTATTGCTATTGTAGGTAGGCACAGGGCGTTCCTCTAATGGCAGGCGTGTTGACATCAGAGATGGGGACTGGGCGCTAGAGTGGGCGTGCAGGGCGTGCAGTGCACGGTGGCTGGAGGCGCCCCTGAAGTGTGAAGTCATCAAATGCACTGGCGTCACCAAGCCGCCGCAGGGTCACGTGGCACAGACGCTAATCCCAATACGGAATTTCAACATCCAGCACCACACACCGAACGAAATATCGTGTGTGGTCTGGCTGCCCCACCCAGAAAACCACGGCCAGCGACCCCCTCCATCGTCAAGTCGCCGCCCCCGTCGCAAACACCCGCCTCCCTCTCTTTCCTCTCGACCAACCGGCCAAAGCCCCCGATCCGAGACCGAACCCCTTGCCCAAGATGCGCGTGCCCAACGCCGAGGACCCGCCCGAGCGGCCCGACTACATCACCAACATCATCAACGGCCTCGAGAGGTACAACCCTGAGGCTGTCGGCACCCTCGAGAGCTACCTGACCCTCCAGTGTGAGGAGAAGTTCTGCGACTGCAATGCCAACAGGACACTGCTGAAGCTGTACGACCGCTCCCGTTCCTTGTCTTCGCCTCCTACTCCTCCTGGTTCATCGGCACTTTCCACATGATGCGTTTTTAAACGTTTCCTATTACCTGACATACCCCCCGCGGGTCAGCGCGTGCCGGCGGCTTCTGCGTCCCGGCTCCGAGAGCCTCGCGTGGGGAACTGAAGTCAAATAGTGACCCCTGATCTACTCCAAGTGCAGAGGATCTTGTTCTGGAAAATATGCCCGTTACAATGAATGATCAAGCCTGGCTAACCCATCCCCGCGCGCGCAACCGCTGTCACCCCTCCAAAACACAGGTACCAGCTCAACCCCGACCGCATCAAGGAGGAGGTGGTGACCAACATCCTTGTCAAGTCCATGACGCAGTTCCCGTCTTCGCAGTTCAGCCAGGCCATGCACCTCATCAGCCCCTCGGCGCTCGCACAGCCGACGGAGCTGTCCGAGGCGATCGGCAAGCTGCGCGACCTGAACCTGCAACTCGAGGGCGCCCAGTACGCGCGCTTCTGGGTTACCATCGAGAGCGACGACCTGTACGCCGACCTGACGACCGACATCAAGGGCTTCGAGGACATGATCCGCACCCGCATCGCCCTGCTGGCCTCCCAGGCCTTCCGTGAGATCCAGCTCCCCCTGCTCGAGGACTGGCTTGGCCTCAGCGACACCGCCCTCCGCAAGTTCCTGACCGAGACGTGCGGCTGGACCGTCGACGGCGCCACCATTACCGTGCCTAAGAACCCGGACAATGAGGCCAAGAAGGCCGAGATTCGCGAGGATGTCAACGTCGAGATGTTCTCGAGGGTCCTGAGGAGGTCATGGGAGGAGACTGCATGAAGTGGGGTTGGCAGTTCGTGTGGATTTCTACGTTCTTGGTCCAGTGCCTCGTAAATCTATCGTGTCTCTGTCCCCCGCCTCCTATTCGAAGCAGGTTGTGGGGATGAGTCATCGGGAGGAATTTTAGGGATGCATTTCAACGGCAAAAAAAGCTCAGGCGTTACGGTTCGGGTTCGGTTGGGGGCTTGGAGGCGGTGCCATTCCCTGGGGCTCGCATTGTCACAGGAATAGAACTAGTGCACAAGCGACTAGGTACCTCTGCAAAGAGCGGCAGCTCTGTCGTTCTGTGATCACCGTTACACCTCGTCATGGGATTATCCGGCGGGAGAACTACGGAATCGGCATCAATGGCACTCGATTGCTCCTCATCTTGTCTAAGCGGATTCTCTAGTTGTGGCGCTAACATGCGCAAAGTGTATTACTTTTCGTCTCTTCACCTCTTCACCATAAGTTCCTCCCACTGGACGCCCACCCACTCCTCCAGGTATCCGGTCTCCCCGTCGCCCGCGGCCCTCTCCTGGCAGTCGCGCGAGCAGACGCCGACGATGACGGTGCCCCAGTCCATGCCGTCGAGCCCGTCCTCGCCGCCGGCCTCGAGGTCCGCGATGGCCTGCGGCGTGAGCTGCACCTCAAACACCCTCGCGGCGCCGCAGTTTGCGCACGGCGGCATCCCGCCCGCCGCCTTGACCTTTCTGCCGCCATCCTCCTCGTCATCGGCGGCCCCCAGCGCGCGCCCGACGTCGTCGCCGCGGCTGTAGAGCAGCGGGGCGCCAGCGTACTCGTACCGGATGACCTGGTCCGGGTTCTGGCCGACGCGGTCGGCGAACTTTTGGAAGTCCGTGTCCATGCTCGACTCGAACACCTCCTTGTCCTCTTTGCCCTTGCCACCGCCGCTGCTGCCGCCGCCGGCCGCCTCCTCGTCCAGCTCCATGACCGTCGGGCCCGTCGGCACGCTCGGCATCGGCGTCGGGTCTAGCGTCTCGTACTCGGCCTCGGCGATCCAGGACACCGGGTACGGCCGCGGCTGGCCCGGCTCCGACTCGGCCGGCCACGGCTCCGGTGGCGGCGGGGGGCCGGATGGCGCTTGGGGGTTGTTGAGTGCCAGCTTCTCGGCGAAGGTTTGGGGCAGCTCGGCGACGGATTTTGTTGCTTTTAGCTCTTCTTTTTGCGCGTTCTCCTTCTGCTTCTCCTCCTTCGCGGGCTCGGGCGCCTGGGGCTTGGTGCTGAAGGGGTTGGCAGCAGACGCCTGCGGTGCCGAGGAAAACGGATTTGCGCCGGGCGCCGCGAAGGGGTTGGCGCCGCCTGACGGCGCCTTGACGCCGAACAGCGACTCCCCCAGGCCGGTGCTAGTCACAGGCTTGGATGCCTCTTTGGCAGCCGCCGCATTTTGCTTCTCCGCCACCGCCTTCTTCTCGGCAGCCGCCGCCGCAGCCGCCGCGGCCGCGGCCGACACCCTCAGGCCTCTTATGGCGCGGATGGAGCCCGCCTGTCGCCTGCATGACTTCTTGCGGCAGGCGAAAACGTAGATGCGCCTCTCGTGGCCGGGGAAGCGCTCGGGCAGCTCGCCGTTGAGCTGCAGCAGGAGGACCGTGAGGTCCTTGCAGACTTTGCACCGCGCCAGCGCCGCCGTCGGTGGCTTGTCCGTGACGAGCCAGTCCTATATGTCGGGCGAGGCCGGGGAGTTTAGCGCGCCGTTTCCGAAGCAAGTGGTTTCGACGGGGCACGAACCGGGCGTCCTCCCAAACGGCTCACGGTCTCGCTGCCGGCATCCTTGGAGGTGTAACCAAGAAGGACATTGGTTTCGGTGAAATCTTGGTCCTCTCCAGAGGAGTCGCTATCGTATGATCCCATATTGTTGTGCTGTGATCATGGACAGAAAATAGTAACAAAAAGCAAAGAGTTTGCCTTGCGCTACCTGCTTAGGTTGGAGGTGGGGCAGGATTTTTTTAATGGCAACAATCGCGGGGCAAGATGACGAAAAAGTATCCCGCGGCCTGGTACGCGCTCACGCGGATTGGAATTTTTGTTTGCCCAAAAGGAGGAATACTTCATAGTCAAGGCCTAGTTGTTCACCCTCTCAAGCGGCTAGAATTTGGAGAACGATGGCATCTATATGGGCCAAACTTTTATTCACGTCTACCGTCAAACACCTAGACATCCAGTAGCCAGCTCCGATAGTATGAGTACAGTGAGGTATCGCGTCTATGCCGAGTCCAAAACAACGCTACTCCTCAGGGCCGTCCATTCCAGGGCCTGGTCCTCCCTGCCTTCCCATCTGCCGCGCCTTTAGCATCTCGTCGCACAGTAGCAGGTTCGACGCAATCCCAGTGCTAGACGCTATGCAGTTTCTCAGCACACGGAACGAGTCGTAGACGCCCTCCAGCGTGGGATCCATTGTGCCACCAGACTGAAGATCCAGGCCGAATGCGTTGCCCTCGGCATAGTCATCCTGCAGAGCAGCCACTGGGGGAGGAGAAGCATATGTCAGCAAGTTGCTCCAAGAAATGGGGGATATTAGGGCTTCAGGGGCTTGGCCACATACGGGACTCCTGGATGTCATGCCCCGCATTGGCTGCGAGCGTCTTGGGAATAATGAGCAGAGCGTCCGCAAATGCCTGGACACCCCACTTGCCTTTGCCCTTGACAGTTCGTGAGAATGCGTCGCTACGGAGGTGGGCGGCGCACGCGACCTGGAATGCGCCACCGCCGGGCACGACACTCTTGTCGACTATAGCGTTGTAAACGCTGCGCAGGCCGTCACGCACAGCGTCGGTGATTTGCGTAATGGTGTGGGCATTGGGACCCTTGATCAGAATGGTGACCGACTTGGGCTCCTTGACCTCTTCGATGAAGGTGTACTTCTCCTCACCGAGCTGCTGCTCGTACACCAGGCCTGCCCAACCGAGGATATCGGGCGACAGGTCCTCGACACTGTTCTGTGCCACACCGCCGGCGATGAGTTGCAGGCGCTCCATGTTGCGTCGCTTGGCTCGGCGCAGCGCAAAGATGCCGTTCTTTGCCAGCACATCGAGCGACAGCGGGTCGATACCCTTTTGGTTGACAATAACGAAGCTCTTCTTGGGGTCGTCACCGCAGACCTCCTTCTTGAGCTCGACGATCTTCTTGAGCTTGGCATCGACGTGTCTCCGCTCGCTCTCAACCAGTTTGTCGCGCTGCTCGGCACTGTTGTAGAAAAACCCGGAGTTGATCTCTGACTTCTCGTACTCGAGACCGACGTTGAGGGTCAGGATGAAGGCGTTCTCGAGCCGCTTGGGCATGTCCGGGTGCCTCGCGCCGTGGTCCAGAACCAATCCCTTGATCATCTGTGTCTCCGAGGCCGTGCGGTGCTGCATCTTCATAATCTCGACCATGTGCAGGTCGGGCTTGGCCGGGGCCTTGTAGATGGCGAGGACAGCATCGACAATGTCGGGCGTGAGCTTGTTTGCGAGTGTCGCGTTCAGCTTGGTGGCCAGCGATGTCCTGGCGACGCTGATAAGAAGCTCGCGGTCGGCAGCCTTGGGGATCCGGAACGTATCAAGGAACTGTGGGTGTGGTGCCGCGGTCAGTCGCGGATTGGCGTAGGCATAGGCAAATGTCTCACGAGCGACGCTGGTAATAATATCCCACCTTGAGTGCCTCGTTCTTTGCAACCTCGAACCCATCGGCAATGATCCTGGGGTGCAGACCCTCCTGAATATGCCTCTCGGCCTGCTTCAGCAGCTCGCCAACCAGCAGGACAACCGAGGTGGTCCCGTCTCCGCAGATGTCGTCCTGAGCAGTCGCAGCTCGGGCAATCATAACGGCTGTGGGATTTTGTATTTGCATCTCGCGCAGAAGAACATTGCCATCTTTGGTAAGTTTGATCTGCCGCGTCTTCGGTTAGCACAGGGGCGGCGCATGTTCCGAGTGTGCGATGCGGCTTGGTCGGGGAGCATGTGGTGGAGAGCTGGTGGAAGGTTGGTTACCTGTCCCGAGCCGTCGACGAGCCTGCGCAAGAAAAGAAAGTTAGTGGGGTACGTAGCCTAGAAGCGTAGTTATATGATCACTCACATCTTTATGGTCCCCAGGGGACCGAGGTTGGACTTCAGGACATCTTGAAGGCCCTCGCCCGCGTTGATGTTGACTCGGAGAGCCTCACCCCGCCGCTGCCCGCACCAAACGTCAGTATGGGCCAGGACCCCGAAAACCACGGAAGCAGAACGGACGTACTCTCGACTCGGCCTTAGGGTTGAGGAGCTGGGCAGCAGACATGGCTTATGTCTTTGTATTGGGCGTTGTTATGTGTCTGGGCCTGTCTAAGCTCGTCGGTTGGTGCCCCTCTGAGTTTGCCGTCACCGATGCTCTCCCAACTTTTGGTAGCCACCGCGATAGCGGGACACCCGACTTTTTTTGTGCCTGTGCTGCCTGCCCGCCTCGCAGCTTAGAGAGCGGCGGCAGAGGGGTGGTGAGCTTCGACCAATCACCAACGACGCTGATTGTGGGGCTTCGGTACATGTCCTCTCGGCACAAACGCGCAGGGAAGTTTGTACCCTTGTCCTCAGCTTTCGGGGGCAGTCCCAAGCGCGCCGACACCGCGTGAGCGCCAGCCTGATCCTGGGCAATCACCAGCCTCCAACCTTCTGCCCGAGTCTGCCGCTGTCTCCTCAACGAGATTGTAGCAAAGTGTCTCTCCCTTCTTCCCCAGAGCATTCCTACCCCATGAAATTGTGCTGTATCCTACGTTGCTCTTGAATATCTTGACAACATGAAGCTCTGTCGGAGCCTAACATTGTTGGGCTTTGGCGGATTCTTGTCCCGGACCCATGCTGAACCGACGAGCTCGAAGCCTCACCAGGTTGCCATCATCGGCGCCGGCGCTGCGGGTTCTTCGGCCGCATACCACATCCGCAAGTTTGCCACAGAGGCAAACATCCCAATCAATGTCACCATCTTTGAGAAGACAGACCGCGTAGGCGGGCGCACCCTGACCGTGGACGCGTACGGTGATCCTAGCATCCCTGTGGAACTTGGGGCATCCATCTTCATCCAACTCAATCACATCCTCTGGGACGCGGCTCACGAGTTCAATCTCTCGCTTCGGATCCCGGGCCCAGACGAGGACGAGCTGCTGGGTATTTGGGACGGCGAAGGGTTCGTGTTCCAGCAGGACAGCTCACAGTACGACTGGTGGAATCTGGTCAAACTAATGTGGCGATACGGAATCGCCCCTTACCGAGCGCAGAAGCTCATGCAGGGCACCGTGGCCCAATTTCTCAAGCTCTATGAAGCCCCGAGCTTCCCCTTTCGCTCTCTGACAACCGCCTCCTATGAGCTCAATCTGACCTACTTTACCGGATTAACCGGAGAACAGTTCCTGGCTCAAAGCAACGTACGTTCTTGTCTTCACTAACGCCGACATGGTCGATATCTACTCTGTTTATGGGAGGAGATATAAGAGACGATGGATGGGAAGGTGACAGAAAACAGTATAATACCCGTTATGTCAAGCTCGCCTGACACTGCCTTCACAGATCGATGCTCGTTTTGCCCACGACCTCATCCAGGCCGCTACCCGCGTCAACTATGCTTCCAATCTTGACAAACTCCACGCGTTGGAGACAATGGTAAGAAGCTTGGGCGAATAGTTTCCTATTAGTATCGCATCCGCTGACGCCAACAATTCAGGTGTCCATCGCCCCTGACGGCGCATCTCAGGTGGCTGGTGGCAACTGGCGGATCTTTGCCGCCATGGTTAAGAACTCGGGGGCTTCCATCCAGTTCAACACCTCCGTCGACTACATCGGGCTGCAATCAGAAAAAGAGAAGCATGACGCCCGCTCCAGGTACATCATCCGAACCCAATCGTCAGACGCTGCAGAGCCACTCGTCTTCGACAGGGTCATTCTCGCCAACCCTTACCAGTTCAGCAACATTGAGGCTGGCGAAAACGTCCTGAAGCAAACCATCGACAAGATTCCATACGTCAAGCTGCACGTCACCTTGTTCACGTCCCCATTCCGCCTGAGCGCCGAGTTCTTCGGCCTCGCGCCTGGCACCACGCCTCCGACGACCGTGTTAACGACGCTGGCCGAGGGAGAGGACAGCTCATCTGGCGTCTCGGGGGCAGGGAAGGCTGGCTTCTTTTCGATCAGTACGCTCAGGACACTGAAAAATCCCAAGACCGACAGCGTGGAATACCTGTACAAGATATTCTCACCAGAGAAGGTCTCGGCCGAGTTCCTCACCACACTACTTGGCGTGCCTGTCCCAGAAATATTCACTGGCCCAGTCAAAGGCGATGCGCAAACGGACGCAGTCGAGCCTGTCTCGTGGATCTACCCCCACGTCTTCCATTCGTACCCCAAGGGACTGCCGCGTGTGACCTTCCAAGACCCGGTTCTGGGCGACGGTCTCTACTACACCTCTGGGATTGAGAGCTTCATCTCGACGATGGAAACGAGTGCACTGATGGGCAAGAACGTGGCCAGATTGCTGGTGGACGATGCTGTCCCGTCCTTCAAGGCGGCAGAGGATGCTGGCGGCTCGCAGGCAATGCCTGGTCCGTTGGATGGAGATGGGCGGCAGGCCGTTCTAGGCGGGTAGGACTGAGACAACAAAGGAGACAACAAAGGAGACAGAAAAGAGCAAGGTCCCCGGTCTTTTACAACCAAGTCCAAGTACAGCAGCGAGGAGACATTGGAGAGAGGGAGCGAGAGACGCGGAATGATTGGATAGTCCGACGCCCGAATGAAACCCCAAAGTTCGACAGCACTTTTCGGGATCTCCTGGTCTGTTTCCTCCTCTCCCTTGAAGATAAAAAAGAGAGCTGTACATACGTGTGTGACCCGCATTCTGGCGTGAAGAAATGGCTCCTGGTGATCATAGCAAAAAGCACGACCTTTGTGTTGGCGCTATTGACGTGGCAAATGGCTGGCGACCAGCGTCAAAAGATCACGCGCCAACAAGGATCCCGGGAGGTGACGCAGAGCTCCCCTGTTGGTGGAGACTGTGGCTGTCTTCTTGTCCAATCTCCGTGGATGTGGCGTTGCGCAATCTCCTTCAACGCACCGCCACGACTTCTGCTACCCCTCCATCCCCAAGTATTTCTCCGGCCTTTGTTATGACGCAGCTCCAGCTGGAACCGTCAGGTGCGCGCCCGAGAAGCAAGGCCGTGCAGGCAGTTGCCGCCTCCAAAGCCTTTTTGAAGCTAGGCAGCTGCCCTTCCAGCACCAGCAGAGGCGCCCCAGACGAACAGCCCGCCAAGTACGATGAGCAGCACGCCGATATAAACTCCATCCCGCTCGCTTCCGCACCAACGCCGTCTATCGTCGCTTCCCAATCCGCAGCCAACTTGACTAGCAGACGAGTGCTTCCTGCACCTACTAGCGAAAATGTTTTTGGTGCGAAATGGTAGGCGCAGCGACCCCTCACTCGTTGGACATGCGATCACCCGGGCATTTCGTCTGGTGCGATGTTCCCATTTGCAGTCGCCCTTCTGTCATTCTCACAGGCCAGCCAGCGCCCAATTATTCTCTTCTTCGCTTATTAGCCCATCACTCTCCCCAATCCCTGCGACCCCCACCAGGCACTGACATTCCATCCTCCCCAGCCGCAAAGCTCATCTTCGGCTCCAGCAGCCAGGAGTCGCTCTCCGAGTTGCCCCAGGGCCAACTCTACCTCGTCAGGCCGCTTTCCCCCAAAGGCTACTCGGAGCTCATATTCAAGGACGCCGCTGCTCGCATCCGAAGAACGGGCCAAGATTTCCAATACCAGCTCGTCGTCCAGCGTGCCTACGAGGAAGGTGAGGCTGAGCTTCTGGCTGAGGAGGAAGGCGACGAAGCCGAGGAGGACGCCCTTGCCTCGGAACGCGACGAAAAGACGTTTCTTCTCGACGAGGCCCTTCACTTTCGATTCGAGAACCGAGGCGGTGGCGGCGAGAAGGTTCTCTGTTGGCGCGACCTGAGCGGTGACGCAGGTGACGTCTACGAGTTCGTCTGCGACCGTACCGACACCTCGCCTGCCCAAGTCGACGCTTTCGTGCGCATCGCTCGGCAGTGCCAGTACGAACGCAAATACCGGAAACCCCATACCACGGCGTCCGAGGACGATCTACTCCAGTTCGAGTTCGACGAGCAGCCCATCCCACCTGCCAGTCCTTTGCACGGCCCGACCTTGACCCGCTCAATCGAATCCTCAGACTCGATGTTCTCAAGCAAGAACGTTCTGGCCAACACTCCGGTCAAGAGATCGGCAGGAAAGGCAGCACCCGCATCCCCGGTCGCCTCGTCCCCGGCGACAGCTCCCGCCTCCAGTCCGGTGGCCACTCCATCAAAGAACAAGGGCAAGGCTAAGAGCACCCCCGCCCCAGCGGCACCTACCGAGCAGCCCGAGGCCAGGGAGATCCTAGCTGCCGAACTTGGCGAGCTACACTTTTTCGATTTTGTGTCTGGCTCTTTTCTGCTACAAGATGCCTCTGTCAGGGCCGTGGTCTCGGAGACGGGAGACTGGCAGTACTGGCTGCAGATAGCGAGCGAGGACCGGGACTGGGTGGGCATCGACATATCTGGCGATATAAACCCAGTCTTTAACTTCGAGTTCCTGTCATTCATCTTCAACCAGTTCGTTGGCGAGGGACAGGCATACTCATGGCTCATCCGCTTCAAAGACCAAGCCGCCATGGAGCGTTTCCAAGAAGGTCTCCTTAGAGGCATCTGGGAGAAGCTGAATGAGACAAAGTGGGCCAAGATGAAAGAGAAGGACCAAGACTACATCACGGATGCTTTCGCCGAGCTTGCCATGGACGACATTGAGGAAGACGAAGCGGCCGCACAACTCCAGCAAGAGGAGGAGGAGGCGGAGGAGTATGAGGAGGATGAGGAAGAAGACGACGCTCCTCGCAGCGAGCACTATGACAGCGACGAGGAAGACGATGATGTTGACGTCAAGCCCAAGGACACGGCCGTCAACAAGTCTCTGGCGGTGGGTTACAAGCACGACCGGTCGTTTGTCGTGCGCGGCTCGCAGATTGGCGTGTTCAAGCATACGCCCAGCAACAAACTCGAGTTTTCGACAAACATTTCCAAGGTCGAGACACCGGACGGCAAACTGTTCAGTCCAAAGAAGGTCATGCTCCACAACGAGGATCGCAACATGATTCTGCAAAACGAGGCGGACCCGAACAAGCTCTTCCGCATGGACCTCGAGTACGGCAAGGTTGTGGACGAGTGGAATGTGCATGAAGACATCCCCGTCGTGACCTTTGCCCCGGAGAACAAATTCGCGCAGATGACCCACGAGCCGACGTTCTTGGGAATCTCCCGCAACGCTCTCTACCGCATCGATCCGCGTCTAGCGGGAACCAAGCTTGTGGACAGCCAGCTGAAGCAGTATGTGAGCAAGAATGACTTCTCGTCGGTCGCGACGACGGAGAAGGGCCACATCGCGGTGGCGTCCAACAAAGGCGACATTCGATTGTTCGACCGTCTCGGTATCAACGCCAAGACGCACATCCCCGCCCTAGGCGAGCCCATTATCGGTCTCGACGTGTCGGCAGACGGCCGCTGGGTGCTGGGCACATGCCGCACGTACCTGCTCCTGATCGACGCGATGCAAAAGGGCGGCAAAAACGAGGGCAAGCTCGGCTTCGAAAAGAGCTTCGCAGCGACGGACAAGCCGCAGCCGAGGAGACTGGCACTCCGGCCCGAGCACGTGGCTCAGTTTGCGCACGAGACGGGCAAGGGCGTCTCGATGACGCCGGCCAAGTTCAACACGGGCTCTGGACAAGAGGAGACGCAGATCATCACGGCCACAGGCCCGTACGTGGTCGAGTGGAGTCTTAGGAAGGTGCTGGCGGGCTCCAAGGAGCCGTACAAGATCCGCAGGTACTCTGACGACGTCAAGGCCGACGACTTCAAGTACGGGTCCGACAGGAACATCATCATGGCGCTGCCGCACGAGGTCAACATGGTCAGCAACAAGTCGCTCAAGCGGCCGACGCGCGAGAGCATAGCCGGCGACGCCATTCTCTCACTCGGTGGTGGGCGGCGGTCGTCAGCGCGCATTGGCACGCGAGCGAGTGGGCGGTACAAGCTGGGCAAGGACGACATTGTAGAGGAGTACTGAGGGTGCAAAGGGTGGGACACTCTGGTGCTAGGCCAGGAGTTGGGCTATCATGACAAGGGTTCGAGATTGGGCATGTTCTTTAGTTGTAGCGATTTCGGTCTTTGCTTGAATTTGCAATGATAGTTGTCCGTTGCGTATTGAGGCGCTTTTTTCCCCCCAGAAGCACCGAGAGGAATACAGACCGGGGGTAGGCGGGCGGGCGTGCACGCAACAAAGTTCTGCCCAGCCAGCCGGCAAGGATCCATCCACAGGCGCTGCGATTGGCGTTGTCAAATGGTGCCCGTAGACAAGGGGCAGCACTAGCGCGGTGCGGTCAGCCTAAGTCCCAAAGCGTAGAGATACCTCAGAATTTATCTCTGATGGAAAAAGTAATTGGCCAATCCGTTTAAAAAAAAAAATGCAGAGCTGTGCGGCCGACGCGCAAAGGGGCAGCGAGCGGACTAAAGCCACCCCGCCCAGTCCAACAATTTGCTAAACTCACTCCTTAAAAAAGATCGGGGTTCCCGCGTTCGCGCGCGCGGTACGCCTCGTCCAACTTCCTTAAAACCCCCAGCTCCCACCACCTTCGACTCTTTCGCAATGTGAACACCAGGTCACAAACCAAAGGGAAACATTGTGTAGCTGGTTGCCTAGTATGGACACACAGTTCTCTGAATCACTCCAGGCACCTGGCTCTCATGGGCCTGCTGAAACCCAGCCAGCTGAATGCTTCCCCAGCCAGCTGCCGCCCTCTTCACTCCCATGCGATTTACACCACGGCCCGCAACTCTCTTTCGCCCAAGATGCCACGCAAGATATCGCCCAGAACTACAACACTCACTCGATCCTCACAGGACGCCAGACTCGTCAATTCCAACAGCCGCCTAGTGCTGAGCTTTCGAGCTTCCAGGACCATGTTCCGACCCATCAACTGCACCAAGAGCATCAGCCTTCCGACCCAGACCATTCAAATCTTGCTGGGTTCCCACTCCCGGAGCCGCGGTTGGCCATGTATCCAGGCGAAGCTCAGGCACGGTGCAACCCACACTTGTGAATTTAGCAGCCGCAACAATATCCTATATCAATTGGCTAACTATTCCCGAATTGGTAGCAGTTACACACCACATTTGCCCCGCACATCCCAAGCCCACTATCCGAGAACACAGGTTCTCAAAGCAGGCAAGCGCCTCGAAGGTGCGTAATCGAAACAAGAGAGATGGACACAAAAAGGACAAGAATGAAAGATGCTAAAATTTCATAACTAATAAATACTAGGGAGGCATTGATCGTGCACCTTCTTCAAGATATCCATCGCGGCACGTCCCGCACGAATATTGCCGCCTCCGCGACCGCGGCTCGGCAGGAAGCGATGTGGGCTCGACTGGATGAGCGTTTGGCACAGCTGGAACATGATGTCAGGGTCATCAAATATTTCCTTACCAGTGATGACATGCTCCCCTGAGTGGTACGCAAGGTTGGTACCGATCTATCCAAGAGGGAACGTGTCAGTTCCCCACGATTTCGTCTGCCTGCCTTCCGCGCTGACTAATTTAAGGCAAGCAGAGTGCCGGCCCAAGCCCGCGTGCGGCGCACAAGAAGGCTGCATAGTGCGGGTTTTTCATTCTCTACATATTCCAGCCACAGGACTATCTAAATTGCCTTTTCGAAGTACCTTTAGGCTTGTTTCTCTCGTGCTTTAGAAAGCATAGCGACTGTATTTGTCGAATAAATTAGAGAAGACAATCTCATTCTGCCATAAACGTTCCTTCTGCTAAGCCTCTGGATCCGGTTTATTCTGCGGTACCAACCCCAAAATGCAGGTGGTTTTCTCCTGTTCTACACCTAGTACAAAAACCTATTCTACAATCTATGATCTATAAAACCAGAAATCTCGCCCCCCTTCCCTCCGACTGGCACGTTCTCAAGGAAGCAAAGAGGGTTTAGCGCCTCGACGAGAAGGTGACGCTGAAAACTAATGTGTCACACGGGGATTGACCCCTCTGACTTACAGCAGGCCTGTTGGCCGCCTGTTGGCCTATGAGGAAACCGTACTAACCAGGCGCCTGATGGTTGGGTCGCTTACAAGAGTTACAGTCCCTCGCAGGCCGCAGCTGCTAATTGGAGGCTGGGCTACGTACCTTCGGACTCTGCACAGGCCACCTAGAGACCTATATATAGGGCGCCTCTCGGAGGATCCCTCGAGGAGATTCTGCTTCGTTAAGCATCTCCTTGAGGTCTCGAAAAAATTCATATGTTGAGACTTCTTTCTCTAAGCCGATTTTGTCCCCTTGCCGCACAAGATTACATCATCGTGGGCCCCCTCGAAGGGATCTGTCGAGAGGATTCTGTTTCGTTAAGCATCTTGAGGCCTTGAAAAAAAAGATCTTAATATATTGAGTAAGTCGCCCCTTGGTACACAAGGTCACATCGTTGTAGATCCCTCGCTTGACCCTCCTAATCGGTAGCCCACGGAGCCCACGACCAGTCGTCCACATCCCCCATCCACTCGCCCTCCCACAGGAACGGCTCCTGGTCCCCGCCGCGCCTAGAAATCCTCATCTGAGGCCTCAAGGAGCGGCTGGACATCCTCGCCGACGAGCGTTCCCAGGAAAAATCCACCTCCAAGCCCCATCGGCGGACCCGCTCTGCCCGGGTGGAAGTCCCTTGCCCATCGGCCAGCCCGCGAGCCCGCGGAGCTCCACGCTCGTTGCTGCCGGCCAGCTCGGGGATCTCGGGACCGGCGTCGTCTTTGCGACCCGACGCCGCGCTGACCCGGGAGTCTCCGGTGTGCCCCCCGCGCGAACACTCGCAGGCCTTGGAATCGGCGGCCTCTTCCCCGTCGTCGCCGGGCGCCTCGCAGAGCGTGGGACTGACGGCGGTGTCCATGTCGTCGCCGGGCAGCTCGTAGACCCGGGGCCCCTCGAAGGCTCCCTCGATGTCCAACTCGTAGGCGGGAGCGCCGCGCGCGCCGTCGCCTCCGGGCGGCCTGCGAGCGTCCTCGTCCATCTCCTCACGAGCAGGGCCGTACGGATCCGCATCCCAGTCGTCGTCGTCGACCAGGTCGCGGACCCAGGCGGCGGCCCTGTCGAGCTCGTCCTCGTGGTCGTCTCCCCAGGCGTCTCCCCAGCTAGGGCCCCAGCTTCGGTTGCCTGGCGAGGACTTGGTCAGCTTGTGCGATGGCCCCAAACGATGGCAGATGTTCATGGATGACAACTTACTTGCAGTCGATCTGCGCCATCGCGGGGTGGTGCAGTCCCAGGGGCAGCCGCGCTGGTCGGCCGAGTAGTCGAATCCGCAGAATGGGCATTGGATCGGGTAGGAGCGCATCGAGTTGATGCCGCTGCTTTTGGATTAGCGCGAAGCTGTGCCTGGTGGCGTGTGTCTCGGAGAGACTCGACACGCAACAAGTCCTCGAGGCCGTGGTTTGCTTGTCGTATCAGGATTCCGCGTAGCTGATGTGTTGGTGATAATACTTGTACGGCAATTCTCGATGTCCCCCGTTCGTAGTTTGCTTGATCAACTACGGGAGTGATTGTGTGCAGTGGGTTTGCTCGTGCAAGTTGCCAAGTAGACGAGTGATGGTATAGAGGCGCGTGGCCGAGTGCGTGTATCGGACAAACCACAGCTCGGATAACACGAGAGAAACAGCGTGCCCTTATATCCCATCAACAGCAGACCGGATGCCTCTGCTCGGTGGCCTGGCCGAGCTCACGGTTGGCCCGGGACGACAGCAAAGTCCAAAGATCTCCAGTGCTCAGCCATTTCCGTCCATGGCTGCGGTCGTTGTCCTCCCTCTGGGGGGGCCAGACCTGGCGGCCGGGCGAAAAGAAAAGGCGGAAAGGACGCGTACATGTGCCATGATTTGGGGCGATTTCTGGGGAATGGGGAGGAGGAAATCGCACATCTGGGTAGAGACGGCGCCGACCGAGAGATGTGCTAAAATTCGAGTTACAACACATTTTGAAGCTTCCATGTGATCTCTTTTCATCTTCTCAGGCCCGAATGTGGAGGGATGTTGGATGATGGACACCCCTGCGTTTATGCGAGTGTCGCCAAGCCCGCGGTTCTGGGCGCAAAATCCACACATCCGGTAACCAATAACGGATCGTCTGCAGGTCTCAAGGCAGGCCATTCCAGAAAGCCACGAGACGCCTGGGACATGAACTCGACAACCCGGACCGGATTGGATGCGACAAAGCCAGGAACTTAGCTCGCCCTCGTTGGGGAGGCTGTAGCCGCCGCGCATCGACATGATTTGCTGCGGGTGGTTGCGGCCACCCACGAGGCCCCCCAGACCGAGGCGATGCCCCCTGCCCGAAACGGCCAAATCCAACGCCTCTGGGCCGTCAGGCCAGGTTCTTGGGCCAACAAAACTGGGGGAGGTGTTGAAACTAGGTACCAGAGAGATAGCCCTGACCCCGAGCACGTAAATGTATGTATGCAAGGCTGAAAAACGACCGGTCAGCCCTCCATAAACACCGCCTCGGCCAGGACTAGGCGCTCTTGCATGCAGTGGCCCTCAGGTGACTCGGATCGAGGGAGAAGACTCCACTCGCCTTGTGCGTTGGCCGTCTCCTTGGCTGCCTCGCCTGACATCTCCACTGACTTTCGACTGGCGCTGGCAAGTATGGCGATATCGTCAGAGCGTGGGACCCAAAGGCCCGTGCCCGTGCTTGTAATGTGATTATGCATTGTGAACCCCTTTACCAAGAAACTACCCTATGATATAAAATAAATACAAGCGACATTGCGATGGCAATCGTAAAGGTGTCTCCATGCCAGAGCTCAGAGACAGGAGCGAAAAGAAACTGAGCCGTTCACACCAGCGTCGACAAGACTGACACACAGGGGCCTCGCGCCCTCGCAAGAAAATTAAGAAATAAGAGGAAGGGGAAAACAAGGCATCTTTATCTAGCAAGGCAGAAAGCGAGCCAAGAAGAAAGTCAATTCTTGGTATACCATTCCGTTGCCGCCACTCTTAGGCCGTGACGCCTTACCCCTTTTTTATTTGTAGTTGCCCTTCACGTACTTAGCTGCTGCCTCCAACAGCGCCTGAAATGGCGTCAGAGACAGCGTCGGCCGCCTTCAGTGCGCCGCTCTTGACAGTTTCGGCAGCGCTGCGCAGGGCGAGCTTTGCCTTGGACTCGACCTCGACGTCGGCGATCCGGTTGAGCTCCGTGACGAAGCTCTGGCCCCACCAGGCGCTCGTGTACTTGAAGACGTAGCGCTCGAGCTTTTTGTAGTTGATCTCGCGCTGCTCGGGGCCCATGGTGACGGCATCGTGGATCGCGTTGGCCAGCTCCTCCGTGTTCCAGGGGTTGACAATAAGCGAGCCGCTCAGGCTCTGGGCAGCACCCGTGAACTCGGACAGGATCATGACGCCGTGCCTGTCGCGCTGAGTGGCGATGTACTCGTAGCTGACCAGGTTCATGCCGTCGCGCGTCGAGCTCACCAGGCACACATCTGAGACGGCATACAGGGCCGCCAGCTCGTCGAAGCTGACCGACTGGTGCAGGAAGTGGATGGGCATGAACTCGATGGTGCCGAACTTGCCGTTGATGCGCCCCACCAGCTCGTTGACGACTGCGCGCAGGTTCTGGTATTCCTCCACGTCCTGCCGGCTGGGTACAGCCACCTGGACCAGCACTATCTTGCCGATCCATTCCGGATGCTCCGTGAGGAACACCTCGAGCGCGTGTAGCTTTTGCGGCACGCCCTTGATGTAGTCAAGCCGGTCGACGCCGACAATCAGCTTGACACCCTCGAACTTGCGTGTTAGTGCTGCGATACGCTCCATGACCTTGGGTTTCTTGAGACCCTCGACAAACTTCTCCGGGTCGATGCCGATGGGGAATGCGCCGACTGTAACGAAGCGGCCGGCATACTCGACGCCGTTGGGGGTGGTGGGTGCCGAGCTGTCTCCTCGTTAGCTGTTGACATCTCGCTGGGAAACAGGGGTCATGTATAAAAGGACAAAACAGGGCAACTCACAGGATGCGGGAGCAAGAGCTGAGGAAGTGGCGGGCATAGTCGTAGGTGTGGAAGCCCAGCAAGTCGCAGTGAAGGACGCCCCTGAGCAGAGCCTCCCGGACAGGCAGGATGCGGTAGATCTCGGAGGAGGGAAAGGGGGTGTGGAGGAAGAAGCCTATCTTGACGTCCTTCTTGGAGGAGCCAATCTCCTCGCGGAGCATCTCGGGCAGCAGCATGAGATGGTAGTCGTGAACCCAGATCATGTCGCCATCCTGAACATCCTTAATGACAGTCTGAGCAAACAGCCTGTTCACCTCCTTGTAAGCAGCCCAGGCAGACTCGTCAAAGGTGATCTCGCCGGGGTGGTAGTGGAAGAGAGGCCACAGGATCGAGTCTGCTCGTCGCGGAGAATTTGGTCAGTCACATTCAACCAAGTGGCATGCTGGTTTGCAGGGCTGATCGGTACGCACTCGAAAATCCGTTGTAATGCCTGTCGGCGAGCTCGTCGTCGACAAAGACGGGGTGGGCGCCGTACTCGTCCTTCAGCCTCTTGACCAGCGGACCGGCCTCGGCGTCGGGGACCTCGAGTCCAGGCCAGCCGTACCACTGGAAGCTGGTTGCCTTGGACAGACCGCTCAGGCCCGTGACGAGGCCGCCCGAGGACATGGAGAAGCTGTACTGGCCATCGTCGGAGCGCTTGATGGTGATGGGGAGGCGGTTGGATATCAGCAGGAGCCGGCCTCCGAGGGCCCTTTCATCTCCGTCGACGCTGCCCATTGTAACACTGGCGTTATGGACGAGGGTGGAGAAGGGACTGAGGCGAGCTGGCAAGTCGAAGCAAGGGGGGATCGCCGGCGCCGACGAGGGCTTTGGGGCGTGGGGCGGAGCTGTATATAAGCGGAAACCTATATATCGGGCGCGACAATAGCAAGTAAGAGCTTCGGGCCAGCTTCGAATTAGTACACTCCTCGCAGTACGTATAGACGCAGCTACAGTGTTGAGCCGAGCCAGGGGTGGGCCGACGGCGTGGCGAGAGTTGACAAAAACGGGTGTCGCTTCGGGAAGAATTTGGCGTCGAGGTTAAGGGGCGGCGGCGACAGGTCGGGAGCTGGGGGAGGATGGCGGGGTAATCTGTGCTCCCCAAAAACAGTTTGAGGCCCGACAGGAGGAGCTGACTGGGAAAATCCGTGACTTACAGCCAATGCGATGATCGCGGATGCTTGCCGCCTAAAGAACAAAAATCCAGGCGCGTGAGAACTCGATCAGTACTCGCAGCAGATGCAGAGCAAGTTTACAAGAAGATGGCAGGCGGCAGCAGCAACAAAGGGAAGCTGCGGTCTGATGGAGATATGGGCGGGCGCAAGCGCAAGCAATGGATTTGATGGAATGGCGGGGATGCTCACAGACGGGGAAGGAGCACTCTGGATGTCTACTACGTAATGTTGACTCCCAACTTACAGGGGCAGCCGCGGGAAAGCGCGCTATTCCCGCGTGGAGCCTTTTGAAAATCGGTCCTCCTCGATTCCCCCGAATCCCAAGAGCGAGTGCATTGGCTGGTCGGCACAGAATGCCAGGCCAGACCAGGCCAGGACGTCATCGATGCACGTCTTACAGCAGCCGGTCAAGCACGCGCTCGCCTGCCCGGCTTTTAGCCAAACGGGTCCGTCGCTTGAGCGTCGCGCGATGCCACGATAACTTCCCGGCAGGAAAAAAAAAGCCGGGGAGCTGTTGCTGTCGCACTGCGTGCTCCACCACAAAAGCGCCCAGCGCAGCAGGCGAGGCCCAAGCTCCCTCCCACCCGTTCTCGAAGCTTGGGCTATTTACGCCGACCTGACCGGGCCGCAGTTCCAAGTGATGCGACGGACTCGGGCGTTTGGGAGACTCGGGGCCAATCATCTGGCCACAAGTGAGCCAGGAGGTGGCTTTATCTGCGGGGAGAATATCCCTCAAAAGGCTGACGGGTGCGGACCAGAGGCCGTTTGTTGGCCGATTTGAACTCATGGTTGGTGCGTGGTTTCGAAATGGCGTTTTCAACGCCAAAATGGCTGGCAAAGGTGATCGATCAGCTTGCAATTTGAACTGGGAAAAGATTATTCATGACAAAGGGCCCTGTCAACTGGTGGGAAGGGCAGCCTACTCCAAACATAGGTGGACCAAGGGAGCCCAGCAACCATCAGTCAATGATTGGCCCTTATGGCGTAGTGGTAGCGCGTCGGTCTTGTATCCTCTGATCCATTCAAACCGAAGGTCCCTAGTTCGATCCTGGGTGGGGGCAGCTAACTTGACTTTTTGCATGTTCGGGGAATATGATCTGTCAGCCATTGTCATATTTTGAGGCATCACTCACTCTCTCGCTCACAAACAAGCATTCGTTTTTGCCCGGAACTTTCACCCAGTCATATCGTACAACATCTCACCTGGTCTCTCTTTTCTCCTAGCTTTTCCACACGCTCTCCAGGCCGTTCACGGCGATGCTCACCCTAGCGTCAGGCGAGAGCCCTCCAACCTTGACCTCAAACTCATTCAACACGCTGGCCGGGAGGATCAGCACTGTCGCCGCGTGGATGCCGCCGTCGACAAACACTTCGAAGATGCTCCGGTCCACTACCGCCTGCATCCGCCACGCCGGCGCCCCCGGCCCGTCTTCCCACACGTCGGCGATGGAGAACTTGTCGGTGACGGAGACGTCGTCCTCGAACAGAGCGCGTGCCCCAGACCGGTCGATCCAGAGGCCATGCCGCCGCCAAAGTCTATGCCCCACCGCAGCGCCTCGCCCGTCGACGGCGACGACAGCGAGAAGTTGAGCTGCGCGTCTGGTCCTAGCCTCGCCGCGTCCAGCCCCGTCACGTTGGCGTCGATGTAGTACGCCCCGGACCCCGACTCCCCCGGCCCCAGCGCCGCCGTCCGCCCGTCACCCTGCCCGCCTGGACCTGCCGCCCCGCCGCCGTCGAAGCTGCAGTTGTCTAGCGGCGGCCGTGGCTGCTGGCTGCCGCTACCACCCAGGACCGGCGCCAGCCCACCGTGCACCTCGTTGACCATGGTCCACCAACGCGCGGCGCCTTGGCCAGGTAGTGGACGCGCGGCAGCGTGAAGCCGCCGCGCCACCCCTCCAGCTGGCCCATGGGCACGCGCTCGGCGTACTGCCAGTTGGAGGCCCAGCCCAGGCCGACGGCGTCGGAGCCCTCGGGCAGGCCGTAGAAGTACTTCGCCGCGTAGTTGCCTTGCCGAAGTCGGCGATGCGCGTCGCGCCGTCCCAGGGCGAAAAGTGCGTGCCGTTGAACTCGCCAGGGAAGTACTGCGTCGCCGACCCGCCCCCTTGCGCCGACACCACTAGCACCCAGGCCTGCCGGCGCGGAGCGGTTCCTCCGCCGTTACGCACCTGCATTGTACCAGGTTCGGGCTTTCCCACTGCGCGCCTGGCGGGCCGTGCCGCGAAAAGTTGGACTCGTGCGTCCAGTGCCGCAGGTCCGGGCTCGAGTAGATGCCGACGGCGGGCTCGCGCGCGTACGCGAGCACCATGACCCAGCGGTTCTCGTGCCGGACGACCTTTGGGTCGCGGAGCTGGCCGTCGTCGCCGTCGATGGCGGGGTTGCCGTCGTAGTGCCGGAACGAGTAGCCGCCGTCGAGTGAGTAGGCCAGCGCCTGCGTCTGCGTGCCGGGCGTGCCGTCGTCCTCGGCGTGCTCCGCCAGCGTGAACACGGCCACCACGCCGCTGTCGCGGTCCAGGAAGAAGCCCGGCGTGTTGTTGGGGTCCGTTACGACGCTGCCCGAGAGGACGGACGCGCGAGCCCGCGGCGGCGGCGACAGCGCCTCCGGCTGGTTCTCCCAGTGGTACAGGTCCCGGCTCGTCGCGTGGCCCCAGTGCTGGTTGCCGGCCGACAGCCTTGTCGGGTTGTGCTGGTAGTAGGCGTGCTAGAGCCCGTGCCCGTCCAGGAACATGCCGCTCGGGTCGTTCATGAAGTTCTGCGGCGCCGAGAAGTGCACCTGCGGCCGGAGCGCGCCCGTGTAGTCCCCCGCCTCTGGCACGCCGAGCGACCGAGCGATTGCTGGGGAGTGTCTGGCATGTTGCTGCTGTTGGCGAGCCCACGCTCCTGTGGATGTGAGTGGCGACGCCGCCGCGGCGACGATGATTGCCAGAGTAGCGGATGCTCGGAGGGAATCCGGCAGCATCCTAGCCGTAGTAGCGAGGTCGTCGGCTGCCGCCCCGCGAGCGATGATGGAGAGTGGGTAAAGTAGTGGCAGCCCGACTGCGTAGTTGGCTCCGAATCTTCTGTGTTGGAGGAGAGCGAGCAATGCCAGAGGTTCAAGGCTCACGCAAAGGCATATGACCAGAGACGAGCAATTGGAAAAGCTTGCTTGCGCGTAGCCCCTCTCGTCGCCTTTTCCTTTGTTCAGCCGTCTATCACTTGGGATGAACTGCTTTTGGTGCCCGTCGGCTTCATGGCTTCATGGCTTGGAGGCGCTAGCGTCAAAGCGCCGCAGCGGGGGACCGGGAGGAGCATCTAGGTCGGCAGACGCGGCAATGGCTCTGCTGGAGACTCTGCCATGGAGGTCTCGGGGCCGGACCCGGGAGACTCGAGCTGGCAAGCTATCCTGTGAGCTCCATCTAAATTTAAGCAAACTCTTCGTGTTTCGTTCTTGGTCCGATGGTGCTGATTCGAACGCGCGAATGCATGTCAGGGCGTTGGGAGCGAGCAGCCGTCTCATCCAAGCTTGTCGTGGAGAGGACAATCCTGCCAATGAACGGATACTGAATGAAATCTATTAAAGCCCGCTTCTTTTTCCCTCCCATTGTTTAATTGCCAACCATTCCTGGTCCTTTGAGGTGGCTGAAGGGAAGGCATCGCGGCTGTCTAGTGCGTTCGCCTATTACATCAACTGGTTGCTCTAGAGCATCACATTTCGCATGTATCATGTACACATTCGGGCAGCACCAAACTTGGCCGTTGGGGGCCTATTACCCCACACTAGTTCCGGTTTGCCGCGCGCGAGCGCCTTGTCTGTCCCTCGACGTGGCACCATTGCTGATGTGTTGGCCGTTTAGCGCGACCCGGTCCGACAGCCTCCTGCATGGGTGGACGGGAAGCAGGAAACATAAAAGGAACTGTTTGGTTGGACTGAGGCAGCAGCGATCAGGTATAACAACAACATTCCTGTGCCTCCAGCCTTTCCCCAGCAGCCCCACCGCAACTCTATCCCAGCCATCTACCTAGGTCGGGTACCTACCTAGCACACTAGAGTTTGGTTTGCACGAAATGGGGAATGGGCAGTCGTTGTCCACTGTGGTTTTCCCCTGTCGCTTGCTCCAAGAACGCACCGGACCCTACGAACACCATGGAAGAGCCTGATAAACAGCTGGAAGAGCTTTTGGCGTCGTGGCAGACGTGCAAAAGCCAGGACGAGCAGAAAAATGCTGTGATCCAGGTGAGAATTCCAGCATGGGTAGACGCAGTACTGAACTTTAGATTGACTGCTTACGACAAATTGCCATCTTCAAACAGGCCCTGTTCACTCGTGTGGGTGACCTCAAGGACAATTTAAAGCAAATGGAGCGCAGCCTGAAGGAGGAACGGATGCTCAAAGACCTCTACCGCAAGAATTTGGAGGACGCAACGAGCTCCAACAAGTCTCTGGTTCAAGCAAAGGTTTGCCGCTCCAACTTCTCCGCCTTGCCTCGATCTCTGCTTACAACCTTGGCTTTCTATTTCTCAGGAGCGGTGCTCCTTTGCTTTGGTTCTCGTGGATGGCGACTGCATGCTAGTAAGCCTCCCCAGTATTCCCTCAAACGCCTCCGCCTCTGGGGAACAAGATTGACACTAGCCATCCCATGCGCAGTTCCAGGATGAGTTCATCAAGGGTGGGTTCGACGGTGGCCGCCGGGCCGCGCAGAGCCTCAAGCAAGGTGTCAAGTCGCAGCTGGACGCACTGGCCGATGAAGGCAAGGATCCACGCCTCCAGGTCGTCGTGCGTGTGTATGCCAACCTCAAAGGCCTCGCCAAGGTCTACAAGGACACGTGCACTATCTTCCCAGATGTCCCCTCGGCTTCCGTCGACGAGTTCGTCCGTGGGTTCAACATGCTGGATCCGCTGTGCGACTTTATCGACGCCGGCAACGGCAAAGAATGCGCCGACGAAAAGATCAAAGCTTTGTTCCGCCTCGGCCTCGACGACGTTCACTGCCGCCAGATATTGTTCGGTGCGTCCGCCGACAACGGCTACGCGCGTCTCTTGGGGCAGCACGTCGGCGACGATGCGGTTTGTGGGCGCATCACGCTACTTCAGGGCCCGCCGTTCGCGCACGAGTTGGCGTTGATCAAGAACCGTTTCCGCGTGGCAACCATGGATGGCGTGTTTCGGAGGGAGAAGCTGTCCCTGCACCTCACGCCGCCGGCCACGCCCTCGTCCGACTACGTGTGTAACGCTGCTCCCGCCTCAGCCAAACCAGCCTCCTCCGACGTGGCGGCGCGGGAGAAATCACCGCCGCAAGCCACCGCCGCTGCCCCGCCGTCCGGGGACACGAACCAAACTCCGACCTCCTCCAACGGGGATGGCAGCGCCGCCCCGCTCGGCAAAGTGCGGAAGAACCGGCACGGGCAGCGTGTGGACCTGCCGATCGAGTGCTCGGCCAAGGACCTGAACCGGATGAAGAACCGTCAGCTCTGCCACAGCTTCCACCTGCTGGGGGAGTGTTCCTGGATGGAAAAGTTCGGAGACTGCAAAAACAAGCACGGGGAGCGGGTCTACGGGCCCTGGGTACACACGTTGCAGGCTGTGGCCCGGCTCTCGTGCTGCAATCGGGGCTTGAACTGCGCCGACCCCAAGTGTCTGGCCGGCCACAGCTGCCCCACGCCTGAGTGTCCCGGGCCCGCGAAAGGTTGCCGCTTCTCGCGGGCGATGCACAATGTGGATGCCACGCCGCTGTAAAGCGGTTGTGGTGGGAAACTCTGGATTGGTTGGTTGGTTTGGCGTCGTGCCCTTCGCACTCCGGTGTGATGGCGGCGTAAAGGTTGGACATAACATCTGCTGGTAGCGCCGCGACTTGTAATCCTCGGTGCCGCCTTGGCCACCTGGAATGGACTGCGGTTGTGGCCTCGGTTTAAGGCGGGTGGTTAATAGCCAGTATGAACGGGTAAATAGGTATACAATTGCCCATTTCCTTCCGGCGATGTCGGGTCTGGCATCGCGAGGACTACGTGATGCATGGGATCAATACTTAGACAACCGACGGGCCCATCGTATCCTCCCAGTATACTACTGCCGACAAGAGACATGCCAAAGACAGCGGCCGGGATTCGCGTACACATGATTGAAGCAGCCGTTTTATTTTCCCAATCTTGCACTTTGCCATCCTTGTGCTGGTATACGTATCCGGTGGTATATAAAAAAGCTATAAAACAATAACCTGACCTGTAGACGCCACGCACCCCAAGGCATTCCCAGCGGCCGAGCTTGCTCCTCCTCCACCACCGTATTTTCCACAGTAGCACCTGCCTACCTCAATTGTCAACAGAGGCGAAGTTAGCGAGAAGCACCAGCTGCCTTGCCGCTGCCCTTGCCCTTCTTCCCAGGGTCAGGATTGGGGTCAGTCTTTGCCTTTGGTTGGCTGACCGCGGTAGACTTCCCAGGGCCGTGACTCTTCCCGACCGGCGTCGCCTTCGGAGGGCTGGCAACGATGGGCTTCGAGTGGTCCTGGCCCTTCCCACGGTGGGCCTTTGGCTGGCTGTGAGTGGCGGGCTTTCCTTTACCAACGGCGCCAGGCCTGCTCGGGGTGCAAGGCGGTCACAGGGACTCAGCCCGCATGCCCCGCCCACCTCCACCCAGAGATGACTGGGTACTACCGGGGGAAAGCTCCAGTGAAGGCACCGCTCAAGTACAGATCGACCCCCCATTATATTGTTTGTTGGTTCTAGGTTGGCTGGTGTGTGCCCTTGGCTGTGCTCCAATGTTCCATGTTGTGCTAAGCCTCAACTCTCGGCCCAAAAATAAAATTCTCACCCGTCATCGTCTCATCTTGGGCTGATCCGAAGGACGGCCAACTGCCAGCAGGAGAGCAAGATCAGGGCAAGTTCAGGTGCTCCATCCGCTGCCCCGACACGAGGGGATCAATCTGTCGACACGGCTCAACCTCACAGCCGCAACAAGACAGAAATGTCGGAATCCCACAGCAGCTGTGACGCCCCGGCCTTCCTGCCGACCGATTTGCGTTGCCGCGTATTGCACTACTTCCTCGCGACAGTCGTGGAGCCACGCGTATTGGATTTCCAGTTCCGGCTCCAGCTGGCAGACCTTGAGGACTGCCGCTGGAAAGTCCTCCCCGGCCGCTACTTGGCCGCCCGTGTGCGCTCTGCCAACGCGACTCTGGCGACCAACCACGAGTGTCGCCAGCTTGCGCTCAAGGCATTTCCCGACACGCTTACCATCAAGGGCGAGACGGTGAATGGGCTGGTTCGCTTCGACAGGACCAGGGATGTTGTAGCCGCGCGAATCTTGGCAATTAGCTCACACCTATGGACAAGCTGTACTCCCGAAGATATGCGACGGTTCGGGCCGTTTCTGGTTAGGAATGCCGAATACATAATCCCCGGATTTTCGGACCACGTCGAGCGTCTCGCCGTCGATCATATCGATTTAGACCGCGCAGGCTATATATGGAGCATGGATGGCGATAACGACCGCAAGGGTTTGATTTGGAACTTTATCGGAACGTTCCGCAACATGAAAACTGTCTACTGCTTATTGGATTATTAAACCAAAGCCCTTAAAGATATCCATTGGTGCGGCTACGCTGACGCCGTTAAAGCCTTCGAAACAGTTGGGTCGGCACGGGTCGCCTACGGTCGAACCCGCCAACTCTCCATCGCCACCGTCTGGCCGGACCCGGACGGCCATCCTGACTTTGCCAGAGCCCGGGTGAAACCGCCAATGACGCCGCTCACCCGAATGTTGGAAATATACGACGAACATAAAGGGGTGGAAGAGGACTTGTGGGATATGTTTGCCGGGGTCGAGCTTTATCCGATGATCCAATTCGATGGCAAATCGAGCCAGCGAGTGTTGGAGAGGCTCCGGAATGCCCCCTGCTGCGAGGATCTGCCCGATGAAGAGGCCCCTGGTTTGAGTGAGCCGTCGTGCGTCGCCACCGTCGACTGTGACGATCCCGAGGGATGTCTAGGTCACTCTGCGGAGAGCGACCTGGGAGACACAGGAGAATAGAGCGCCGGAATCCCAACGAGATTGGAGGGCTTTGGATCCAGACACAAGGGACCTCGGTTACGGGTGCAATAGTGAAGACTTCACCTGGGGCGATTACATGGGCACAACTCGTTTTACAAGCCGTGATCCCTTCGATTTGCGAGTTGTACGCCCCCTGCGCGATAACCCTCCGACCGATCCAAAAAGTATATACCGAAGCCACTGCTAAACTGTTCAAAGACTTCAAGCCCACGGAAGCGGTTGAGCGGTGGTTGGAAGCCGTATGCCAAGACGTGGGTATTGGCGCGGGGGAGCAAGAAATCGTCGCCGATTTGGCGGAATGTCGTTTGGACGTGGAGGTTGCAAAGGTCTAGTTGGCATGGAGGCAGGGGTTTGGACAAAGGATGTCAGCACCGGGGGTACCTGTTTGGTTCTGTGAGCCGACGACATCGCTTCACACCTTCTTCATGTGGCAGGAGCTGGAGCGTCAGCTGGGCACCGGCAGCTGCATAGCAAGGTCACTTTCTGGCGTTCGCGATATTGCCTGCGTCTTGCCCCGCACCTCTGGGCGGCCTGCGACTGGCTACCAATGTCGTGAGGCGGGAAGCCGAGCGGCACGCGATTGCTGGCACGGAAGAGCGGCAGTGAGTCGATGTTGTCGAGGCTGTCGATGCCGATAACCTGGCAATCTGGTGTTAGGCTAGTGATGCCGGCGAGGGTTGGGTTATTTGCATAAGTTGAGGTCGACTGCCTTGCGAACCGAAAATTCCGCAACGGTGGTGACCTTGGGCGAATAGCACCGCGCGAAACAAAAAGGTATTCGGTCCACCAAAACGCGCAATCATGAGGCTGCCGACACTCCCTTTTCTGGCACTCTCATGGGGGGGACTCGCGGCAGACGCATCCCCTCCCTCCCGGGCCCAGCTCACAGCCCGGACGACAACGGGGACGTACATCGGCATGCAGAACCCGGAATACGGCAGCGTGCGCGAGTTCCGCAACATCCCCTACGCGCTCCCGCCGACGGGCAGGCGGCGGTGGCGGCCACCGGTGGCGGTGCCGCCCTCGCGGGGCGGCAGCCACCGCTTCTCGCGGCGGTTCCCGCCACCGTGCGCGCAGTTCCTGTCGGGGCAGGAGTCGCTGTGGAACGCCAACATGACCGACTTCCAGCTCCGGGTGGGCGAGGGCCAGGCCTATACGGCCGGGGCCAGCGCCCAGACGTCGTCCGAGGACTGCCTGTCGCTGGCCGTGTGGACGCCGGCCGACGTGCGGGCCGACGCGGCGCTGCCCGTGATCCTCTTCATCCCCGGCGGCAGCTACACCGTGGGCGGCATCGACATCCCCTACCAGAACCCGGCGCCGTGGGTGGCGCGGTCGGGGGCGCACATAGCCGTCGTGGCCCAGTACCGCCTCGGCGTCTACGGCTACCCCAACGCGGCGGGGCTGGCAGGCGACGCGGACGGCGCCAACAACGCGGGCGTGCTCGACGTCCACGCAGCGCTGGGGTGGGTGTACGCCAACGTCGCGGCCTTTGGCGGGGATCGGGACAGGATCACGCTCTGGGGCCACAGCGCGGGCGGCGTGTTGGCCGACATGGCCGGGTTCGCGTTCCCCGACGACTTTGTCGCCGCGGGACTGTTCCTCATGTCGGGCACCGGCATGTACATCCCGGGCACCAGCGACCCAGATCACACAAACTTCACCTTTGTGGCGCGCCGCGTGGGCTGCGACTTTGCCGGCGAGGACGACGACGGCGGCGCGGCCGAGCTCGAGTGCATGCGCCAGGTGCCGGAAACGCTGCTGACCAACGTGGTCGGGCGGTACGGCGACCAGCGCACCGAGCCGGGGCTCAACTTCAAGCCACGGGCAGACGAGGTGGTGGTGTTTTCCAACCCCATGGCGCGGGCGGCGGCGGGGAGGCTGCCGCGGGTGCCGGCGCTCGTGTCGACGACGGCCAACGAGCAGGCGTCGCGGATACGCTACCCCAAGGAAAACGTGGCCAAGGGGCCCGACCAGGCCGAGGTGGACAAGGGCACGGTGGGCTTCAACTGCGTGGTCAGCAACACGACCGACGCGCGCGCGCGCGCCGGCCTGCCCACCTACCGGTACCAGTTCGCGGGCAACTACACGGGCAGCCTGGGCCCGCTGCCGTGGATGGGCGCCTACCACGGCATCGACCTGCCGCTGCTGTTTGGCACGTACGCGCGCCGGCTCGGCGGCCTGGGCCCGGACGACGCGGCCGAGCTGACGCGGGTGAGCGAGGCCATGCAGGACTATGTTTTGGCCTTCATCTCGGACCCGGTTGACGGGCTGCGCAAACGTGGGTGGCTGCCGCAGACGACGCCGGCGATGGAGGGTGGGCCCATGATGCGGTTCGCGTGGAGGGGGAGGACGGCGGTGAATATCAGCTCGAGCGAGGTGGACGATTCGTGTCTGCGTGGAGTGCCTTGGAATGCCAATCCGTAAGGCAGATTCGGGGTTCGAGGTCATGGGTGTATGTATGTGTTGGCACCTTTTTACACGTCGCTCGACGGCTGATTTGCAGCCCCCTCAACTCGGGCAACTGGAGGTGGGGAAGGCCTCACCCCTCAGCTCAGCCCTCTTCTAGCCTGCGCTCCCGCTTCACCCTGTCCTCACCCTATCCTGTTCTCGCTCTTGCCCTCACTTTACTGCAAGCCAAACAGCCACACGGGATGGAATACCGGTATACCACACTCGAGCCTCGCTCAATCCGCCTCCTGAGGCTCGTTCCCGGGATCGATGCCGACGTCCTGACCGGCGTGCTGGTCACAGCCTCCCTCGACAATGTGCCCGACTTCACTGCGCTGTCATACGCATGGGGCTGCCCGGAGCCCCGGCAGAGAATCTACCTTGATGGCTTCAAGGCCGAAATTGGGCCAGAATTACACAGCGCCTTGAAGCATCTCCGGTCTGCCGATCAAAAAACCCTCATCTGGGCTGATGCGCTTTGCATCAACCAGGCGGACGTGCCAGAGCGCACCCAACAGGTCAAGATTATGGCTCATGTCTATGCCGCGGCGAGGGAAACGGCAATCTGGCTTGGTGACGAGTCGCCTGAGGTTTTGAGGGCCTTTGGCCATCTGCGCATCGCCGGAGACGATTTTTTAAAGTTAGAGAGTTCTAGTTCTGGTTTGCCAACACCACGAGAGGGATCGGGAATGTTCACCTCCGATCATCAGGCCTTTCTAGACATCTGCGCTTTGCTCAAGCGCCCCTGGTTTTCACGAAAGTGGATCATCCAGGAGCTAGCCAAATCGCAGAAGCCGGTGTTGATGGCGGGCAGGAAGTGCCTTCCATGGTGTTTTTTGGCTGCCTGGCTGCTCATCCTCGAACTTCAGACGGCTTGCCCTACCCTAAACACGCCGAAACTTTGTCAAGCCGAGTTCTACGTGTCGGCATCGAAGCATCAGAGAGCTGCAGTGTTGATGAAGATTGCTTCTCACAAAAACGGCCATGAGCCGTTGCTACATCTTTTGGCGATGACGCTGGAGTTCGGATGCAAAGACATTCGCGACCAAGTTTTTGCACTGGTGGGGATGGCGTCCGATGCAGAAAAGTTTGACATCATCGACTACAGCGAGCGGATCGAGACGGTCTGCCAACGGCTTGCGTACGCTTCCGTGTCGGATAGCGCGAGCCTCAAGCGGCTGTGGTTTCTCCTCTACCTCACGCCCCTGGACCGCCGTGTGCATTCCTGGGTGCCCAACCTCGAGAGCCTGTTGGTGGGCCGAGAGGGCGTCACCTTGTCCATGCAGTTTACACTGTTCGAGCGTGGACAGCACAGCGCATCCGGGCACTCGGCCCTGGACACGAGGCTGGACAAAGACAGGAATACCCTGGCGATCCGGGGTCGCATCGTCGACAAGCTGCAGCGGCTTGGATCGAGCAGTCGAGGCCTCGAGAGCGCCCGTCAAATCGAGAAAATGATGTTGCCAGGGCATGACGACGACCTGCAAGACGCAGCTAGACAGACTTTCCAGTGGATGGAGGAATGCATAGACATTGCCCAGTCCCCAGGAAGGGGGAGGACCAAGGCCGAGGAAGCTTTCCGAGAGGCACTGCTCCACGACCCCCCAATCCAGGAGAAGGCACTCTCGATGGCAGGAGTGCTGGACCAGGAATTCCCTGAGCAGCTGCGTCTACGGAAAATTGCAGCATATGATAACATGGACCGCGCGCTGGCTGCCTGTATCGCGCTGTCGGGCCTGCAATCCACGCGCCTCATAAGGTATCTCATGAGCGACAGGGTGAACAGACGGTTCGGCCGCACGGAGAAAGACAAGATAGGATGGCTGCCGCCGGTGGCCGAGGAGGGCGATTTGATCTGTATCTTACACGGCATGACGCTGCCCTACGCCATCCGTCCGGCTGGCGATGGCTACCAACTTGTTGGCGAATGCATCGTTATGGGGCTCATGAGGGGCGAAGGCATGGATTTGCCGAATGCGGAGTCGGAAATGATCGTCCTTAGGTAGAGTATTTGACGGTGCATGTTGTCTGCAGCTCGCAGTAGCTTTCTGTTGGCCCAATATGTGGTTGGCCAAGCACCCGGCCACGTATGTCTAGGCCGAGGAGACGAAAGGGCAAAAGTTGTCTCAACCACGCTGGTTCTTATCCCAAGTTTCATTGAGTTTAGCTACTCTGATATAATCCAATCCCGTACCTGACTTTATTCCTTTCCTACCATGCTGTCGCGCTGTCTGCCATCAGACCTCTCAAGTAAGGCTTACCCTCAAGAGTGCCGTTGAGCCCTGCCCTGGACCGACCCAGCCAGCACCCACAGCAGGCGGCCCCCGCTTTGCTTAGCGCTGCAAGGCGCTAGGATCGCCAATCATGGGGGGCATGGTGGCATTGACAGTGGGTCGACTGAAACCCGGGCCGCATGTGGCAACCCGCCAGTGCCCGCAAGTGCCCGCTCAACCCGTCTTAAAATCCCCGCCCAGCGTGCTCGGATAGACCTTCCATTGAACGCCAGTTCCCAACTGTCAAGCCATCCAGCCTGTCCAAGCCATGGCAGACACCAAAACCAGCGGCGGGTACCGCTTTGTTGGCGACTACGTTGCCGGTGCGAGACTCGCCGAGGACAAGAGAAAAACGAGGAGGGTGACACAACTGGCCGCCTTTGCCCTGGGCGCAGCTACCATTTCGTGGTTTCTCTTGTCGCCTTCAGCGCTCGGCTATCCCGTCTCTCCGTCCGGTGACGTCCCCAGAAAGCACCCCCCTTCGAATGACTTTGCGGCAGCCATTGCAAGTTGCCCAGGCTACGCGGCGTCCAATGTCGTCCAAACGGACTCCTCCCTCACCGCGGACCTGAGCCTTGCTGGCCCTGGCTGCAACGCCTTTGGGCAAGACATCCCAGAGCTGAAGCTGCTGGTGCAGTACCAGACCGACCGGCGTCTGCACGTAAAGATTTACGATACCGCCCTAGATGCCTACCAGATACAGGAGGCGGTGCTGCCGAGCCCCAAGAACACTAAGAGCCCTGCAGAGGACTCCCATCTCCGCTTCCATCTGGTCGAACGGCCCTTCTCCTTCGCCGTGACTAGGGCCGAGTCGGGCGAGGTTCTGTTCAACACGTCCAGGGAGCCCCTGGTGTTTGAGACCCAGCTGGTCCGTCTCCGCACCGCCTTGCCCGAGGACCCGAACCTGTACGGCCTGGGCGAGTACGCGGGGTCGCTCCGCATGCCGACCGAGAACTACAGCCGCACGCTGTGGAATGCCGACTTTGCCTTCACCCCGCCCGAGTACAACCTCTACGGCTCCCACCCAGTGTACTATGACCACAGGCCCGGGTCAGGCACGCACGCCGTCTTCCTCCGTAATGCCAACGGGATGGATGTCAAGATCCACCGCACCCCCGAGGACGGCCAGTATCTCGAATACGCCCTCCTCGGCGGGGTGCTGGACTTTTACTTCCTGGCGGGCCCGTCCCCGGCCGAGGCGAGCAGGCAGTACGCCGAGGTGGTCGGTCTGCCGGCCATGCAGCCCTACTGGGCCCTCGGCATCCACCAGTGCAAGTACGGCTACTGGGACGTCTTCATGCTGGCCGAGGTCGTCGCCAACTCGTCGGCCGCCAACATCCCGCTCGACGTGCTGTGGTCCGACATCGACTCGATGCATCTCCGCCGCGACTTCACGCTGGACCCCGAGCGGTTCCCCCTGCACATGATGCGCCTCCTGGTGGACACGCTGCACTCGCGCGGCCAGCGCTTCGTCACCATGCTAGACGCCGGCATCGCCCGCGCCGACGACTACACCCCGTACCACCGCGGCCGTGCCAAGGACGCCTTCCTTAAGGCCGCCGACGGCAGTGACCACCTTGGCGTCCAGTGGCCCGGCGTGGTGGTCTGGCCCGACTTCTTTGCCCCGGGCGCCCAGGACTGGTGGACCGACGAGATCAAACGTTGGTTCGACCCGGGAACGGGCATGGACGTTGATGGCCTGTGGAACGACATGAACGAGGCCTCCAACTTTTGCCACGACGTCCACTGCATACCTGAAAAGGTGGCCAAGGACGAAAACAATCCGCCGGCGCCCATCCACGCCCCGCGTCCCAACACTGGCCGCCCCATCGCCGGGTTCCCACCTGAATTCCAGCCGGGTCATAAAGTTGCCGCCACTCACAAGGCCATGATGATCGACGAAGCCTCTTGGGATAGAGAGTTACTTCCTCGCTCGACCACTCCTCCACCCGAGGCTCCCAGGGGCCAGATGAAAGGCATCCCCGGCCGCGACCTCCTGACGCCGCCCTACCGCATCGAGAACCGCAAGGGCGAGCTGAGCGACAGGACAATCTACACCAACATTACCAACGCCGACGGCACCACGCAGCACGACACGCACAACCTCTACGGCACCATGGTCGCCGTCGCCACGCGCAACGCCCTGCTGGCGCGCCGCCCGGGCGTCCGCCCCTTCGTCCTGACGCGCAGCACCTTCTCGGGCTCCGGGCGCGCTGCCGCGCACTGGTTCGGCGACAACCGCTCCACGTGGAGCGACTACCGCCTCGCCATCGCCCAGATGCTCAACGCCGCCGCCCTGCAGCAGATGCCCCTCGTCGGCTCCGACGTGTGCGGCTTCGGCGGCACCGCCCAGGAGCACATGTGCGCGCGTTGGGCCACCGCCGCCGCCTTCCAGCCCTTCTTCCGCAACCACGCCGACCTGAACGACCCGCACCAGGAGTTCTACCTCTGGCCGCGCGTGGCCGCCGCCGCCCGCGCCGCCATCCGCGCGCGCTACCGCCTGCTCGACTTCCTGTACACGGCGCTCCGCCGCCAGGCCGAGGTGGACGGCGACCCGCTCGTGCGCCCGCTGTGGTTCGTCTACCCGGCCGACGCGCGCTGCACCGCCGTCGAGACCCAGTGGTTCCTGTCCGACGCCCTGCTCGTCTCGCCCGTCGTCGACGACGACGCCACCGACGTGACCTTTTACCTGCCCGACGACCTCTTCTACGACTTTTGGACCCGCCAGCCCGTCCGCGGCGAGGGGCGAACAGTGACGCGCGCGGGGGTGGGCTGGGACGAGATACCCGTCCACGTGCGCGGCGGCTCCGTCGTGCCGCTGCGCGCCCGCGGCGACGCGAACTCGACCGCCACCCTCCGCGCCGACGAGGGCTTCGTGCTGCTCGTCGCGCCCGGGCTGCACGGCGGCACGGCCAGGGGGTCGCTGTACCTCGACGACGGCGAGAGCCTGCACCCGGGCGACGCCGTCACGGACCTGGAGTTTACGTGGGACGGCAAGGCCTTCTCGGCCGCCGCGCGCGCCTGGGGCTTCGAGACGGGGCTGGCGGTCGAGGAGGTCGTCGTGCTCGGGCAGGAGCGGGACCCGGGCATCCCGGGGTCCGAGTTCGACGAGAAGACGGGCGCCGTCACCGTCAGGGGGCCCTGGCCGCTGACGGAGGATTTTGGGTTTACCTTTTCGTGATTGCAGGGCATGCTGGACTATCTATACAACCTGCACCCATGAGATGAACATCGACTGTACCGAAACAACGTGAAATCATTACAAATAGATACTGTTCTTCAGACGATTACACCCGACTGGCGCCAAAGTCAATGGTTTGCATACACATGCCCGCGTATCCAGGAAGACTATCAAAGCCCCGATCCAAGCCATTCATCCATCATACATATCCCGGGAATTTGTCCCATGACATGCCAAAATATTCCAACTCCAGCAAAAAAAACAAGAAGCCATCCCATTTGCACAAGTTCCGCCTTGCATCAAGCGCTTTGGGAACACAAAACCACGCTATGATTTCCACGGCATAGAAGGCGGCCCCGAGACACAATTAGCCGCCGATAAAGAAACTACCATCATCCAAAAATCGTCTTCAGATCCTGGTCCTCCATGATGTCAATCCAGTGCGCGTGGCTAGACCCGGGTGGCTCGGCGTCGTAGGCGGCCCAGACGGCTGTGACGAGATCCCTGGCCACGCGCACCGGCGCCGGGGGCAGGCTGTGCTCGAGCCCGCTGAGTCGCTCCAGCACGAACTGGCGCGCGTGGCTGACCTCGATCGACATCTTGGTCAGCGGTACCTGAAGGAGCGTCTTGATGTCGGGGACGTTGCCAATGTCGTCGTTGTCGTCCGTGGGAGCGTCCAGGGAGGAGAGCGCCTGATCCAACTCAATGTCGGCAGTCTCTGTCTCGGCCATCGGCGTCATGGAAACCCCCATACCATTCTGGGGTAGAGTCGGGTCCCTGGCCGACTCATGTAATGTTACGGCCGGTATCGCTTGTTCCGACTGGATTTGTTGTTGTAGCTGCTGCATAGATTGTCTTTGCTGCTGTAGTCCCGCCGTCATCGTTTCCATGTCGAATTTTAGCCCCGTACTGGCAGTGATATACAGCAACGGCTGGATGCATCGAGTGCCAGAGTCTGGTGGCACCCTCTTGAGCGTGCCGATAAGCCTGAGACTCAACGGCACCACCCAGCGATCCCACGGTACGACGTGCCCGTCCCCGCTCACGTCCTCAGGCAGGCGGCGAACAACAAGATCCGGAAAGGTCTGGTACAGTTGCAGCAGCGAGGCCAGGCGGTAGCCCTCGGCGACGTCGACCATGTGCTCGCGTGGGGTAAGCCGGTCGCCCGTGTCTGCGACGTGCTCGGCACTGATCTGCTCGAGTTCCAGCAGCTCTTCCTCGAGGCCCTGTGCCTCACCGATGTATCGGAGCGCCGTGCGCAGCGCGGCGCCCGTCGAGATGGAGCGACCTCGCAGGTGGCCGCGGAAGCGCCGGCAGAGCCGAATGGATCGTGCAAACAGGCGCTGTGCGGCCGCGCAGGTCCCTGTCCAGGGGTGGGGGATAATCAGACCGGAGCGGTCAGGGGAATAGCTAGCTCGGAGGAGCAAGAGGTTGCCCTCGCTGCCAGGATCGCCCGATGTGTCATGATCGTCATCAGAGACGACCGCGACCAGCATGTCCCAGTAAATTATGCTGTTGTTGAAGAACTCGAGGGATTCGCGGTCTTCGGGCGGCAAGAAGCCGGCGCTGGCGCCACGGTTGAGGCGGTGCATGAGATTGCGAGCCTCACGAAGGAAACGCGCGGCAAGCTGCTTGGGGTCGATCCAGCAGGCGGCAGTGCCAACGCAGCAGAGCGCAAGAAGCAGGTCGGCAGGGAAGACGCCACGGTCGATGGCGGGGCCGGCGAGCCGCAGCTCGGTCTTGATGGAAGATATGGCACCCTTGAGCGAGGCGATGGCGACACGCCGCATCTGGGGCATCTGCGACGAGAGACAGGTGGCGGCCATGCTCTGCATGCACCTCATGACGGATTCAGACCGGGCCCAGGCGTTGGCAGCGATCTTGCGGTTGAGGTTGAGATCCGAGTCGAAGCACGACCAGATGGTGCAGACATGTTTGAACCACTCCTCGACAAGCATCGAGTTGCGGTCCATGATAGAGCGTGGAACCCAAGGCGCAAAGGCTTCAGGGGTTTCGGCGAGCAGGGGTTGCAGTGTGCCGCATTGCAGGTGGAAGGTCGGTCGCATCACCGGCTGTGATGGCAACAGCTGCAAATTATTACCATATATGCCGACGGTCCCTAGGGTGGCGACGCCATCTTCGGGAGGGATCGTATCCCAAGCATGGCACTGGAACCCTTGTAGCGGCAGCCCTATGTTCTCGCCTGGATACGCCTCAGGGCCGGACGTAGACAAGTCTAAGGTGGCAGCAGCAGAACTTGTGGGTGACAAGAGGTCGAGGTCTGCACATGAGGAAAGGGGCGTCTGGAGTTGCGGGAAAATAGCAGGCGGAGGCACGGCAGCGGCAGCGGGAGAAACGGTCTGGATGGGAAGGGACCGTGGCGGCTGCTGGACGGCATGTTTCTGAACTGCTGGCTGGTGGCCAGGAGGTGCTGGCTCTATGGTCAAGACTTTGGACACGGCTGTCAGAAGAGTGCCAAAACTAGATGGCTCGCGTGACGCGCCCGAGTCGAGGGCCTTTTCGTGCTTTGTGGACCAGCGAAACTCCTGGTTGTAGCCGGAGCATTTCCGCCCAGCCCTGGTGCACATGAGGCAGGCGGGCCTGGTCTCGTCACATTTAAGCTGTTGGGAAGTTTACGCGGCAGTGTCGACATCATCATCAGCAGGAGCAACAGGAACCGGGAGTGGAGGTGAAACAGTGGGCGAGCGGAGGCACTCGAGGCATTAGAGAACAGCGCACAGCATTTGCCGTAGGACAGAACAGGGACAACAGAGACAGAATAAACAGTCGCCAAGCAAACATACCCGCTTGAGTTTACACTGCTGACAGCCGTTCCTCGACCTCGTCTTCTTCTGCTTGGGCGGCACACCGCCCTGGGCGCGGTGGGAGGGGCCGGCGGCACTGCTGCTTGAAGATAGCGACGGCATTGCGGGACGGGCCATCTGATGCTGAAGCCTCGCGGGTGCAGCACAGCACGGGCAGACACCTGCGCTAAACTCGCGTGGCTGCTGGGGCGGGCCGATGGTGCGGCGGCACAGCGGCGGCTCAGGGCTGGACGTCAGTGGTGGATGCCTCAGCGGAGCCTGCGAGCGGGCACAGCCAGCCGGAGCAGCCGCTGGATTGACGTGCTGGCGGGTCGGGCTACATTGCCCAGCGTGGGCTCGCTCGGCCGGTGAGGGTGCTGAGGGAAGGGAAGAATTGCCCTCCTGGGACGGCAACTCGCTCGTACGTAATAAAATTGCGTTGGAATGTCCCAAACCGTAGCGGGCAAACGGCCTGGCGCCAGAGCAGAGGACTCGAGGGAATTCGGAGAAGCAAGTCTCGGCAGAAAGTGGAAGTGGACTTTGTGACTTTGTGGCCCTGCCGCCCGATAGGCCTGCCCCAGAGCGCTCGGACCACTGCGGGGAACCAGCGATCCCAGAGAAGCAATCCTTGCCTGGTGGGGACTGGAGTTTCGACCCACTGGCGGCAGCCATGCGCTGGACGTTACACACCACTGTGCGCGCCTCTACAAATCAGGAAAACCCAGCCACGCCTGCCGCTGCAAGAGCCCGATCAACCGTCTCCACTACCACCTCCCTTACCTACCCCCCTTATCTGGATATCCCACACTGCCATGTTTTCGATGGACAAGGAACGCCGGCATATAGGCCTATCACCACCGACAGCTGCTAGCAGGGCAGACTTATGACGAAACCATGCTGCTGGGCCGCTGTCATCCAGCCCAGCCAGCCCTTGATTCTCACCACCATCTGCTCCCTCCTTGAAACGCGAAGCCCTCCTCGCCACATCAAACCCCATCACATAACTTTCTACTCATGATCCTCGAGGCCGCAGTGCTCCTTTCCCAGGAGCCCAAGGCACTACTTGGGGCCATCCTCCTCCTGGCAACCGCCGTCGTCACCTGGTTATGGCGGCGGTCAAAGCCCAACTACCACCCTCCGAGCGGGCCGGCGGAAAAGCCGGCCAGTGGTAGACCCAGCCCGGGACAATGGGCCTCAAGCAACTACCGATTCCCCACGCCGCCCCCGTACCCGTCGTGGGACGTGCAGACGACCAAGCCGCTTCCCTACAGGGCATTCCGCCACGGTCCCAAGTACAACGTCACCATGGGCCTGCGGTCCATCAAGCCCGAGGACTGGATCGAGCTGGACAGCGACTACCCAAAGTACCACACCGAGAAGGCGCGCCGCATCGCCGAGCGCGGCGGCAAGTGCTGCGCCACGCACCCGGAGGCCTACCCGGCCGCGCTGGAGCTGCTCGACGAGCTGGCCGCCTACCTACCCGCGCGCTACCCGACCCTGTTCCGCCGCACGGCCGTCGGAGTCGACAACCTCTGGTCGGGCGAGTCCTTCAACCTGGCCGAGCGCCCGCTCCGTGAGGACCCCATGGCCATCTGTGGCCGCCTGGTGCAGGACGACCTGGCACTCATGGTGGAGCGACCCGACGGCCAGTACTATCTCCTCGCCGGCTCGATCCTGCTCCCTGGCTTCTGGCGGCTCGGCGACAAGTACGGCATGCCGCTGTCGCGCGTCCACACGTCGGGCGACGTGCCCCAGTTCAAGGAGAAGCTCGAGTGCGGCATGGCCAAGTTCTTCCTACGCCTGGCGCCGCGCGAGCTCTACGCGCGCAACAACTACTTCCTCCAGCTCGACCCGGGCCTCGGCTGGAGCCCCAGCATCGGTCCCGAGGACGACCCAAACACCAGCTGGGGCACCGCCGACGTCTGCGTCGACGCGGCCAAGTGCTGGTTCCGGTCCGAGCGGCAGTCGCTGAGGCGCCTGCCCCTCTCGGGCGCCGTTTGCTTCACCATCCGGACCTACTTCCACCCCGTTGCCGAGGTCGCGAGCGAGGACTACGTCCCCGGAAGGCTGGCCAGCGCTATCCGGAGCTGGGGGCCCGACGTGGCTGCATACAAGGGCCGAGACAAGTATCAGGGAATACTGCTCGAGTATCTCGATCGCGAGCACCAGAAACAGGTTGAGCGTGGGCTAGACCCAGAGCAGGAGGAAAAGGTCCGCCGATATCCCTGGTGAAGTCGTTTCTCGATTCAGAAGCCGGTTTTTCTGTACATGCATGGGAAACACCTGTGATATCACCGACACCACAAGACCACAGGCCACAGCCCTAGGTCCAGGATAGGATGTGGCAATGGTTCCCAATAAATCCCCCAATCAGCCCATCACGACCCTACGACCACATGCGACAATGCAGCGGCCAACGCAGACTAGATGGATAATTTCCCTATTATAAGAAGTCGATAAGACTCTAGCCGTGTCTTCTAGTCTATTTTTAACTTCTCTTTTGTGTATCACGAAAGAGAACCCCCACTCCGGAGAAAGCCAAAGATCCGGGGAGGTGAGGGAGGAGCGTTGGTGGTGGACGGGATATAATTTCCCGATTCAGTTAGCGCCAACGGTGCCCGTCCGCCTTATCGCAGCCAAGGACCTGAGGTCGCCCACTTCTATTCGACGACAGGATGGGACATGGGCAATGGACTGGAAGCCGGTTAGAAGTAGATGGCTGGCGATCACTGCCGTCCGATCCCTATCAAACAAGTCAAGAAAATGCGCATGTCGCCGGAGACTTTCCAAGCGATCTACGTACTTACTGTGTTGAGATATATCGTGCTCGTCATTGATGTCACGATCGTTTTCCGATGGGTTCTCTCAAGACCAGGCCGAGTTTATCGTTCCATGGGAAATGAGTCGCCGTGGGAATGGAGTCAGCTCCCTCCGAAATGGGCTCAGCCTGGTGATTTGGCCACCCTGCGCTAAGTCCATCCCTGTGCCCGTCACGTGCGAGGCGGTGGGGATCAACCTGCGACATGGCCGTGCGTAACACCAAAGTTGTTGAGCTTATCTCTTCCATTGACCTTCTTGTCCTTCTTCCTTGGAACTTGACAACAGAGTGAAAGAAAGAGAGACGGCAGACACGATGGAAAAGGCCGGACTCCGCGACAGCGGGTCCGACTCGCTGCCGCCTCCGCTGGCTTGGCAGCAGCACCGCCGCGGCCGCGCAGGCGTCCGCCGCTCGCGGGCCGTGCGCCTCCTGGTCCTCGGCTGCGTGGTCTTCATCGCGTACGCGCAATGGCGGCAGGTCCGTGGGGGCAGCGACGCCAACCACGGGCGGCTGTCGGCTGACCGCCTGCGGGCCGACGTCGAGACCTGCGCCCGGCTCCGCCGTAAGCCACAGGACCCGGCCGGCCCGGGCAGGGAGCGCAACGCGCGCCACGTCGACGGCGCGCGCCCCACGCTGATCCGCAACGCCACCGTCTGGGTGGGCGAGGCGGTCGAGGGCACGTCGGCAGAGGACGCGCGGCGCGGCAAGGGCTATGAGTGGCTCGCGGGGACTGACGTCTTGCTGGAGTTTGGCTTGATCCGCGAGGTTCGCCCGGGCGGCGGCATCCCCGCCTCCTCGCTGCCCGAGGGGACCGTCGTCTACGACGCGGGCGGGCGGCAGCTGACGGCCGGCATCGTGGACATGCACAGTCACGCCGGCGTCGACCAGCTGCCGTCGATGGAGGGCAACGATGACACCAACGAGATGGCGGCCGACATCACGCCGTACGTGCGCTCCATCGACGGCATCAAGCCCTACGACCCGCAGATCCGCGTCATCAAGTCGGGCGGCGTCACCACGAGCCTGGTCCTCCCCGGGTCGGCCAACAACATCGGCGGCGAGGCCTACGTCATCAAGCACGCCGCGGGCGCGCGCGACGGCCGGCCCGAGCTGAGCGCGGCCGACATGCTCGCGGACCCGGACAGAAATTGGCGCTACATGAAGATGGCGTGCGGCGAGAACGCCAAGCGCGTCTACGGCCGACCCGGCGAGCGGGGCCCCACGAGCCGCCTGGGCGAGTCGTGGGAGTTCCGCCACGCCTTCGAGCAGGCCGCCGAGCTGAACCGCCGCCAGGACGACTGGTGCGCCGAGGCCGAGGCCGCCGGCCCCGAGCGCATGCGCACCTACTTGCCGCAGGAGCTGCGCTGGGAGGCCCTGGGCGCCGTGCTGCGCGGCCACGTCCACGTCAACACGCACTGCTACACGGTGCCGGACCTCGAGGCCTTTATCGACCACACCAACGAGTTCAAGTTCCCCGTGCGGGCCTTCCACCACGCCCACCAGACCTTCCTGGTCCCCGAGATCCTCAAGCGCGTCTACGGCGGCGTCTACCCGGCCTCTGCCCTCTTCGCCGACAATATGTGGTACAAGGACGAGGCCTACATCGGTTCCGAGTTTGCTGGCAAATCTCTGTACAAGGACGGGCTGGACGTCGTCTACGTCAGCGACAACCCCGTTCTCAACGCCCAGCACGTCCTGTTCGAGGCAGCTAGGGCTTACGGCTACGGCCTTCCCTACCACGCAGCTCTTTCGTCGGTAACATCGACGCCAGCCTGGTACCTGGGCCTGGGCGAGCGCATCGGCAAGATCAAGGCAGGATTTGACGCCGATGTTGTTGTTTGGGACAGCGATCCGCTCAGCGTGGGGGCTACGCCATCGCAGGTCTGGATTGACGGTGTCTCGCAGTTTGAGGATCCCGTCGAGCTCGAAAAACCTCTCAAGGGACCCATCTCGCCCGACCTGTCACTGTCCGAGACCCCCGAGGCAGAAGTCAAGGCCAAGAACGTCATCTTCACGGGCATCACAAGTGTCACCCTCTCGGGCAGCCGTGGCGACGACTCTTCATCAGAGGAGACCCTAGCCGAGCCCGTGAACATGATTGTCTCCGACGGTCGCGTTACCTGTGTCGGGCCCTGCGTCGCCGAGCTAGCCCAGGCGGCCGCGTTCAAGACTGTCAAGCTTCGCAGCGGCCATGTCACGGACGGGTTCACGGCGTTCGGGTCGGGCCTCGGCCTCAACGCCATCGACGCCGAGGACTCGACCGACAACGGCGATAACAAGCAGGCCTTCACCCGTGCTATCGATGGCCTTGCACTAGACGATAAGAAGCTGCGCACGGCGCACGCCTACGGCGTCACCCGCGCCATATCCGCCCCGCGGCTGGCGGGCGCCATGACGCACCACGGCACCAGCGCCGTCTTCTTGACGGGCGCTGAGCACTCGCTTGCTCCGGGTGCCGTCTCCGTCGACGACGCCGCTGCCCACTACACCCTTTCCTGGTCGGCGCGGAACGGCAAGGCCTCGTCCGCCTCCGAGGCCGTCGGCAACCTGCGCGCCGCTCTATTTGGTGCAGTGGACGCGCTCGACAGCACGGCCGTTGCTTCTGTGGCGGATGCGTTCGCCGAGAAGACGTTCCTCGCAAAGGTCGTCAGGGGCGAGATGCCACTCGTGCTGACGGCACAGAGCGCCGACTCCATCGCGGCCATCCTTCGCGTCAAGGCCGATGTCGAGAAGGCCCTCGCCGCCTCTTCGAGTGATGGTAGCAGCAGCAAGAAACTCAAGGTCGCCATTATTGGCGGGGCCGAGTCGCACCTAGTGGCGGCGGAGCTAGCGCGGGCGGACGTGGGCGTGGTGCTGGCGCCGTTCGAGTCCTTCTGCGCCGAGTGGGAGCAGCGGCGGTGCCTGACTGGGGCGCCGCTGACCAACGGCACGGCGGTCGACGCACTCATAAGCGCGGGCGTCACGGTGGCCGTCGGGCTCGAGGAGGACTGGCGCGTGCGCATGCTCGGCCTACAGGCCGGCATCGCCAGGCGCAACAGCGGCGGCCGCATCGGGCGCCGCGACGCGCTCGCCCTCGTCTCGGCCAACGTGTACAAGATGCTCGGGATCGACACGGGCTCGCAGGGCGGTGCTAGCCACTTTGTCGTCTGGGAGGGAGACCCGCTGGAGGTTGGGGCGAGGGTCAGGGCCGTTGGGGGCGGACTTGGCGTGACCACTGTAATGGAGTAGCAGCTGAGGGGTCTAATCTTTGTGTGACGCCATCTATATTATAGGACCTTTTTTTCTTCTCTCTTTCTCGCTGGGCAAGGTCGATCGCAAATTCTCAAATGTCGGTCATAATCCCCATCGCCTAGACACTAGAAGGAGCTCCCCACACCTCCTCCGCCAGGATAGTGCGGGGATGCATTTATCCACACGCTCACTAATGTCCCACCGAACTGGGCCACCAAACTCCAACCCATACATCAGTCCATGGGGGGTTCTCCCACCCTTCTTTAGGAGGGGAATCTCGTTATGGTGGAGTCCCCTCACCGCCCAGGTTCCTTCTCTCCCAGCCTCTAGCGCGAGGCGACAAAGAACGGGTGGACATGGTGCGGAGCCACACCCACACAACGAGATACTGTGCAATTGTCATCCATGGCTCGGGCGGCGACCAACCGGGTAAAATGGCAACCTATCAACTCCAGGCGCTGCGCGTGACCAGATCGCGGATCCATCTCTCAACCGCATCTACCTGTATTGACACGACGAGTCAGCACAACCGACTCCAACTCAGTCGCTAACAGGCCTCCTCCTCCCCCTCCTCGGACACGAGGAAGATGGCCTCGTGGGTTTATCCCCGGATTTCCTCTAAACTGCCCCCGTTTCCCCGCACTCAGCGCGACCAACCCCCACAACCCCCAACAAAAACCCACAGCTTTGCTGTTCCACTTCCCCATATTCAGCTTGTCGGTGGATCTTGGAAGGGGGCCCTGCGTGGCGAGTCGTCTCCTCCTTGGTTCTTCCCCAGGCCATGAATGGCCATGTCCGGGATCAGTTATTCCCCCACGCACTATTCCGCTACCTAGTAGTACACGTAGTCGTGCCACTGGCCTCTTGGGAGTCTTGGTGCCAACGAGGCTGATGTCTCGGCAGCAGGGACTTCGTACCGAGGCACGTACCTTGGCTCTACCTGCGAGCCGCTGAGGTCCCAGCCAATGTGGGTGGTCGGTCACTTGCCACAAATGGCACGCTGCAGGCATTCCGCCGGTACCTTAGATTGGAGATCTTTGCTTGTCCCGTCCCCCACGTTGTTTTCGAGAGGCCCCGAGGGGTAGATAAGGTAGGGGGCCCCAGCTCGCCCTCTTGCTCCCGTGTCTGTGTTTCCCTCCTTGTCATCCTTCCCCCCATCACCCAGTCTCTTTCCCCAACCTTGCCCGCAGTGTACAAGATGGCCTCCGCCGACCCCAAGTCTGGCGACAATCTCGGACAGGGAGATAACATTGCATCTGTCCGCCACGATGAGGGCCTCGCTCGGCAGGACACGGCCCCGGAGGAGGGTGTCTTTCAAAAGGGGCCCATGATTGACAAGCTGGACGAGTTCGGCGCCCATGCAAAGACGGACCCGAGGGAGATTGCGCTGGTGCGGAAGCTCGATACACACATTTTGGTATGCCCCCGCTGGGTACCTAGGAAGCTTACAATGTCCCGCGCCTGCTGACACGGGCAACCGGTCGCCAAAGCCCATCCTGTGGCTCATGTACCTGTTCAACTATCTCGACAGGAACGCCCTGGTCAATGCCAGGCTCAACAAGCTCGAGGCCGAGCTCGGCCTTGTCGGAACGCAGTACAACACCTGCGTTTCTATCCTCTTTGTCGGGTAATTGCAACCCCTGGTGCCCGTTGTGATCTATTCGACGATAAAAACTGACCAGAAGAAAACACCGACAGCTACATCGCCGGACAAATCCCCTCCAACATGATCCTCACCCGCGTCAGGCCGTCACTGTACATGGCAGGATTCTGTCTGGCCTGGTCCATCATCAGCCTCCTGACATACCTTGCCCACGACTACACCACTATGGTCGTTTTCCGGTTCCTGCTCGGCGTCACAGAAGCCCCGTTCTACCCAGGCGCCCTGTACCTGATCAGCATGTTTTACACTCGCAAGGAGGTCGCCACCCGGATGTCGTGGTTCTTCACTGCCAACATGCTGGCCAGCGCCTTCTCCCCTCTCATTGCCGCCGGTGTGTTCTCCGGGCTCGACGGCGCCAGGGGCCTCGCCGGCTGGAAGTGGCTGTTCATCATCCAGGGCGCCCTTTCCATCCTCACGGCCATTGCTGCCTTTTACATGCTGCCCGACCACCCGCTCCAAACCAAATGGCTCAAGCCCGACGAGCGCCAGCTGGCCCACAGCCGCATCGTCATGGACACGACCGACATCACCGAGGACACCAGTGTCTGGGTCGGGCTCAAACAGGCCGTCGCCGACTGGCGCACCTGGGTCCTGGTGCTCATGTACAACTTCCACCTCTCGTCCATCAGCTTCCAGAATTTCCTCCCGACCGTCATCGAGACGTTGAACCACGGCCCGATCCTCAGCCTGGTCCTGACCTTCCCCCCTTATTTCTTCGCCGCCATCATGGGCGTCGTTATGGCGCACAGCTCGGGCCACTTCAACGAGCGGACGTGGCACATCACCGTGTGCAAGTCCATCGTTATCGTGGGCTTCATCATCCCGGCCGCGACCGACAATAATGCCGCGCGCCTGTTCGCCATCTTCCTCTTTGTCGGCTTCACCTTTGGCATCAACAACATCATCCTCGGCTGGGTCTCGGCGACGCTGGGGCAGACCAGCGAGAAGAAGTCGGTCTCGCTCGCCATCGCCAACTCGCTCGGCAACATGTCGTCCATCTACATGCCCTACATCTGGGACAAGCGCTTCGCCCCGCGCTACCTGCCGCCCTGGTTCGCCAGCATCGCCTTCTCGGCCGGCTGCATGGGGCTGGCCTGGGTGCTCAAGATCTCCCTGAAGCGGCACAACAAGAAGACGAAGGAGGCTAACCCGAACGAGACTAACTTTTATGTGTATTAGAGTTCGAGATGCTTGCCTAAGGGCATGCGTGTATGGGGCCTTATGTGGTGGAGATGGAAGATTCTGGGAGCCCCCTTGCCTAAAACCTGCTTATAGGATCAATACAGTTTCAGTGTCCGGCACTGTAGGTAAAGTGATCAGGTTCTGTTAGCTATGCCGTTTTTCGTGTTCAGGCTCGCGGTAAAGATTTCTAGAGGCCAAAGCGACATCGTTTCTGTGCCAGGTGTGGCATTGGGGAGTTCATCGTGATACGCGTCCCTCCATAACCCATAAGGGCAGGATCTCGGCATTTTTCGCGTTCTCCATTCAAGGAAGACAAAGCGTCCGATTAGCGTGGCCAGGACCAACCCTTTTTTTGTGTCTGTAATGAACACCGTGCCACCCAGGCACACTCGTAAACCCCATGGAATCTGGTACTGCGCACTCAAAAATGGCAATGTCCACATCTGCACCCAAACGGATCAGCGAGACGGGCTTGGTGGAAGCGGACGGTGTCCAACGAGATTCGAGCCTAGTGAATGACAGCTGAGTGACGCTAGCTGGCGCTAAACGTTCTTACAGGTGGGGTCCGGATCAAACGGCACCAGCCGCGTAGACTGTGTGACGCCACAGGCCAAAAAAAGCAGCGTCTCATCCGAGCTCAGCCACATTAAAACAGCGCCAAGCCAACTCGCCAGAGGGGCTACTTCCAGCCAAGCCCGAAAGGTCAGCGCCGCTCAACCAACCTGGACGTCGCGTGCGCAGCCCGACTTCCGCCTGACTCGACGACACGTCAACAAGAAGCGGGCAGAAGCCATCCTCATAAACACCAATCCTCGCTGCTGACCGTCGGCGCGGCGAATCGCGGTACCTGTACGGCTTTTATCCTTCGCGGCTGGACCTTGCGGCGCTCTGCCTCGCCCTGTTCCCACCCCCACCCCCCGATCGGCAGCGAATCAATTGAGTGCCTCGTCAATCAATCGCCGCTAATCAGAACCATAACCAAACCCCAACCCATCCCCAACCCTCCCCCTCCATCCACGGGAACCGACAAAATGAGCGGATACCCCGGCCAAGGCTACCAAGGTCAAGGCTACGGCCAAGGCTACCCGGGACACCAAGGCTATCCGCCCCAGGGAGGCTATCAACAGTATGCCTCGGCCCTTTCCCACCCGTGTCGAGCCCCGACCCGCTGACTGATCCCACCCAGGCCCCCTCCCCCGCCTCAGGGCTATGGCTACCCTCCCCAGCAGCCGCAGTATGGCGGCTACCAATACCCCCCTCAGGGCCAGTATCCTCCCCAGGGCCAGTATCCGCCTCAGGGCCAGTACCCGCCCCAGGGACACTACCCTCCTGCCCAGCCTGGAATGCGCTCGGTAAGACTTCCCCTACCAGCCATCCCCTACCAGTCTCATCACAGCACCCACAGTCCAACGCCACGGCACAGTGGCCAGCTGACACATCATCATCGCCTCTCTAGGGCCCCGAAGTCTACCATGGCCAGATGCCGCCCCAGGGCATGCAGCAGTTCGGCCATGGTGCGCCTTCCGACTACGCATTCCAGTACTCGCAGTGTACCGGCAAGCGCAAGGCCCTGCTGATTGGTATCAACTACTTTGGTCAGAAGGGCGAGCTGCGTGGCTGCATCAACGACGTTCGCAACCTTTCCAACTTCTTGCAGGAGTTCTATGGCTACCGCCAAGAGGATGTAGGTCGCGTCGCATTGTCTCCCTAGCTGCCACTACTGGTCCCGTGATCCGCGAGGCCACCAAGTGCCCGACCAACCCTGCTAAACATGACTACCGTAGATGGTCCAACTCACCGACGACTCGACGAACCCCCAGTCAATGCCCACTAGGGAGAACATGCTTCGCGCCATGCACTGGCTTGTAGCTGGCGCACAGCCAAACGACTCGTTGTTTTTCCACTACTCTGGCCACGGCTCGCAGGCCAAGGACCTTGACGGCGACGAGGACGATGGCTTCGACGAGACCATCATCCCTATGGATTACGAGCAGGCTGGCCATATCGTCGATGACGAAATGCATGAAATTATGGTCAAGTCTCTGCCCGCCGGCTGTCGCCTGACTGCCATCTTTGACTCGTGCCATTCGGGCACCGCCCTGGATCTCCCTTACGTCTACTCGACACAGGGTGTCCTCAAGGAGCCCAACCTGGCCAAGGAGGCTGGCGTCGGTCTTTTGGGCGCTGTCACCTCGTATGCCCGCGGCGACATGGGCGGCGTGGCCAGCAGTCTGATGGGGTTTGCTAAGAGCGCCTTCACCGACAAGAAGGCCCGCGAGACGACTATGCGCACCAAGACGTCACCAGCCGATGTCATCAGCTGGTCCGGCAGCAAGGACGACCAGACCTCGTAAGTCGACAGCCTACAGAAGGAGCCGCTCGCAAGAACCAGCGCTAACTCTCCAAACTACCTGACAAGTGCCGACGCGACCATCGCCAGCCAGGCCACTGGTGCCATGTCTCATGCATTCGTGACTTCCCTCCGGGCCAACAGGAACGTGACATACCTCCAGCTCCTGAACAACGTCCGAGACATCTTGCGGGACGAGTACTCCCAGAAGCCCCAGCTGTCCTGCTCGCACCCGCTGGATACTGAGAACGTCCCTTTTGTCATGTAGCCCGTACTAGGACGAACTGCCAGGTTATGGCAGAATAGACAGTCTCGCAGGCATCATCTGGATAGGCATGGTACAACCGACCGCTGTTATACCACACGAATCTGGGCTTTTGCTATTGCCGCTTTTCCATCTCAAAGCTCCGGTGCCAGTGGAGCCCTGCTTCTGCTGCTCCCGGAGCTGCTCCCTGAGCTGCTCCTGGAACAGTTGACTCACCCTGCGTCCCCTGCAACCCTCGCAAGTACTTCAGTACCGGCAGGAGAAAACCAAATAGCTCTCGGCCACATCGAGGCAAAAAATGACTCTTGATTTATGGACCATATGGAAATTGTATTGACGCACGGGCCTTATGAATTCCTTATATATATGTTGTCACAAAGTAACCAGTATATACTGTCGTAAGGAAGCCTTAGGCATAGATATCAGATGCCTGAGGCATCGGAAGAGCGGTCCCCCTGCCTGGAAGCGTATAACGCTTCCAGGCGTTAAAAAGGAAGCTTAATAAGCAAGGAGGATAGGGAATTACGTGTATATAAAGGGCAAAGGCCCTTACGGGACCTTGCACTTTAAATCCTTTTTTTTTTTAAAGCATATTAACCGGAATAGCTTTACACCGTGCTTATCCCTTTTGCTTGCAACAATTATAAACCCGGCAACTTTTAAACCCTTTAACGTAAAGTAAAAGGCTTAGCAGTACAAATTTATTCCTTTTTTATTACTTTTATTAAATCGTTTTTAAACGCGCTTTTTCAAGCGCGTTTATTTTTTTTTTCCTTTCCGCAATTTTTTTACGGAAAAATTTTTACGCTTTTAAAACCTTTTTTAATAAAATTTTTTTTGCCAAAATAAATTCCGTTATCAATTCCAAACGTTGCCAAAAACCTTTATTAAATTTTACTTTTTTAATTTTTACGTTTTTACGCTTTTAAAGCTTCCAACCCTTTATTTTTACCGCTTTACTTTTACGAGCTTCCGGTTATTACCAATTATAAATAGCACAAAT